TGATGCTATTATCCTTGGTTTAAATCTGTATCAATAAACTTCCTTAGCACGCACTTGCACATTCTTTGGTTCTTAAGCAAATCGAATGGGTATTAAGATGATGCGTAAAGGTAGTCGCAGCACGACCATGAATGTCTTGTCCGCATGCAGACCTAAAAACATGTGTCTTTGTGCGTGTAAGGTAATTATTTTAAGAAAAGCAGGTGTAATCATGTTCTAACACTACCCTCGTCTGCGAAGAATAACAACAACAGTTTTTTTTAAAAAATATTTTTATTTATTTATTGATCTTCCCAAGCTTCGAAGTGGCTCTAACTGGAAATAATTCTTTATAAAGTACTTTAGCTCCTAAGGTTTTAAATCGTTTACTATTCTGTAGAGTTAGTCGATATAATTATGAAATATTGATATTTTTAAATAACAAAATAAAGATCGTCTAAAGTTTGTCATTGTAAATACCGTTGACTTACTGTAAATATCGAATGTACGATAATTATCGGCGATGATAGTAATTCAATCAATATCAACAAGTATGAACATTGACTATGATAATACCTCAAGTATTATCAAAAACGATATTACCGTGAGTGTTTATAAATTTTATTTGGAGAACGAAAATATTGATAATTGTAAAAATAATGTGAATAAGTTAATTTAGAAAAATATGATGAACTGTAAAATATCAATATTTCGAGACAATACATTGGTAAACCATATTGGCTCAGGGGATAGAGCTCTTGCCTTCCTATGAGTGAACCGGGTTTGAATCCCAGCGATGTCTGGTCGATACGAAATCCGTACCCGGCTCTCACTGACCGCAGTGTTAACGTAAAATATCCTCCGTCGTTGACGGATCATTGGCTAGGGTACTCTTGTCGACAGACTAACCGTGGTAGGTTTTCGTGGTTTTCCTCACCATGTAGCGCAAATGCTGATTAATTCCATCAAAAAGTCCTCCACGAAAGAAAACTTCTCTCAATACTTAATCCAGGAGTTCCCTTGTGTTTTAGATAGGGTTCAAAATTACAAGGCTACTGAGTTGAACATTGGTAGAACCTCAAAAAATTAGGTAGTCTGTTCAACAACGGTTATAAAATAAAAATAATATAATTAAATAAAATACATTTAGGTGTTGAAATACTGATATCGCTCAGCACTAACAATTGGCAAGTGTGTGACATCTCGCATTTGATGTTTGAAAAACCGTTCTCCTAATTTTGTAATGATTCTTTTATGTTACGTTTTTGCTTATTTTTACGTTTCTGTTACGTTTTGCTTTATTTTCCATGAGCGGAGTGTTAACATTGGATATAGATGATAATTTTACAGCTGTTTTAAACATTAATTATTAAAAAGCAGTTCTTGTGAAAATTAAGTAGTTTCAATGAGATCGGTTTAGCGTCAACGTAATAAAGATCAAATCGACAGAAAGTTTAAAAATGTTACGTAACTAAGTCACGTTGCTTACTTTTTCCAAGTTTTGGTGAGATTACGGTCGGGATTACTGCCGTGAAACTTCTTAACTCCATAAATGTAGTAAGATAGAGTAAATTTGCTTCAGCGACGCCGCTTACGAAATATTTCACTTTCTATAGTCACACTGATGAACAAGTAACTACTGAGATGTTCAATTAATCCCATACTTTAATCATTTAAAAAAAAATTGAAAAAAGTATGGGACATTAATATATACGTGTATTAATACATAATATATACGATATACGTGTTTGTCGTTGATATTCCAAATACATTGTAAACGTATCATTTCCTTTATTAGTTTCTTTCAATTATAGAATGTCCGTCATTAAAACAAAGTGCCTACTTGGCAAAAGATTTTTACTGCTGCCAACGGAAATTATGCAGATCGTTTTATAGTACCAAATAAGAAAAAAAAATATCAATATAGATTATAAAAATAATTAAAAAAGGTAATTATCTATTCTAGTGAACCAGATATTGTGTTTCCTCGAAACAGGTGCAATAATAGCATTATTCAAAATCACTATTCTACGAAATATTTTTGTTCTTTTTAAATTTCAGCAAAAAAAAATAAATAAATATTAGTTGATATTCCTTTAAATTAAATTTAGTGCATTATTATTATTATTATTATTATTATAAAATCACAGAGAGAAATAATTATCTAGTCTAGTAGATTGGGTATTACGTTTTTCACGAACAAATGCTATGTATTAGTTAACATCATATTTGTTTCTTTCAGAATATTCTTGCTCTTTTTAAATTTTAGTTGATACCCTATTATTGATTTTCATTGAAATTAAATCCAATATATTTATATTATTATTACAACATGCACCGATAAAGTTAATTGCATAGTAAATTGGATGTTGTTTGCTTATGCAATCAATGAATGAATCATAAAAAAAAGAAGGAAAATAAAATCTGGAAAGTAATTGATTCGAAGTAACTTGAATATGCTGTGTTCGACGGAGCTTGACAAGTAATCACTTTCACCAATAAGGTTATCAACCATGCATCCTTTAATTCTTTTTATAGCTTCCGTTGTAAAAATACAGATGTTATGTGTTTTTCTGAATAAGAATGTTTTGTTACTCTAAACTTTCACTACTAATGTTATAAACCAATCAAAATCCTTTAGCTTTTGCTGTGTAAAATAATTCTAATAAAATAACAGAACAATCGTGATAATCAGCTCATGCTAATTAAAATGAATCGTTCACCAATGTTTTTTTGTTTGAGTAAAAAATAAAAGGTATCTGTTTCATTAAGTTGTTTATTTATTATTTAATAACACAGTACACACAATTGGATTAAAAGGTGTTTTGTTTAAAATTATTATGTATCTGGCTTACATGTGCCAAAAATAGAACCAAATAATATACATGGGGTCAGATAAAGATACATAACTTACTCCTTTCTATATTCTTTGAATAGAACGAGGTGGAAGAAAATTCAAAGAAAGGCACTTATCCTTCTGGGCTGTTTGGCAAACTATACAGATGATGATTTCAAACTACATTTTGTATTATAACATAACAAATATATTTGTACAAAATGTTCTAATTCTGCAAAACCATTGTCAGAAAAGAACTCAATAACTCATAGGCACACTTGCGCATATATTATTAACAGCTTATTACAAGAATATTTTAAGTGACTATTCATGAACTAGGAAACTCTTATCAAATGCATTTGCATTATCTTTTAAATCAACTTTTTATAATTTCCTTTGTTCTTTTTCAACAGTTTAGTTAAACAAGGGCTTGAAAATGCTCAAATGCAATAAATTAAATATGCAATTAGTTATAATTTAAATAATTATCATAGTATTTAATTGAGTAATATTTTTGTCCATATAAATTGTGTAGGAGAAAAACGTAAAAAAAAAAAGCGAGGAAAAGACAAGAGTTTGTTAACGATGCACTACAACTACAGTTATGGGCATTACAGAAGTAAACAAATAATTACAAGTTCAAAATATTTTACTCTAAAATAATCTCCTCTAATTCATAAATTTTTAATTTTCTGTTATAACATAAAAACATAACAACGACAATGCATAATTCACCTATTAGAACAATTCGCGCTAAAATGAGAGGGCGCTGTAACCGAGATAGAGGCAAACTTATTGACTTTCGATGCCAGATCTTCAAATTGAAAGTTACACTATTTACTCTATTGGGAGAGAAGAAAAAAAAAAACGGATATGCTTCAGTAAATTCTTAATTTCCCACATAATGATAGTTTCAAATTGTTAGTTTCCTTTTCGATACAATTTTGACCGGTAAAACGATAAACAACTTAATGCTCGAGGCTTCTTTCGTCTCTAAGAAGAATTTTATCGCATTTCTTGACGCATAATTTCACGCAAAACTGCCACCTGCTGCCATGATAACACACTGGCCCGGAGGACCATTAAATACACTTTCACTGGTAAATGGAGCGAATTACAAGAGATTTTATGTGCCATACTGACGAAGAAGGCATAGTTTACTCGAATTTCACGAATTTATTATTGCGCAATTTTTATTTTCTGAACTGATGCTAAATAACCTCTCTAAAATGGAATTTTATTTTATTTCTTGTTTTTGAATCAAATTTGCTTTGATTACTAAAGGTTATTTTCATACAAAGTGTTGAATAATAAAACTTATGAAGTTTTCTTATTATCAATTTAAAATCGTGGTTAGTTGCAAACGATTCATCATTAACTATTTTATAGCAACTTCATCTTCGATGACTTTGGAAGAAATACAATTCTCTGAAAAATACATCGAATTTTCACAAAAATTCAAACTCGCAAAATGTGTATGTTTGAAATGCTACTTGTATATTGTAACTTAAAACAAGCTATGTGTTAATCATTCAGTTACATGTACTAGTGTCTCTCTAACTAATTTTGGTTAGAGAATCACGTCAAACAGCTTTAAAATTGTTTGAAATTAGGGTTTTGAAAGAGTAACATAGCATGTGCGTTACCACATTCGGTCAAGTTTATCTTAAATTTTATATTTCTTCCTTTGTTTTAGAAACTTTTCGCTTTAAGTGTGATTTTTATTGTTATTTTAATTTTTCATAGAATGTATTGTTCAAGTTAGGGAAATATTAATAATGAAAATAAAGTATTGATAACTATACAAACAAAATTACATTTAGTTAAGTTTTTGTTTTAATTTTTTTATTATAATTTATTGCCTTATATTTTAAGCATTAGTAAAAATACCCTTCTTATTTTACAAAATTTTTATTATCTCGCTTTCATATTTGTGATGATGGAATCTTGCAGTCGAAATTTCGAAAATTTTTCCAGACAGCTAAAATATTCTATACTTCGTCTAAAGTAAGATTATTAGCTTAATTTTCAAAATTTCTTAAAACCTTAAATATTATATCACCATTTTGCAAAATCTTTCACAACGGTCGTATAAATTGGTAACTATGTCCATTGTATAAACTATGCCTTCTGTATTATATAATTAGCTTTACTATATTTTGATTGTAATTTATTTTACTTTCAGTTGGAAGCTGAAATTCTGAGGTTGACGACAAGACTTATGATGCGAGAAAGAGAACTGAAACAGGTGAAGAGTCAGCTTAAAACTCAAACTACTAAGTCCCAACAGCAAGCAAATAACTGGAGACGAAAGATAGAAGAAAAAGAAGAACAAATGCGAGAACTTTTGATTCAAAAAGACAACGAAATGCAAGGAATTGTGTCTCAATTGCTTCTTTTTGAAGCCGAACTTCGTCAAGAGCAATCGCGAATCGAAAGACTCCTCAAAGAGAAAGACGCTCAAATAAATTCTCAGCAAAAAGAACTGGAACGTTTAAAGTGCGTCATAGACTCTCAGATCTCGAATTTCCCGAAATGCAACAACGGCATTCGAAAAAGTGGCTCCATAAGTTCCTGCGAAGACAGTGATAAAGACATTTACAAAACGACGAGTCTACAACGGCGGAGCTTCTCAGTCGAAGAGCCTGTCACGACAGACTCGCAGCACGCAGTGCAGAAGTTGAAGGATGGACTTCTCAAAATTCGTGGCATACAAGACGTGACCAATGTGAAGAAATCGATTGATTTGGCTTATGACTCTGTTATCACGGACAAAAAACGTATTCCCTATAGGGCTCCTCAGAAAATGAAAGACCTAAAAGCCAAGAGAATGAACTCTCACAACAAAATCCATAGACCTGTGATAAGTGAACTTTGTACGCAAGCAATTCTGTGATTCCTTTGTTAAGTTAAATACAGATTTAGTCACATTTTATGTATAAAATACAAATGATAAAAGTTCAGAAATAACTGAAACATTGATTGACCCCAAACGTTTAACGGATGTATGAATTATCAATTAAACATATCTTCCCCTTTAATATGTTTCTCAGTGGAACACAGATAATAACAATATTTTGAAATTTTTTACTATTGACAATTAAGAAAATTGTCAATTTTGAATTATTGAAAATTCTTAACCTTTCGCGGATGGCTGGGGCAATATATGCTCTAGAGATAAAAAGAAAACTTGTTTTAGAAGGGGCGGGATTGGTGGTACATTCTAAGTGAAAAATAATTCGAAAACCGTCTTTATTTGTTCGAGAGACAAGAGTAAAGAAACATGCCATTGGTATACAGGGTACATTGTAATCACCATTCAATATATATATCTATAAAATCGTTGTCAAAAATTATGCAAAAAGCACCTATTAAGAGTCTCAAGTTATTTTTTAAGTGAAGGAAACGCAAAAACGATATCAAAAACTTGCGAACAACTATTGAAGAAAAAAGATTTAAAAACATCAAAACCAGTTTGATTGACCTACGAAATTTGGAAATGTTTCTATTTGAAGTCTTTTAACTCAGTTTCCTCCAGCAATCTAATAGGTTTTGATGTTTTTAATCTCGTCTTTCTTGTTTATGATTGGCCAGATTTTAAAATTTTTTTTCACCTCACTTGAATCATCAATTTGCTGCCTTTATTGTGCATTTTTTAAAATTTTATTCTACTCTTGACCAAGATCTTAAAAGTATATATTAAGGGCAGTGTTCACCGGAACAGCGTGTATATCGGATAAAGATGTAATAAAAACGAAAGGTTAAGCAATGAAAATTACATTCACGATTATCTTAAGAAAATAAGAACAATTACACTGGGGAACAAGTTTTTTTGTTGTTGCATGAGACTTTTTTTTAAACGGATCTAGGATATTTTCATATAGCTGATTTCAAATCTGCAATTGGTTTCTTTTTCAGAGCCACAATTTTTAAATCGAAATGTACAAGTTTAAAAACGTTCGACAATGGGTTCTTATGAAATTTTAATCCTGATGATATGCTTTAACTCTCCTAGAAGTTTGTTGCAACATTTACGCGATACCCTGTTATATATAAAGTTTTTAAAGTTGTACATTTTGGCGAAAAATGTCATTAAAAAATCTGTAGCTTTAGGAGCAAAACTAATTTCAGATTTGAAACCCTTTAACCCGAATTAGTCAAGATCAATTAATTGTATATATGCAACAACGAATTTGCTCTCCAATCTTATTCACAAGGATATTTCATACTTTTTAAAATTTGGAGTCTAAAAAATAGTCATGTAATAATTGAGTAGTGTTTCATTTGTATCTGATTTTTTTTTTCTTCCTTAGCTTTTTTATAAAAAAAAAAAGCATCAGCGTAAAACGGAGCGTTGCAATTACTGTAAAATGTTTTTATAAATATGTGTTACTTTTCTTTATTTTAAAAAAAAGGTGTATAAAACACGGCGAATGACAATGGTGTAGTTTATTTTAGTCCTGGAATGTGTGCTGAGTCTTTTAACTATTTTGTTTTATTAGTAGCAGCTACTTTTTTTTCCTTTCTATTTTTAGCCGAAGTTTTATTTTCATGAAATTTTAATTACATATAGCCATTTTCTTACTATAGTTTTTAAGAGAATGAACATGACTGTTTTTTTTTGGGGGGATATGACGCTTGTTTAACTGGTTCCCCCAAGTGCAGCAGCCGTAAAGCGGGTTAATTATGAACAATATGCCCACTCTAGAAAGTACATATTTCAATATTGATAATCTGAGCTTAAAAATTTTAGAAATGTCAGTATCTTTTAATCTGTTGGCTTCTGACTGCTAAAAGAAATTATTCAATTTAGGATAGGATGGTAATCTAAATATAATTGCAACAGTGAGCAACCATTTCTCGACACAGAAAGAAAATGTCCGCTTTTTGAATTAAGTTTTAATCTGAATTGCCAGTAAATTATTTCTTAGTTTAATGAAAACAATATCGATTGTCTTAATAAAAGCTAATATTTTTGACATTTACAGAACATTCACCCTTTGTTTTTCTTTAATAAAATCACATTAAAACAATTTTTTCTGTGAAAAAATAAGCCTAATTACTGTATATGTGAATATAGTGGTTTATATAAATTACTTGCATCTATAATTTTTAAATAAATCTTAGAGCATTAATTTTTAATGTGTTTTAATTGAATTTTTTCTTCTTATAAATGTTTCAGAATTTAGATTTTTTTTCTTGTAGTATTTCTAAAATTTGGAATTTAATTTTATTTTTAGGTACTTTTTTTTAAATTGAAATTAGTTAATAAAAACAATGAAATTTTTTACGCACATTATCTATGTAGTTTTTTACACTTAATTTTTGGTTGAAAAACAGGTTCCCCTACAAGTAATGACAATTTAAGACAAATTTCATTTAACTTTGTACAGGTTTAACTCTTACTATTGGTTAAATTGAAATTCTATTTTGTGATAACCTGATTTTATTCTTCATAAATAGTATTTTGTGCTTTTGGAGATTATTTATCAAATTAATGTTTGATTCTATTCAATGAAAGGAATTGTACTAAAAAATAATGAATGAAATTATTTTCTAAATGTTTGTAAATAATAAATAAATGTTTTTTATTTCCTTGAAGTTCTATAGTGTGCAATACATATTTTCTTCCAAAACATTTAAAAAGTTTAAATAAAATTATTAAAAAGCACTACATTGTGGAATAAAAGGGGTTAATTGAAGACATTTAAAAATTAGACTTGGCAATAAAATTCTGCAATGGTTGGGCTGAAGGTGGTATAAATATATATTTCCTAAATAACTGGAAATTATTATAAGTCTCCTTTTTCGACATTTCAGGAAAATTATTAGGAATCGTTATCAATTCAAGTAAAGTAAAAAAAAAAAAAAAAAGATGAGAAATAAAAATAATTTCTTAACTTTGACCACATAATTCATTTAACAATACAAATATTACTAGTCTTTAAAAGTGATAGGCATAAGAAGATGGCTATCTTCCCAAAAAAACAATTTTGTTATAGGTTAAATGGAATGAAAAAAAAAATAAATAAATAAAAAAAAAGAACATCAAAACCAGGAAGAATGAAACTATACATAATCCATTCAACCATAACACAAATGTTAGTTTTTATATATAATCGGTGAAATTTGAAATTATCTTTTGATTAATTTAGTAGTTAATAAAAATTCAGGGTTAAATATTTTTGTCCAATTTTCTTGATGAGAAGACATGTCTCTCTTGTTGTCAACCTCCCCCCCCCCTGCATTTTAAATGTAAATATTCGGTTAAGAATGCACGAGGCATGAACTTAGTACATTAAATATCATGTAATTATTTCCAACACTGTACATTCCTCAAAATACTTAGCATATAAGTTTGTATTTCTTTTTTTCAGTAGAAATATTTAGTAGTTCCGTTAATCCCTTAACGATCGGTTAGTTTTCAAGAAAACAGTCATAAAAGTGTATTTTTCCTCATACACGTATTTGATTAGTGCTAGTATCTAGTTTAAAATGAACTAACTATTTACAATTACCTTAAAAATATCCTGGTACTGCTATATGGTGTAAAAGGAGAAATAAAATGTTTTCCGGGCAAAAGAAATGAATTAGTTTTATTCTTATTGGCGCATTCCTACTGAACCCTTTAGCCCAGAGATGGCGAACCAATCGCACGCTACAGAATATTTTGGGCACGCCACCGATCACAAAGTTCACTATGAAACGCATTAACAATTAAATTAAAATTGAAAAAACACGAACAAAAAAAGTTAATAATTATTAACAAAATATTAAAAATTTTTGCAAAAAATAACAATTAATAACCATAAAAAACAAGCTAACAATAAATAACAAGCAAAAAAAATTAACAGTTAATAATTAATAAAATACGAAACAAAAGAACAATTAAGCTATGCGAGTGAAAGAAAGCGAAACAAAAACTGTACAAGACATATGACACTTAAGCAAAGGCGTAGTAAACCTTTTCAAGAGTGAGAGTTTTCGAAGGAAGCCTGGTTAGCTTGTGCGCCCTCACTTTTTGATGATTTCGATAAAAAAGATAAGATAGTTCAGAGCATCAAATTTTCTCCTCTATCTAGAAATACAGTAAAGGAGAGAATCTTAAAACTATTTGGAAATGTAACAGATCAACAAAAAATTGACATTAACTCCGCTCCTTTTATATCGTTATGTCATGACGAAAGCCTTGGCATTACTAAATCTGCGCGATTAGCTCGATATCGCGTAAGAAACGTCATTAAGGAAGGATTAATTAAGATAACATAGCTGCTAACAATTACAAAGGGCACAGATATTTGTACGGCTGTTTAAAATTGACTTATTGAGAAAGAAGTTTATTTGAAAAAAAATTGTTTCAGTAACAACTGATGTTGCTCCAAGTATGGTGGGCAAAAAATGTGGTTTCATAAGTTTATTTCAAACAGACGTAGGACATTCGATTCTTGAATTCNAAAATTGACTTATTGAGAAAGAAGTTTATTTGAAAAAAAATTGTTGCTCCAAGTATGGTGGGCAAAAAATGTGGTTTCATAACTTTATTTCAAACAGACGTAGGACATTCGATTTTTGAATTCCACTGACTCATTCACCAACAAGCCTTGTGTGCTAGGAGTGGTTTAACATCTCTTGATAATGTAATGGAGGTAGTTACAAAAATAGTCAACCTCATTTCGTCGCAGGCCGTTAATAAGTGAAAGTTCGATGCTTTGTTGGAGAAAGTCAACTTGGTGTATAATGGCTTACTGATGTATAATAATATTCACCGGTTGAGAAGCGGTAACGTACTTCAAAGATTTACTGATTGCTTGGAAGAAATCAGACTGTTTCTGCAAAATGAGGGAAAAATTGAACAATACCCACAGTTGTTGGATGTTATGTGGCTCTCAAAATTGATGTTTTTAACAGACGACATATGCCAACGTTTTCAATGTCTTGACGTGAAGCTTTAAGGCACAAATAAAACAATTATCATCATGATAATCTCATTCGCGCTTTTGACGCTAAACTGCATATTTTCAGGAACGATATTATTACAAGAAACTACAAGTACTTTTCAAACTTAAAAAGAAATATCAACGATTTAGATATACTTGAAAAACCAGGAGAAGAAACTGTCATTGAAGAATTTATTTCTGTAATTGATTCTACAATCAATGAATTTTCGGCGAGATTTTCTCAGTTCAAAGAATTATCGGAAACAGTCAAGTTTATTATGTACCCTGATGTAACTTCATTTGATAAACTGAACTTGTCCCAATTCGATTGGTTGGAAATTTAAGAATCGTGCTATTTTAACAATATTTTCATCTACCTATGCCTGCGAATCATTATTTCCAGAGAAGAATAACATTGAAGACTCGCTTAGAAACCGTTTGACAGATGACTCCAGTTCAGCATGCATTCTGCCTAAACTATCATCTTACAACCCTAATATAAGTTATTTGTCTTCGAATCCTCAACAACAGAAGTTACACTGATTTAACTTTAAGTTGAATTACGTGTATAACTGAGACATTGCAAAATGTATTTTTTTTTCCGTAGTAAATGAAGAGTTTTGAGTTGATAGTATTTAGTATTATTATTTTCCCAATAATTATTTGACGGCACGTCTATGACCTAATTAAACATTTTTTTAGAAAAAATGGCACTTTGATACATAAAGGTTCGCCACCCCTGCTCTAGCCTGTCAATATCACGGGAGCGAGAAATAGCGAGCGAAAACTCACCCAGTCATTTTCACGGGAGCGAGGAGGAAGGGGTTAATAGAATTTATAGTCAATTCAATGTGAGATACAATGTTAATATACCTTACAATTTTAAAGAATGTAAATTTACCTAAATACTTAACAAACCAATAATCTATTGTTTAATTTGTAAGAAATATATTTCAGTCAATATTACCGATTGGATTTAATTGTCAATTAATCAATGAATTAAAAAAATATATAGAAAAAAGGAAACTGACTAAAATATTGCCCCATAAGCAATTTTATTTACCAAAAAATAATGAAATCACATAGTCTGACATTTATCAAATGTACAATCATTAAGACAGAAATTTACTGTTAATACACTAGATAATTTCTAATTAAGAAATTACAGATAATGTGTGAAATAGACTGATGTACAATAAACACACAGAAGTTCATATCACTGTTTGATTAGATCATAAACTACTTATTCTTAACAAAACATTTTCACATCATTGTGTATATCAAACATGGAAATACCTTTTTGAATGCATGTTTTTTTTTGCATAGGTAAGTACTTTTTTTTTTTGTAAATAATTATAAGCTAATTTTCCATTTAGGATCTATTTAAAAAACCCCAGCTAAAAGCAGATTAATTTAGAAATCAAATAAAATGAACAAAATAATTTCCGTTATTTGAAAAATAGGTTAGAATGTATTGTCTAGCTATCCAGAACTCCACCGACACCAGACATGCACATTGTCAGTTACATTTATATATTACATTACATAGACAACCTCAGACTTTAAATCAAAAGGAATTGTCATGATAACTGGGTAACTTATGATAACTTTTATTATAAAAATAAATATTGTTCTGTACATGTCTGATTTAAGAGAATTTTGTGTACATTAACTATTACATAATATGTCAAAAATATGTTTGACATATTATGGAAATTATTAAGTTTAATACATATACACATTACTTTAAAAAATTGATTCATTAATTTAAATACACAAATTGTAAAATTAAAATAAGCTTTAATTAGCTGATTGCTCTTGAAAAAATATTCATTCTCTGTAGTTTCAATGGTCTAAATGTAGATTTAATGCATAAGGTTTCTTAAAGCATTAAATCTACATTTAGACTTTATAATATTTTATAAACATTAGGTATTTTTTAAATTCAGATTTTTTGTTTTGATACAGGAAAAAATATTTCTAAACAATAAAAGAGATAACTCTTACATAACCTACAGTAAAGAAAAGTTAAATAAGAAATATTTCAAAATGAAAATTAATATGTAAAAAATATTAAAATATAAAAAGAGTAAATGAAGTATAGAGCGTGGGCAAGTTAAACACTTTTATAGGTAATAAAAGAGATAGCTGCATAAAGGATACACCAATTAAATGCTTTAATAATACAATGAAATACAAAAACATATATATAAGCAAAAAGTATGAATTTTAATTGGTTCATTTTTCAATCTATCTAAAACAATAATTAGTTAACAGAGGATGAAATCACATCTTAAGTTTTAATGCTTTATTTATATAATTTGCAAAATCAAATGCTATAAACTTAATAAAACAATACAGATTTTCTTTTGTAAATAGTAAAGTTAAAAAATAGTAAATTTCAAAACTAATACACAAGTCAAGTTTAAAGTGATTTTCTAATACAAACATCAATAATTTCAAAAATAAATTAATAATTGTAAAAATAAATAAATAATAACAACAAAGGATGTAAGGTCCACAATAATCTAAACACAATTAATTCTATTTTTAGAAACAGCTAGTAAAAAACACAAGTAGAAAAAAATAATACAATATTAAATGTTTAAGAAATATTTAAATATAATTTTATCTACATAAGATAATAATTTTTGGTCAAAATTTAGTTTTCTTTAAGCTATGAAAATCATTAAGTAACAGAAGACATTTTTAGACAAAACAAAATTAGATCATAACTAGTCTAGTTTCTCTTACAATACATGCCTGGAATAAAAAAAAAAATGGCTTCTGTATATAATTCCTTTACAAATTAGATAACCAAGTGTAAAAAATACATGATTAGCAATTTTTTTAATATGATTTTCATAATAATTTGTATGGCAAACTTATATATTATGATATTTAATAAAAATTGAGAATACTTAATTATTAATTAAACAAAAAAAGAAATGTGCAAATTTCCTTTCCTAATTTTTGCAATAGTTTTTGTCGGAATAACTTATAGTATAAAATAAGCAACATGAAAATTTTCACATATATATTTAGCTCCTGGACGCAGATAGAACACCTGTGTCTCTGTCATTCATACATTTCTGATGCTCTAATTACAAGCAGAAATATATTTTGGTACCTTTTAAGTGTAAATAACAGTCTAATAGTTACTAACAAAAAATCTGTCAGATTATGAGAATTCTATTTGCACTAAAATGTAAAATCCAAAAGAAAAAAGTAGTTTGAATTTTTTTTTCTCATTTATATTCAAAACTTTATCAATAACTGATTTTGAAAATTAAAGAAATTTCAACAGGAATATACCAAGAAATATATCAAGAAAATTTCAATGAAAATCCATACTATATTTTATCTACATACCCTCCAACTGCTATGGAATTTCCGTAGTTTCAGAAATCTTCTTTTCAGACGGTAGCAAAATTAATGACTTAATATTTAAAAAAATTTAATTTTAGCGTAACTTGTCCACTATTACTTATAAAAGTGCAGGCCATATGGCTAGATTCTTAAGTTCTGATAAAAGTTTTATGAGAGATCCATTTGCTTTAAAAATTTCTACTTTGGTTCGCTACCACTAGAAAGAATTATTTTCAAANTGTCATTCATACATTTCTGATGCTCTAATTACAAGCAGAATTATATTTTGGTACCTTTTAAGGGTAAATAACAGTCTCATAGTTACTAACAAAAAATCTGTCAGATTATGAGAATTATATTTGCACTAAAATGGAAAATCCAAAAGAAAAAAGTAGTTTGAATTTTTTTTTTCTCATTTATATTCAAAACTTTATCAATAACTGATTTTGTAAATTAAAGAAATTTCAACAGGGTTCCAACTCAATTTCAGGAAAAAAATTGCCTGACTTTTCTGGGTATATCAAGAAAATTTCAATGAAAATCCATCCCATATTTTATCTATACCATGCAATTTTTCATCAGGCAACTTTGGTTTTTTATTTGTAATGTCAAATATTAGATTTTGTGAGCAAAGAAATATCATTGAATGATGATAGAAGCATGGAAGTTCCACTAAAATCTGAAATTTTTACAACAAAATGTAATAGATGTTATATTTATTTAACTCAAATCTTTAATAACTGACTACTGTTATTGACAATTCTAAGACTGGTTATTTTCCAGGTATAATGTAAGAGTTTTCCCATCTTAAAAAAAGAAAAACCCAATTTTTCTTGTTTTTCCTGACCTACGGAAACAGTTTCAACGATTAATAAGAATAACTCTTTCTATTAGATCGATATAAGTGTATACGTGAAAAAATTATTGTTCTGAAGTGAGTCTTGTTTGGAAGATTTTACACTTAATGCAGAAAAAGACACTGGTGTTTTATTCAATGACCATAAATTATTTAAATGCGAAAAAAAATTAAATTTTCCCCTTATTTTGAACTAAATTAATACAAAATAATTAGAAATGTATTAAGCATATTTTTAATAAAAATGTGCATCAAAGAGTTAATAAAAGAATTTGTTTAAAATAGGCATTTTAAAAGCATTAAAATATTGAGATCAATTATAGATAATGCCTTTTTTTCCAATAACATATAATAAAAGTTGTATGAAATTAAATAGGATTACATATTATCAATAACAAAACTTTAAAAAAAAATCAGACACAAAGAAAAATACAATAGTAGAATGCAGCAATTGTAAAGAACAAATTTTAAAAGTGTAAATATAAAGCTAAATATTATTACCATATAATATAACTATATATTAAAAAGTATATATAATTAAATATTAATTAATATGTATGGTCATAAATAAATTCTCAACATTTGCTTTGGTAAATTGCTAGGAAAAAAGTTTGAGATCATTTTTTAAGATACCCAAATAACCCATTAATTATAGTTATCTTGCGTAATTCTTTTCAATACAAACTAATTACCTTATTTCTTACTTATATAGCTAACTTTTAACAAAAGTATATAAAAATGTCTCATTCAAATATTCTATAAGAAATATGCTAAAATTAATTTTAAAATTTTGCAAAACTCACAATAAATTGCTATAGGATATTTCAATACGTCAAAAGCACCTTAAAGGTATTCAAGGTTAAGATTCTATTCTTTGTCAATCTTAACCTGTGGGTAATCAAATTCCCGATTTAGCAAGAAACTAATTCTTGTTTTAAATTATTTGTTTTGTCTTATTTCCTTTAAAATATCTTTTATAAAACTTAGTGACTTTATAAGATTTCAATTTTCAAAATTTTAAATAAATTTTTAAAATATTTAAAAATCTTAGGAAATAAAATTTGATAACTATGGTTCATAAAAAAAATATAAATAAAATAAAACAAAAAATTCTAAAACATAAATTGGAGCTTTATAAGCAAAGAATTGGTTCAAATAAAATTCTCTGTAAAGATAACAAGGGAAATGCAACAGTAAAATCTGATTCTTGGAATCCTTTAAAGCATTTAATTCATTTATGTTCTTAAGTACTTTAGACAACAGAAAACTTAAAGAAACATCTGTTTAATACTTCAAACAATTTGAAAATATTTCCATAGGTAAATTTTTTTCTTATCAAATAGGATTCCCACCACACACTTTTAAGCATTACTTTTAAAGGAAAATTCATTTTACGAATGAAAAATTATTCTAGAGCAATGAAATGCGAATTGCATAAAATTTGCAACGTAAGTTCAACATATTTCTTAGGAGCCAACACCCTTCATGTATAAAAGGTAAAGAAAAATTATCTCAATTTGGCAGCAGCTCAAGAGTCAACAACAACAAATATTCATTTTTAATACGTTCAATAAAATGATTAAAATATAATAGTACAAATGTCATTTAGTTAAAAAATTATTTGTTGATTTATGTTTGTATCCATTGTTACATGATTTGACTAAATTATATAAACAAATTAAGAATTTGCATTGTTATTTCAGATAAAAACCATATAAGAAAAATATTTTAAACAATTGTAAAAATGAATAAATCAGGCATAAAAATACGCAATTAAAAAAAAATAAAATATTAAGATGTTTATGTTATACACTCTTTTGAGAATCAAGGAAGCGGGAAACAAAAAAAGAATTTATAATGAAATTTTGCTAAAACATACTGGTAATATTTAATACAATGCATAGTATTGGGCTAAGGCAAATTTCATTAATTTTTCGATATATTCAACAATTTACCCATTTCTTTTATGACAATAGCATGTTGGGAGTTATTGCTACATATTTTGACATAGTTTTTAAAATCTAAATGATTTAATACGATTTTATAGTGAACAGCGAATTTCTAATCACATATTTGAGTTGTCACTTTCTATTTTGATCCACACAATTAGTAAAGATTTCACCATAAATTTTGTCAGCTATTGCTACAGATTTCCACATTTTTAAAAAAATATTTTTAAATCTCAATATTTCATACGCCATTATAACGCATCGCGAATTCCGAATTGCATATTTAGGCAATATTCATTTTTCAAACTAATCGATTAACGGCATGTCCAAGGCGAAACTGCATTTTGTAAACAGATTTTTCGGTAAGTATAAAGCAGATTTTCACATGGTTTTTGAAATGGTAATGCTTTAATATGATATTTTGCTCAGTAAGCTTCAAATCCACACTTGAAGAATAACTTTTTTTATGCACTCGATTATCCGTAAATCTGCGTGATATTATTGATCACATTTGCGGTAGTTTTTATCACTGTAAATTTTCCTATGGTTTTAAAAATCTTGATTTTTTTAAAAATTAAACTCATTAGCAAAGAAAAATTCAAACTGCACATTTCCGCCAATTTTATATTGAACCTGCAATTCTTTCAAATTGTAAGAGTTTTGTGTATTCTAAAACCGAATACGTGATTTTTCAGGCAGCATTGATGCTTTTACATAAGACAAAAGAAAAAGTCGAGATTTTCAGCGCATTTACAATCCTGAATTTCGAATCGCGCTTATGAATAATGACCTAACGGCGCTCTCTAATTCCGCCAATTTTATATTGAACCTGCAATTCTTTCAAATTGTAAGAGTTTTGTGTATTCTAAAATCGAATACGTGATTTTTCAGGCAGTATTGATGCTTTTACATAAGACAAAAGAAAAAGTCGAGATTTTCAGTGCTACAATGAAATGCAGTTTTAGGCGCAAATCTTCGTTTAGGTGACATCCAAATTTTTTGATCACATATTAGAGGAAATCAATTCAAATCCATGAAAAAAAAATCGGAAGTCTGGTAAAAATCATAAAAAAGCAGAGGATTCCCATCCCTGAATGAAATGAAAAAGTATACTTTTAAGTGAAAAAATGGCAACTATGAAGAATAAAAAAAATAAAAATTTGTAAACAAATAGCAAAATAAACACTCAAGCAATGTAAAGGCAATCAATAAAAATATAACAGCAATAAATTTTAGATAGAAAATGACTAAGTAACAAATGCAGTTATCAAAACAAATACACTGCATTAAGTAAATAAAAGACAAAATATGTAAATATCACCTTTGTAGGCATTTTCTATTTTGGCATTTTAGACTAGCAAAATGTATGCGTAAATTAAAAAAAAATTGATTTAAATTCGAAACTATAAACTTAAACAGTTCCTTTTTAAATATTTTTAAGAATAATAATGAAAGTAACACAAATAAATGAAATGGCTTATAAGGGACAGGGCCGGCGGAAGGGATAGGTGCCACGATGGGGGGAAGGTAAATAAAGTAAGAATGAGAAATGAAAGGGCACCAATCAATGGATCAGTGAATGGGTGTATTAACACCTATCAGCAACAAACAGTAGAGAATTTGTTTAAAATAGAATTACTGAAGGGCATTTTAATAAATAGTTGGACCAGTGAATGAGTCATGAAATGTGTGAAAATTTTTATAAACCTATTTTCAATTTTTTAAAACAGCGACAGATTGAATGCAAAACACAATAGTAATTTCTTTTGAAAATTAAACCACAAAAACAATTGGTTTCGAAGAGTCTATGAAAATTGCGACTGCTAACGCATGAAAAAATAATTTTTATAATCATATATTTGCATGCTATTAGAGATTATGTTCATTAAAAATAATAGCTATAATAAATATTTCTAGAATGGTTGAGTCTAATTAATGAAACTAATCACTCTCTTTACCTTGAATGCATTAATTGCTATTTATCTTGCTCACATGTTTTCTAAATTAACATATAGATTTTTAAATTCTCTAGTTTGGTATAAATTTTTAATTATCTGTTAGAAATATTATAATTCATAATATAAAAAGCAAATTTTCTGCAGTGTCATGACTACACCAGTGAGACAATTCAAGGTCTTTTTTTTAAAAATAAAATAAAATTCAGATTTCTTTTCCAAAATCGAGTAAAGTATGCCACTATCGCCTGGGGCACGAAAATGTCTTCCACCGGCACTGATAATGGGTAAATGTAATAAAGTTAAAATGCACAGGAAAATGAATTAAGTAAAAAAAATATGAGAAATGATTGTTTTTAACAACAGGTATACACAACAGTCATTTAACAACAAAATACTTGTAGATGGTAAAATTTAAAAGTACTGAAAAATTATTACAAATATTCAGTGGAAATCGTTCACTTTTCAAGTTAATACTTATTTTTCTGGTATAAAAGTTCAGAAAAAGAACATCAATTCAAGTGAATTCAGATATTATATTATACATTTAAAATATAATACAAGTTATTTATGCATGGCATGTAAAAAATATAGAAATATAAATGGATAAATAACATTTGTTGGTTTCATTAAAGAAGACTTACACAACAAATTTAATATTTGCTACACAATAATAGCAGGAATTGGAATTAGATGATCAATGCAATAATTCATTTTTAATAGATGTTTTATTAGAATAATTATCAGCTGATTGGGCAAGATTAGTCATCATAACTTCACGAACTTGTTCTGTCAATAATGGTACATCAGATGCTGTTAGATTTTCTGTACTTACCCAGGGTAAAACTGTAACTGTAATTGTGCCTATCCAAAATAAAATATTTACAGTATAAAAATAAAGCATAAGTAAAACTTGAACTGCTCTTTTTTGTTATTTGCATCCAAATCATAATTTCAGAAAATGGAGCTCCAACTAAATTAATATTTATTATTAGTCATAAAACATTATTTGATTTTTTTTCTGGTAACTTCTGCAACTTTTCAATTTAAGAAATTTGCTTATTTCAGAGCATTTACTTTAAGTATTAATTAATTGTTATAAAACATGGGTTTATAGTTACACCATATGCATGAAAGTTTTCTACAACAGGTAAGTTACATTTAAAAAAAGAGAGCAGATTGTTTTTTAAGTTACTTCCATAAGGAAGATAAGATCTTAAGAAAAAGTAAAACACAGGCATGAAAGTGGAAAAAAAAAAAAAAAAAAAAAAAAGAAGCTGAACTTTCACAAGACAGATACTGGGAGGTGGCGGAAGGATGTGTTTTATGTAATACTGTAATATATAAAAACATAACTTCTAACTCTGCTGTCTGATTTTTATTTCATATTATTAATGGCAGAAGCATTTAGACAGTGGGATTTAAATTTGTCTTCAATATAATTTTAAACATCTTTGACTACTACTATATTACAGAAAATTAATCATTATATAAAAAAATATCAAAAAAATATGTTTTCCGAACATTATCAAAAATTTTAAAAATTGGGAGAAAAAAGAAGATTTTTGCTTTTTCACAGAAGTCTTTTTTCCTTGAAAAAATAAATACATCAGGATATTTATCTTTCTAATTTATATGATTACAATAGTTTGAGTGACAATTAAAACTCTCCTAATCAAAACTGATTCAACCATTTAAGAGTAAAAAAAATAAAACATTTTTCTAGAAACAAAATAAGGTTATTTCTTGTTATGTATTTTAAAGAAAACACTAATATGGACTAATAAATCAAATCCTATGATATTTTGAACTGTCAAGAATAAGCATTCACTAACAATATTAATTAATTTTATTAAAGTTCCTTTTTCGATAGATAAGTTTTTGCATTGTTATCAAAATAGACTTACCGCAATTTCTTGTTGCTAAAAAAAAAAATATATATTCTTTTTCTTCAAAATATTATTTATTTCAAATACTAAGAAATGGACTACAAATTTCATTGTTTAATTCATTTCACATTTTGATTTGTACTTCACATTTAGGTAAAATAATGATTTCCATTGGCAACAAATTTCAAACTGAAACATTTTAATGTCATTAAAATATATATAAACTCTTTAATTAAAAGAGAACATCACACAGAGAGAAGTTTTAAAAACTGAAAAGGTCCTTCATACATGCACTCCTCTGGGCTCCTAGCCAAATCCCTAAGGTTACAAAAGCTTGCTCTGTTGATAAAATTATGTGGCCTTCATTTGCCCGCATATTAAATTTAAAAAATCCAAATGGAAATAAAATTGATTCAAAAAACCAACCAGAAAAGAACTGTTTGAGATGTTTACTGACAGCACAGCTTATTTCTGTCCAGTTATATTGCTCATTTTGTTTCAGCTCTTAGCTGCAAAATGTGAGAAAAGAAACTTTACAGATTTTAAAATCATATATACACTTATTGTTTAAGTGTTTTATGTATTACAGACAGATATGGCTAAACATCATTATGGCTTCCTTTATAAAAATAATTTGCATTCACTAACAAACATTTTAACATTTTCTGAATTTTAAAAATATAAAATCAGTAAAAATGGAGCCGCTATACTCAGGGCCTGACTTAGCCTAATTGGGGCCCAGGGTTAAAACTTCTTTGGGAGCTGCCTCCGCTTCACTTCACCTATCCAGTAATGAAGAACCGAACTTTATGGAGGTATTTAAATTTTCACCTCATTATAGATAACAAAACAAGAAAATTGACTGGAACCTAAAACAGCTATAAAGTCCCAATGGTCAGATGAAATATTGTTCCTTCCCTTTTATTGATAGACAATTCCATAGCCATCATGCCGAGTGCAGTTTCCCGATTGCCATCTTGCTGCAAAAAGTGCTTATAAGCTAAAATTCGGACAGAATTCAGCAAAAATTTTCTCAATTACATGGCTCAATTAAAAGCTCGTATATTTGCAAACATATCACATTTTACGATATGTAAAAATACAAGCTTTTGATTGGCCAAATTTAATCCATCGTAATTGCGAAAATTTGGCTGAATTACGCCCTAGAAAGTCATGGATTTCCGAAATTAAATTTTGTGTTCATACGATAGATTAATGAAAAAGTTAACACAAAACTCATGGATTTTACATTGTACTGATATTTTGTTTAAAAAAAGTTCTTAAAGAAGGAAACGTAAAATAAACTTTCTGCTCGATTTGGGGGCAAATGCCCCTGCCTTAGTCAGGCTCTGGTTATATTGAAGAAACATGCAATTGGTTTCTATTATTGATTTTTTCGTAATTAATGACAAAACATAAAATTACCTCGATCAAAAATCTTCTTACTGATACTGTAGAAATCAGTATATTGAGAGAAGACAATAGGTACAATAGGAACCTAAGGCATAAATAAATTAAAATTTAAAAAAATAAAACAGTAATTAGTTATTATAAATTACGTAATGATTAGAATGAAAAAAAAAACTACATTAAATACAGCAAATGAAAAACAAAAAACACAACATGTTAGGGGTCATATAGTCCTGCATGAAGATTTAATAATAGTTTCAAAAATGCATTCAATAATATTCAAAATAAATAAACAGAATATAGGACAACAAATAAACATAAATAATAACTTGTTTATCAGTTAACATGTTATTGTTGTTTACATTTATTATAAATTCATTTACCTTTGTCTGAGTAGCTATATGAAAAGCCCCCTTTTTAAAAGGAAGTAAAGTTCCTTTGTCATTTCTGGTACCTTCTGGGAAAAACCACAATTTTACCTAAAATTAAGATAATGCTTTGTTTTTAGTTCATTTAAACAAAAATGATAACTATACAAAATAAATAGGTCGGTAAATCAGAGCTCTAAGCTTGAAAAACAGTAAAACATAATGACTAATGTATAGAATTCAATTAAAAAATGCTTTTAAGTTCGGTTTAAATGTAGATAACAATTGTAACAAAACAAGTGATAACAGACACCTAACATTTGTGTATTATATCTGTACGACTATGTCTGCTAAGGCTGGGTGACACATAGGAAAATATTGATAATATGCAATCATAGCCGATCAGATGTTTGGATTGTCGTTTTCTCTCTCGAATCTACAGAAAATTAAGACTAAGATCACTCTTTTCTGAGTCTGTGACCAATGTTGTCCTGTCATTTAATAGCAAATATTTGTTTCTTTATTTAATTGAATTAATATATTTAAAAAAAAATCAGATTAGAACTAATCTACAGCTATAAAAAGAAAATTCAACAATAAAAATATAAATATGCGACATACTTTAGAAAAACATACTGACTCGACTTCATCGTGCTAGAAAATTCACACAGTAAAAAATAAGAAAAAGAGGGAAGTGACAGGTTGCTTATTTAATTTAAGTCTCCACTTTTATTTGCTGACTTACCACATGGTGAGAAGTTATTTTCAGATCTAGTTGTAGACCTCGATGTCTACACGAAGGATGAAGAGCATTGTTCATAGGGCATTGATGATTTTAAGTGAGTGCAAAGAGCCAGTAATTCTTCCAATCACAGGATGCTTATATGAAGAGCGTTTTCCAATAATCAGAAGCTAACAGGAGGCGGCTATCGTTATCTTTCTCCATGTTACTTCTATCATGTCTCATCAATATCAAGCAGCGAATCAAAGCTTTTTAATGTTAAAATTTATGTTAAGGTGTACTTTTGCATTATGTAATGTGATAAAAAAACTATGAATTTTCCTATTGTTTTTATCTTACTTAATGTAAATTTTTTTTTGGATAAGGTAATTTTTTTTTTTTTTTTAAAAAGTAATCAGTTTTGCAGTCATGAATTTTAAATATTAAAAGGTGTTTAATTTTATGCAAATATGTTGCTAAGTTAACTTATAAAAAGAATTGTGTGCTTAGAAAAATGGTCTTTAGTTTATAGAACAATTACTACCCACAATTGCTGTCAAAATACTTGGATATGCAGCTCTTCACTCAAAAAGGATGTGCACCCTTACCTTAAAATTTACAAATTTGTATAACAGGTCTTCATACAGGTCAATATATAAGGCTTTTTCTGCTTTGAGGACGGGACCCATAATAAATTACATGCCGGGTTTCATGAAAGCTTTAATTCAGCTTTGGATGTAATTATATTGATTGCCCTCTTCGGCTGCACTGCAGCATTTGTGGGCCTAGCATAGACACACATCAAAGGGAGGAATTCCAATCTTAACCCGAGAGAAGGGATTATTGAAAGAAAACAGAACAGTGTTACAATTCGACTAAAACCTTATTGTTTGTTAGGGTATGAATCTTTAGAAAACTTAAAATAAGCTATACTAAAAACAATTTTCATAACTATAATGACCAATAAATAATTCTAGTTTAAAAACAAAAGAACATTAGAAAATTGACGTAGAAAAACAAACTTATTCACACGGATGCAAAATACCACAATTCATAAATGCATCTGTGTACTTATCAATTTTATTGAAAATTCAATAGTTACATTTCTCTCTTAAGGTTTTACAGAATTATGAATACTTAAGGCACAAATAAGTTTTGCTTACGTTGTCAATATTTGATTTGTTATTCAATATGAAGAAAATTACATCAAATTGAATATGTAAATTAGTGGAATCATAACTTTTTAGTTACCTACACAAAATATATGCTAGCAAGAATGTTTCAATATTTTTGCATGCTAAGTTTCATGAGATTGGAATGCTTCTTCCCCTATATAGAAAAAAAAAAGATGTTTTTTTTTTTTAGAAATTTTTATTTTTTTCCCAGTCAAAACTTCATGTTTAACTTGAGTAACTCTAAGCAAGGATTTATACATTTTATTCTTTATCTTTAAGAGAATTGAAATTTAATACTTATAGGAATGAAAAATAAAAGTATTTAAAAAATTTTTTTGTTAATTAAATGCATACATCTTTCATTGTTTCACAATAAAAAATTTTTTCTCATAACTTATTGGTTAAAAACTTTAGTCTAATTAGGACATAAAAAGTGAAAATGCATGTAACAAAAGCATGCCAATAATAATTAATTGAAATAAATTTTATTCGCATTAAATACATTTTACTCCTATTTGGTATAAGCATAGAATAATACTTCATAGATTTATAACTCTTTACATGTTTTCATAAATTTATTCCTCAATTTTTTTATGTAAATAAACAGCAGATGAATAAAATTTAAATTATTGTACAAAAATATAAACAGTCAGAATATATATAAGAGTTTTTCTATTTTATATTTAAAATTAATTTTGCACTGGAAAAAAAAAAACCTTCTAAAAACTTATAAAATTTTTCATATAACTGCTTATAAGATGTATTTTTAACACAAATCACAAGACATTTAAATTTAAAGATAGATTTAACAATAATTTAATGTTGTAAATGTAACAACATGGCACAATATTAGAATGGCACAACAAACAGTTAAGAATATTAATTATCAAAATTTTATATAGAATAGAAAATAGTAAAAGAGATATGACTTTTTTCAGTAACTAAGACTACCCTTTCCTTAATTATCTGAATTGTTTTGTATTTCAAAGATGAAGCAGTGATTAGGTCATAGTTTCAAAGATATCTTGTTAATATGAAAGTTAAATTACATAATTCAATATTTATAAAATTATTTTTAATAAAATAGGATCAAAACAGAAAAATCTAAACAAAATATCGAAATACATGAAACTAATTACACTTTAAATGAAACAGTTTTATGAATAAATTTCTAGTAAAATTTAGATATGAATTATTTAGTTTTATTGCTTATATTTACAAACTCAATAAACATGAACCAAACGCAGTGTTTTCCCCAAGCGTTTTTGAAAAGAGGTCCCCTTTCTTCGGGAAAGGAGGTCTTGTCCTTTTTTGTAAAAATAAGACATCACTTCTTGAAAACTCTGCCTTTTATTTTTTGGAAAAGGTTTTTTTAACCACCTGTTTGAATGAAAAATCCACTTCTGATTTATTTAGTTACTGATAATTATTTAATTTTAATTTATAATTTCATTCCTTCATTTCAGAATGATTTTTCTTATCTTGTATGGTTATATAGTTAAAATTCCCATGATATTCGGCCCCAGAGATATTCATGGGGTGGGGGATATAATGAGTCTTTTAATGATTTTAAATTTCACTTTTTAAAAAAAATAAATACCTTATATTTAAAAAATGCACTTTTAAATGCTTATTTTTTTAAAATTTTCAGTTTAAAAAAAAAAAAAAGCTATAAAAAAAAAGCTTTCAAAAAGATTGCCTTTAATTATTTTTCAAAACCTTCAAATTTTTCTGTTATTTCGTTAATGCTGAGAAATATACAGATGAAATAGTATGGTACAAAATAATGTTACTAGTTATTTGGTCAAAATTAGAATACCTTCTTATCTTTCATAGCAGTAATTTTCTTATTAAGAATTTTGTAAGCAGCTGCCGAGTTGCATCGATCAACAAAGATACAGTCACAAAGCCAACAAAATATGCCAAATGGTCCGGTGAAAAGCAACTCTTTTTTTAAAACTGGTACACCAGGATGAAAAAGTGGCCAAATATACATCATGCCTATAAAAAATCAACCTTAATTTAAAAGAAGAGGAAAAGAAGATTTTTAAAACAATGATTAAAATTAAACAAATTCAATTACCTTGATGAATTTAACTTTTGTAATATATCAACTGAATATTTTGTAATATATCTTTCGAATATATCCACCCAATTAATTTTTCATACAATGAATTATAAAATATAATTAATTTCAGAAAATCAGAGAAACAAAAGCTTTGTCATAATTTATTCATATTAATACGTTTACATATCATGTAATTAAATTATAGGGTAACACTTTATCCCAAATTTTACTTAATCATAGTTTTCAATTGCTAAATGCAAAATTCAAATTAAATCCAGTCTAATAATTGAGGAACAAAAATTTTGCTTGATTTTTAGATTTAGACATTTTAAATTACACAATTAAAAATAATGTAAACACTTTTTACATTCTAAAAATAAATTTTTCTTTAAATGCCAAATAAAATTTCAGATAAGACAAAAAAATGTGATTAAAATAATATTTATAATTTAGTTTGTAAATAACTTTTAAGATGGAGTTTCTATAATTAGGTAGGTATATATTAATTTTATAGAATTTATACTATGGGTTATATATGTATATATATGTATGTAAAAAATTTATACTAATATATTCATATTAATTTTATAAAATTTATACTATGTAAATTTACTGTTAAAAAACCATACGTTGGTAGTATTACATAAATTATTTATGTTTTTAAACTTTTTCAAAGAGTTCTTGTTAAAAATTAATATTTTTCCCTCTCTACTCTCTGGATTTCAAAGCTATATATAGTAATGTAGACAATGCTTACCACTAATATCTAATGCACTTTGATGATTGCAAACAAAAACACAAGGTTCTTTAGATTTTAAGAGTTCTTTGTTCTTAACATCCCACTTTAATCCAAATACAGGAGAAATTATATGATGAACCATCCATGAAGCATACCTGTATTTCACAAACAATGTTTATTTTTTTAAGCAATTAATTAAAAAAAGGCATAAAACTACATATTGAAAATATAGAGTAATTAGATAACAATTGCATGCAATAAAATGTTTTTCTTTCTTCTCTTCTTTCTCTGTGCTATTCACTGTTTTTCTTTCATTCAAATATCTTGAGAAAATTATTTTAGAGCATCAATGTAACTATACATAAAATTTAGACTACATTCTATTAAAAAAAATTTATGTTTATAGAAACGGTAAGATTTTAGGTCAATTTATAATAGATTTAGCAAAATTCTAACATGCTATTTTTTGCATTGAAAAAAATAAGAATGCAACATTAGAATTTATTATAATTTAGATGTTTATTTTTGGGTAAGTCGGAGCTTTATTTAAGTCTCATTAGAGCTGCACAATTGGCAAAACATTTCTGGGGAGGATCTGAAGACAAATCATCAAAATTTTTATTCCCTGCAAGGGTATTTCATTTGTAAAGTCACTTCTTTAATTTCAGGAATGGAACATAATTATTTTGGAGCAGAGAGTCTTTATATTCAAAGCAACATAGGGCTTTTTAAATTAAATATTCGAGCACATAAAGTAACATTTTGTATCATACTTAGCTGAATGCCCATTTTTCGTAATGAGAGAGAAAAAATCAATAAATCAGTACTTTAAGAAATCATGCACAAATCTGAAATTTATATACAGTACAGAACCTCTTATCCGGAAATCAGAAAACCGGAACAAAATTCGATAAATTTTCCTGCCATTTAAAATTTTTTTTTAATTTTTTCCTCATAAGATTTTAGGATTTTTCTTTCTTTTTTCAAAGATGTTTACCTTACCATCATTTTAGAAATAATCATTAGTGTATTACTTTATCGTTTTTTCTTCTTTTTAAGATTATTTCTAAATATATATTTTATTAGTTGGGTTTGACAATAAAAAAACGGCTTTTTATAGCGATTCAGCGACCGGAAAAATCAGTTATCCAGAATAGCGATGGGTATCCAGATAGGATAATCGGTTCCCTACTGTACCATTACAATTAAGAAATCTTAGTTATTATTATTTGTTGACCTTCAGGTCACTTTCAATTATTAGAATAAAGGAAACACGCTTTAGAAGTTCACCACATCATAATAAAGATTAACTGATTCAATATTTGGCATATTGCTGATTCCTGAGGTCACCTCAAGATAGACAAAATTTACCAATTTCTATCAATTTTTTTCTCGTACTTATGCCTTTATGAATTCTGGCACTTTTGAGAGACAGCATTTCTCCAACAATAAAGCTGTATAGTATTGATGTAGTTTTAATCTACTTTTATTAAAATATTTTGTACCTGCATTGATGGATTTGCTTCATACTAAGATTGCACAAATTCCAATAACAATAGTATTAAAAAAATTAGGCATCATAGCAAAACAATTTTTCTCGTTTGTCCATCTCTTTGACCATTTTTCCATTAAAGCACATAATTTTTTTAAAAATTTCAATCAGTACCTATAACCAAAATTAATTAAACATCATTCATGTAAAAATAGTATGACTGTGTTTTTTATATTTTATTAAAATAATAAGTAGACCCTTTCTCCATAAATTATTGTTTTTCAGTACATATAAAAAGCTAAATAGTACACATAGAATTCATACTCAGGTTGCTTGGCTACTATAACCATTTAATTAATCATCATTAATGGCAATAACAGTTTGTGAATTTTTTACATTTCTATTAAACAGGGTTGGAGTTTTTGCCGGCAAAAAGGGTTTTTTGCCAGGACAGTGGCAAAAACCTGGTAAAAACCGGCAAAAATTGGTAAAAACCGGCAAAAACAAAATTATCTAAATTGCTGATTAAATATTATTACAAAATACTTGAAACAAATTTAAATCAATCATAAGGAATAATAATTTTGATACATTACATGAAAAAATTATTTTTAACATATTAATAATTAATATAAGGGTAATAATTTTTAAAAGATTGAAAGTTTTTGATCTCTTTTCATTTTAGAATCCTAAAATAAATGATTTTTACAAATAAATAAATAAATATTATTATTTGTATAATATTATTATTAATTATAAAAAATTATTATTTGTACAATAATTAACTACACATGTTGATAGATATTTTATGCTTTAAATTATAGTTATATTAATTTAAAATAAGCTCATTTCACTGGATAAAAGAGAATAATCACAAATTTTCCTATCAATAATGTTTTAAACTACTAAAATGATATATTATTACATTATCATTTAATTATGGAATAATAATTTTGTTAATTTTTAATTATTTATATTCATAGTATATATATCAATTTTAGGAATAATTTTGTATCAAAAATGTGTTTTTGTCCTGAAAATATAGGTTTTTACCACTTTTTGCCAATTTGCTTGGCAAAAACCTGTTTTTGCCAGGACGGTTTTTACCATGGTTTTTTCCACCTGCGGCAAAATCTTGCCAACCCTGCTATTAAACATATTAATACCATTGTACCATTATTTCTGCTGTTTCATACAATTTCCTTGGATTTTAAGTTATTTAGTTTTATAGAAACTCATTTTAATTTAGCAGCAAGCTTGAGCAGAAATTTATTTTTGGAGCAATCGTTACAACCCTGCAATTTAGACATCGATCTGAGGGGGAAGGAGATTTTCTCTGGTTTCCTTTACAGATGGTACTACTCAGTGACCGACTACAGTGTAAACTTCCACAGATTTTAAGAGCACATATATCACATGTACTTAGTTTTAGTGGAATGGAAGATTAAGCCAGAATCTGATTTTCTAATCATGTGGGTACCATGACCCTTTCTAAGAATAACCTCCTTCCCTAAAAAGAGTCAGTATTGTTCAGACAAAAAAGAACAAACAAAAAAAGCACGCAAGCTAAATTAATTATTGGGCAGCAATCTTCCATTCGTGACTTCATTGCCTGTGGAATGGAAAAGAACTTAACTTTAATTAATTTTATTAAGAATATGAATTAAAACATTAAATCATTTGATATTCTATGCACCTAATTAAAATAGATGAAGAAAAATTCTATAGTTTGCCTGCAAAAAAAAGTATGTAAAGCAAAATTTTATTTTTCTAAATGAAATTTTGCACAGCATGCCAAACTATTATTTTTAAAAAAGGATTTGATGAAAACTAAAGAGAAAATTATTCAGATTCTATAAAAAAAATTTTATGAATATGGACAGATACATTATAAAGTTGAAGGATATAATTTTATATAGGTTTGTACTTCTAAATTTAAAAATAATAATAATTAATAAATATGTAGAGGTATGATGGGACTGGCTATGACTATTTTAGTTACTTGCAGAGCCAAAATAAAGTGATAACTTTGGTGCAGACACAAAAATGTTTCCAAGTTAAATTTTTTATTTATTTTTATAACTAATAATTAATTTGTCATAACCTTCAGTACAAAAAGTGAACATTTGAATTTTTTCAAATAATATCAATGAAGTTAAAACTGCATTTCTGGCATACTAAGCCAAAAAGTATTAAAAAAATGAGAATTTTTTGAGGGATGCTCAGATGAAAATATTAGCTATTATTCCTTAAAAAATAAAAGGGAATATCTTTTAAGTTTATAAGCTTGACTTCAACAAATGATGAATTTATTTTTAAGGTACAAATGCCGAACTTAAAACTTTTGTATCAACTTAAAATATATTGCAAAATATTTTTGTTTTGCAGTTGATTATGCTTAGGTGCAATAAAGTTTTTAAGAGTACCTAATTCACTTACAGTAAATTATCAGGATCTCCAGGATGAAGCAATGAAAATGGAATAGCAACGGTTGTTACAGAGAATATTGCAAAGTAATAGAATATTAATTTCACGTAAAACTTAGCAGGTCGACTAATGTGACACAAAAAATATAAAGTCAAATAAATTGCTGCAAAATAGCAAATGATTTCTCCAACAGACATGACAGTTTACAATTCGAGTTTAAGCTAATAATGGAAATGCAACGCTATAAAACAAAGTAAAAAAAATAATTAGAAAGCTTAAAAAATAATACTGATTAATAGAATTTTTTATTGTAATTTAAGGATTAAATTTCAATCACTCCATCAAGAAGTAGTCCGAAAAGTCAATTTTCTTTTTGTAGTTACAGAAAACGATTCAGTTATCGATACAGTTATACTGCTATGGCTTCAAACTATCATGCCATGGTTAAATTGTACTGCAAGACATGGAATATTGCTGTTTCATTCATAAAGTCTCAATTTAACATAAACATTTGCGCACATAACTGTCGAAAAAGTTTTTTCAGTTTAATCTGATTCTGCAGGTTTTAGTTTTTGCTGGTTTGCGGGTTTAGTTAGACTTTATACTATTACTGAGAGTGGTGACTTAATTTATGACTGCTTTAAAATGTGATTTATTAACAACATTAAATTTCTTTTGTTATGCTCAACATTTAGCGTGTTTTTCTGAATAACACCATAAATAACGAATTTATTGAGATTTAAATGCAAACAGCTTCAAAGGCACAGTAATAAGCATTCGGAAGCGAAAACAGGCCACTGTCTGTTCCGGCGTATACAAATAGTTACTAAGTTCTTCTCACGGGTTCAAAATTTTAAATTAATAGTTATTTCCATGTTCCTTTTCCAAAATTTCACATAAAATTCTATTTATAATGTTAAAAGAACTGCTAATAGTTTTATTTATTTCTCTGTGCCTTTCTCCCGCAATATTATGCGATGATATATTTGGATGTGGTGGCTTCGTTAAATCGAATTTTACTATAAACTATTCAAGAGTAGAAATAAAATTGTAAATAAGTTATTTACATTAATCTTTATACTTTTAAACATTTTATTTTTCAAACTTTGTATTTGAAAATTTTACTTTATTTTTAGAATTTGTGATGGTTTTCCTTGCTGAAATATTACGATAAAATATTAGCTATTATGATAATTTTATATGTTATGAAAAAATTTATTTAAATCGAACTAATATATTTCAGAATTTTAAAATTTTTGGCTCTCTTATTTCTCTAATTTTCTACCTAAATTGTAATAAAATCTAATTGGTAGTTATTACATAATTGATTTTTTGCATTGAAGTTCTAATATTATATTGTTTTAGTATGTTACATAGATTGCTATTGCGTTATTGTTATTATTTGGTTAATTGAATATGTTGTGGGTAGTAAATTTGAAATATAGAATATGTAAATTTAATAGTGCAAAGTTAAGGATGATGGTTGGTTGACATGATTAGTATGATTGATTGTTGTTTGATGAGGTTTGAGGTATCATTGGTTGACATGAATGGTTATACTTGGGTGAGACATACAGCCTTACTTGAACCTTACAATACTTTATTGGAATTTAGTAATTTTGTGTGAAAAACTCAATTAATAATTCTACATTAACAAATTATTAAAGTAACCTATGAGAAATATTAGTTTGATTTTTTCTTTGGATCACTATGAGGCCTGAAATACACAAACAGTCCTTATTTGATCTTAATCAGAATTAAATCAAATTTAAAAATTAATGAATAGTATTTAAAGAAAAAAAAAAGAGGAAATTTTTATATTGGACAGGGTTTGTACTTTGTACGTACCTGGAATGCTGGGAAATGTTAGTAAAAGAAAGATTCAACGAAAAAGTCTCGAAAAAAAATCTACCCCAAAACTTCAAAATGTCAGGGAAACCTTTATCTTAACAAATTATGCAAAATACTTAATATTTCATGTTTATATTTATGATTGTGCATGATAATATGACAAAAAATAATAAATTTAATTGCCAAGCAGATGATTACTTGATAGATTATTGATATTCTTATGATATGCTTTAGCATTTCTGCAGATGAGAGGCAGCAACTTGATATATACAATTTCATCTGTCTCCATATTCTAAAAACGATGATTTAAGAACAGTAGTACTAGTATGTAGATGTACCAATCCTCCCATATTTTATGGTTAACTCAAAGCTCATTCTAGGCAGAAAAAAGGGCAGGGTGCAAAAGTTTAAAAAAAGGGCATTATTAATCTAAAAAGGCAATAATTTATTTCTATGGGCTTTACACGTTCTATTAAAAAACATTGTCAATTAGTAAAAGAATTTTTTTTTTCTTTACTTTTACTAAAAGCAAAGCAATCATATTAATTCCTAATTTTTATTAATAAATTAACATATATATTGAGTTAATGGGTAGTAATTTATTTAGTAGCTTAGTAATTTATTTAAAATGCATGCATATATTAATANCATTAGTAAAAGAATTTTTTTTCTTCTCCAAGTAGCAAAGCAATCATATTAATTCCTAATTTTTATTAATAAATTAACATATATATTGAGTTAATGGGTAGTAATTTATTTAGTAGCTTAGTAATTTATTTAAAATGCATGCGTATATTAATAAAATAATAAATGTATGTTTTTAAGTTTCTGTAGTTATGATTTAATAATTAAAATGATTAATAATTATGATTTAATGGTAGTGGAAGTAACTGCAAACTTTCAATGACAAGTGCAACAAGGGGTGTGATGGCTATTTTTCCTTTCCCATATAAATGTATTCCTATGTATTGACAGCAATGACAAACTAAATAAAAAGAGTTGAAAGTAACAAAAGTTTAAGAAATCCATAGTAGAGTTTGGGGAAAAAACTAAGAAGGGTTGAGGAAAGAAAGGGCAAAACTATTATATCAGGGCACTCATTTACTTCAGGGGGGGGGGGCAACAGGGTGGATTCTTTTGTCTAAAAGGGCAGCACTGTTTATCCTGCCTAGAATGAGCTCCGGTTAACTTGTAATTTCTGGTTGCAACTCCCATGTTCCAGAATTGAACTGAAGCTCTCCTGAATTTCGGACAATTGGAGGGACATGTGTAAAATACGAATTTTTTTTTCCTCTCAAAAAGAAGATAGTGTTTTCCTTTGTCACTGCTTTTTTTGCTGATAAAGCCAGCCTATTACTAGCACATTATTGGAAAACCGACTGTGTTAGTGCACTGTTTTATTTATAGATTAGTGTCATAATGTCATTATTATTCAAGTTATCATAATGTCATTAGTATCATAATGCCATTATTGGTTATTACTCAGGGATTGTTCATTATTATTAAAGTTTTTCATCCGGGCTTAGGACTGTCAGTATGTCAGAAACAGAGCCTCATTACTTCATTATTTTTATCTTTTAATTGAGTAAAAATAAAAGTTAACTGAAATTTTAAACTGGCCATATTTTGTCTGAGGGATCATCCACTTATTCCGCAAAATATTCAGGACTTCATATCTATCTTTTTGGATTTGTGATTTTCTGAATTCTTAATACTCTTGATTTGCTTTATGAAAATAATTCAAGTAAGATTTCGTATATGATTTAAATTTGTCATTTCAAAAAAATTAATTATGTAATATGTGTATAATTTTATTTAAAATTGATTGATATTAAAATTTACTGATCATGAATTTATTAAAATGGTAAATTGAAGAGAAAGACCATATACTAATTAAATCTACTTTTGACAAAGATGTATAGTAATTCAAATATTTTTTATTAAAATTCTGTTTTTTAATATCTGATTAAAGAAATATTGTGCTCAGTTACTAATTATAATTAAATATTAAATTTTTAAATTGGATGGATATTTTTTATTCAAAATTTCTTTTTTATGTTTGCAATTATTTTAGTAGCTTTGTAATTTTTACTTATATATTTTGCATAATGATTGCATTGAATTAACAATTCAGTATTTAATTAAAATTTAACCGGGGCCATTAAATTATTTTAATAAAAAATTATTTTTTAAACCGTCAATTTGGATAAACTTTTATGTTTATGCACTTCATTCAATAAATAAATGAAATTGACAACAGGTCTTCTGAGATCAAGTTCTTGGAAATTTTTCATATCTGTTTCCTGTGAATTCTAAACAGTCTTGCTTTTACAGAGATCTATATATTTTAAAATGCTATGTAAGTTTGTTTAAAAACTTGAATTTTTTTTTAAAATTCTAAAATGATTATATCTTTTGTTGTCACTGTTCCAAATCTAAAGTCAAATAAATTATCTTGATCATTGATTTTCATATTAATGTTTTAAATGAATTATTATTTAATTTTTCTGAAAATTATATTATTTAAATTGCAAGTTTTAATCATTAAATTTAAATCATTGATATTTTTCTACGTGTTGAATTTACCTTTCTTTTTATATTTTAAATAAATTGTTTACAATCTTTAAAATTTAAAAGTAAATTAACTTACATAATGTTATGATGCTTATCAATTTTTTGGATTAAATATAATTTACATTTTTATTAAACATTAATTTCATTAAAATATTGCTTTTTTTCTTACCTTGAAATTTTTGTAAAAATTTACATGGAAAACCTTTAGCCAGGGGAAAATTTTCTTCTTTTTAAGCATGAACTCTGATTGGAATCTCTACTAATAAATAAACAAATAAATATTAATTGTTATCCTACATAGAAAACATTATTTCTAGAAAGAAGAAAAAAGTGAGAAAGATACTAATTAGTATTTTTAATGAAATGAAGAATTTTAACATTGCGAAAAGATAGAAAAGAAATAAAAAAATATAAAAACATTTGCACTGTTATTTTTTGAAAGTGGAATAATTTAATTTGGAATGGGCATTGGTTTGAAGCTTTTAAGGCTTAGTGTTTGAATGGTTTTAAAAATATTTGCAAGTTAGTCAATTTGGGTGATGGTTTTTACACTATAATGTGATGAGACATTATAATGTAACCATGATCGTATAGAAAATTTAAAAAAAAATTTTTTTGCACACGGAAGGACTTATTCCTCTTTTAAAAATAATGTTTGTTGTTGATACTTTTGCATAAAAATTGTTTTTGTTGATACTTACAATTGTTGATACTTTGCTATAAAAAGTTTAAAAAAAATTAATTGTATATGTCCTGCTAAGATGTATGTTGAGAATGACGAATCTTTCCCTCTCTTCGACTTTTCATTTTATTTGGCTTGGCAATTTTTTTAAAAATTCATCTGGTTGCAACCGTTTTATGAAACTTAAAAGTTCAACTATAAAGGAAAGATGAAGTTAAAGTTAAAAGAAATTCATTTTTTTATGGAAACTCTTTGTCAAGTTATATTTTTTTTGGGGAGTTTGCAGTGATTCATTAATTTGTTATTTTCAAGTTGAGGAAAATAAACCAATTATAGCACTTTCCTTTGGTCATTTCAGTGGATAATGAAACTGTTCTAGACTTCCCTAATCATAGGCAATATTGTGAATGATTTTTTTAAATATTATTAAAAGAAATTTGTTTTAAGGTTTTTATCCTTGTACTTTCCATTTTCTTCTTCTCACTCTCTTTGTTTTTCACCTTTTCTATTTTAACTTTTTTTTGTCTCCTGCTTGTTTTAATTTTTCTTCTGAGTCCTTTCGATTTGACATTTTCTTTCTAACTTGTATTGGCTTGTTTCAGTATATTATTCGATATTGGGGTGTCTCTTCCAAAACTTTCATTTTTGTATTTTTAGTATAGAAAAAAAATAATAAGTGTATGTGTTTTATAGAAGCTTATTTCATTCCCAATTTTACATTTAATTTTTTACTCATTGTTTTTTTACGTTATAGATATACGAAACACGGCAGTTTAAAATATCATACAGATTGTGCTCCTCACAATGGCTACTATTTAATACCTTTGTATGATAAAGGAGACTATGTTTTGAAAATTGAGCCACCTCTTGGATGGAGTTTTGAACCAAGTAGTGTTTCATTGCATGTTGATGGCAAATCTGACCCATGTAGCCTAAATCAAGATATAAACTTTAACTTCAAAGGGTTTACTGTCTCTGGACAAGTAAATATCAATTTTTTTCATCTTAGTTATCTTTTTGTTTATTTGCTATAATATTTACGTATTTGTAAAAAAATAATTTTAATGAAATGCATTTGATTATAATTTATGCATTTTGTTACTACTCATGAAAAAAAAATTACCTGATAGACTTAAAACTTAAATTACTAACCTAAATTTATACGAACTAATTAATTTCTTAGTAAAAAAAAATTTCTTCTGTTAAATTTAATCATTTTCTGAAAATGTTAAAATCTACTTGACTCTTGATAATGTGAATAATTGCTTTTAAAATTAATTTCTATACATAGAAATCAACATTATGCAATTGAAGGATTTGGAGCAGTATTTACATCAGGTTATTTCGAAAGCGAACATCAGGTTATTCCCAAAAAGAAAATATTTACATCAGGTTATTCTATATGATAGTCAGAGTATTAATTTTAACCTGTGGTTTTTATTGTTTTGGTCAGTGTTAATTTTGGCCTCTGAAATTCAATATTTGTTTTTCGCAATACTAATCAAATATGTGATACCTACCTCTAGCATATGCAAACAACATTTTGATTATTTTTTAAAAGCTCATTTCTGTCTTTGTGTTGTATTTTAAAAATAATTTCAAATAATAAAATTTGCTATTACCTCTAAACTTGGGCAGTATTGTAATTTATTTTAGACTACTTCAAATTTAAGAATAATCTATCTGTTAGAATTGAGGATGTAAGGTAAATTTATTGAATTACCTCCTATTTTATGCTTTCTACTGAAATTAGCTTATATTTTACAATTGTATTCTATTTTTGACACTCTGAATGCATAAGAATATTATATATTAATATGCCTTATAAACTTGTCGGCGTATTTCATTTTAATTGTAATCTCACTTTCATTATTAAGTCACTTATAATTAAAAAAACAAATTAATTAGATAAATCAAGATCTACTTTTTAACTGTTCAGACCATTTTTTGATTTAACTTAATTGCCCTTTTTTTACAGGTTCTCAGTAGAGATGGAAATACTGGTCCTGTAGGGATTAAATTGAAATTAAAAGATGTTAATTCAAAGGTGATAAAGGAAACAATAAGTACAAAAGGAGGACATTATTCATTTTCTGAATTATTTCCAGGCAAATACAAAATTGAAGGCAGTCATGAGACCTGGCTTTTTGACCAATCACTTGAAGAAATTCAAGTTACTGATGATAACTATAAAACAAGAAATAAAATTGTCATAGCTGGTTATGATGTCAGTGGTTCTGTATTCAGTGATGGGCAACCCATACAAGGAGTTCATTTCTTATTATTTTCTCAGAAACCTCTTAAATCACCCTCAGGCTGCAATACAGATATGGTAAAAGGCTTCAGCCACACTTTAGACATGTCATACATATGTCACACCACTTCTTCCAATAATGGAAAATTTGTGTTTCCTTCTTTACCTCCTGGTAGCTACAAGTTAGTTCCTTTTTACAAAGGAGAGCACATTGAGTTTGATGTGTCACCACCTAAACTAGATTTTGTGATCAATGAAGGCAGCTTCCATATTCCTGAAAGTTTTCAAGTAAGTTCAAATGTTAATTTTAAACTTAGTATGTTATTGATGTTTCTTGCACCAGATTTATTATTTTCCTTATAAATTACAAAGTTCTGTTTTCTTATGCTCTTTATTTCTTAATCAAAATTTTATACCTAGTAGCAGAAAATTTCCAATATGGCAGAGGACACTGCAAATTATTCTTTTTATTTTTAAAAGTAAACAAACATATGGGTAAAAATTGTTGAGGCTCTTTTTAAGCATTTCCAAACTTGTTTCCAATGAAAATTTTAAATCTGAATGCCACAAAGTGGATTTTTTTTCTTCTGTTACTTGATTGTAGGCTTAACTGTATAGAAATTTATTCCATTTTTTAGTATCATTGCATAAAATTCAAATTAAATTTAAACATCTTTAAATTTTTATGCATAAATTTTAAGAACATGATATTTGCATATTTTGCTACATGTATATCAAATTAAGTTGATTTTTTTACGATAATAATCTCTGACTGTGTGCATTGAAGTTGCAGGCAAATTTGTATTTGTGAAGATAATGCTGCAGATTCACTCCATAAATTTATTGTACAACTATTGTGCCACAGTATATTTAGATGATTCTAAATTATGTTTAATTTTTGCATGTATGAAGGCATCTAATCTGCAACTAAAGATGCTAAAACTTAAATTTATAGCTGATATGAGAACTAATTGGTACTTTACCTTTTCATTTTAGGTTCAAGGTTTCAGTGTTAGTGGTTGGATTGGTACAAAGCCAAAAGGGAAAAGCTTGCAGAATGTTTCTGTGTACATAAATGATGAAATTCATGGAGTATCTGATGCAAATGGAATTTACCACTTAGAAAACATGAGGGCTGGGACATATCATTTGGAAATGAAAAAAGAGTTGCTAGTTTTTGAATCTAAAGAAATGAAAATAAATCCTAATACACCTAGGTTACCAGATATTTATGTAAGTAAATTCTATGTATGTGGCCAACTAATTATTGAAGAATATCCTGCTGGATTAGAACGTAGTGAAAGAAGTTTAATTCTGAAATCACTGAAAGATAATGAAGAACTGATAGTACAAATTAATGTAGACTTCACATTCTGTTTGCATGCAGCACCAGGAAAATATACTCTGGAACCCAAAATATCGGAAACTGAAGCAAGTTTTGGTTTAAAGTTTATGCCTGTGAAACAAACTATTGAAGTTATTGATGAACCATTGTTGAACATAAAGTTCAAGCAGTTTCGAGCCGAGGTGAAAGGAAAAGTGAACTGTATAGAAAAATGTTCCGATATAGTGCTTGATTTGGCTCCCTTGTCTCATGATAGACCTCATCTGAAAGCAATTACTGATGATTTGGGTTATTTTGAGTTCGAAAAGTGTTTGCCAGGTAATTATATTCTTTCATTAGTAAAAGATGAATGGTGCTTTCAGTCAAAAACATTAAAATTCACCATTGTTGATAAAGATATCCTAAACCTTGAACTCTACCAGACTGGTTTTCAGTCAACTATTATACTAACGCATGCATCAGCATTTAAAGTGAAGTACCCTTCTGGTGAGTTTCATGATATAGAACTTCATAAATCTAAAAATGCAATTTGCTTACCAGAAAAAGGAATATATGATTTCATTCCAGTAGGATGTCATTTATACAAAAAAGATTCTTTTAAGTTTGATACAAGCAATCCTTTAGAGATAAACCTATCTCCAATTAAACATTTAGTCACAGGAAATATACTGACTGAAGCAAATGTAACAGATATCAAAGTTCATGTAAAGAAACAAATGAATGCTGCAGAGGATATCATTTCACTGCAGGAACCATTGGACTTAAAAGGGGATTATTATAGATACACATTCTCTGTTTTTGCTCCTCCAAATTCTGATCTTGAATTGAAAGCCTTGTCAAAACAGCTCTTGTTTCGTCCACCAAGCTTAGTTGTTAAAGTTGGAGATGATTGTTTGGAAAATGCTGTTGAAATAATAGGAAAAAGGGGCCTATTTTTGAATGGAAGTGTAACTCCAGCTATTGAAGGAGTGAATATAAAAGTAATTTCAAAATCAACAGATAATATTTATGCTGAAACCACAACAGACAAGGCTGGCGTGTTTATTGTTGGACCATTAGAAGATGACAGTGATTACGTAGTGCAAGCTGAAATCGAAGGTTATGTATTTACCCCGCTTGACACAATGGGACATTTTGAGGCTTTCAAGCTTGCTGAAATTGTAGTTCACGTGAAAAATGAGGATGGCTCACCTTTAGCCGGTGTTTTGCTTTCTCTAACGGGAGGATCAGATTATCGTAAAAACAGTGTAACACAGAAAAATGGAAAATTGTCTTTTACTGGATTGGGACCTGGTCAATATTTTCTGAGATCAATGCTGAAGGAATTTAGTTTTAACCCTCCTTCCAAAATGATAGACATCAAAGAGGGAGCACAAATGAACATTGAAATCACGTAAGAATATCTGCATATTGATTTAAATTCTTTTTATCTTTTGAGGAAAAATTATGAAGAAATGACAAATTTCTTCCTCAGTGGAAAAAAAAAACTCTTTTCAGCAGGAAAAAATATCAATTAGTAAATAAAGTTTTTGAAAAGATTATAATTGCGATCTAGTTTAAAAATAGTATTATTTCCAAGTCATGTATGTTAATGTATCATTTTTAAATAAGCGAAAAACGTGTTATATATAGGAGTAAAGTGCAACTTTGTTTAATTTAAAATTAAATAATTTATCATTAAATAATTTTAATAACCAGATGCTGTTAAGTATGAATCAGGGGGAGATTGTATTCCAGGTGTACCCTGGAATTCTGGGGTTTTCGTCTCATCCTAGTAAAGAAACTGGGAGCAGAGCATGTTAATTTTTGTGGAATTCTGTGTCCGCGAATCTTAATCTGACAAAATTTTCACCTGTCCTGCGATCTTTCACTGCATCGCAATGATGAAACATTTTCACACAAGTGATTCTTTCGCCAATTTGATTATTTTGGTTTGTCGAATTTTCGCCTTTTCAACTATGCCAGAATCCGTTAATACCGTGATTATTTTTCACCCATTTTTAATATCAACCATTGTGATTTGTATTCACGTGATTTGAAAGCCCAATATAAAATTTTTCATTTATGCGTTTTTAAAATCAATATCGAGGTCCGTATTCACGCATTTAGAAATCCAATATCTCGATTATACTTGTGAGTTTAAAATCCACTATTGTTATTCGTATTCACATGTTTTTAAAATTCAATCTTGCGATTCTTATTCCCGCGTTTGTAATATCAAACATCGATTTTCGTATTTATATGTGATTTAAAAGTTACATATAATGCAATTCGTATTTATGGGATCTAAAAATCATATATTTCGATTCATATGTATGCGATTTATAAATCCTACATCATGATTTGTATTTTTGCATTCTTGAAATCCAAGATCGCGATTCATATTCGCACGATTTTTTCTATAAAGGTGTAAAATTCTTAAGTAGTTTAGTTTTAAATCTTTGTCAAAAAATTATATAAAACATGCATAGTGTTCAGAGATGATTGTGCTTCGGAATAAATCCTGATTTCCAGATTTTTTTCTAACCACGATCTGGAAATATAAGGTACAGAAATTTCAAGAAATCATTGATCACATTTATGTATAAAAATTCTTGCATATTTCATTTAAAAATATTCGAACTGGAATTTATACTTGTCATCGCTTTCATTTGTAAATATTTCTTCTGGAATATTTACAAATATGAGATACAATAGAGATAAAAGTAAACTTATACATAATTATTTATTTAAATTATGCTGCATATAATTTATTTAGAATTTCGTGTTTTAAAAATATCAATGATTTAAATTTATTAAGAAATAAATTTTTTGAAAAGCGTCATTAATGATTTTGCTCAAGAAATTTTCAGGATTTTTGAGTTAGGCTCACTATCACCCCTGAGTATTTAAATTGATATCTTGATATAATAAAGTTTTTCACTTTGTGTCATAATCACCCCTGATGAATACAGAAAACAACTCTTAGATAATATGCTAAATAATAAGGTAAGAGTTTGATCTTTTACAGGGGTAAACGAGTTGCTTATAGTTTATATGGAGTTGTTACATCACTTACGGGTGAAGCCGAAATAGGAGTTGCAGTGGAAGCTGTAGGTGTTAAAGAAGGAGCTTGTAGTCAATACCAAGAAGAGGCTCTCAGTGAATCTGGAGGAGCATTTCGCATTCGAGGTCTCCAACCTGGATGTGAGTATATGTTGCATTTAAAGCCAGGAACTGAAGTTAATCAGCATATTGAAAGATCAACACCTAAAGAGCTTTTAGTAAAGGTACAGTTTCCTTTTAATAAATGTTCTCGCAAAAATTTTTTTTTTTTGTGTAGTGACATTTTTGTTTTGCATAAAGTAATGTTTTATTCCTAGTATCCCAATTATTTTTGGATCAGTAGTAATGATTTTTGACTTAACAATTTGTTTTTAATACTTAACTTTTTTAGCAATTGAAGCGGGGAATTTTGAAATTCATCACTCTTACAGTGAACATATGTGTACATTTAGTAACGTATGAAGAATGTATGTTTGTGACTTAAGATTTTTTTCTGTTGTATATTATCTAAATAATTTTATAAAACTGTAACTGATTTTGAGATGTGATGAATGGAATATTCAAAATAAATAAATAAATAAAAATAAATGAACAAATAAATAAAAATAGAAAAGATAAATCAGTTTTAGGTAATGAAAGCTTTTGATATTATTTTTGACATACAAATATTTTAATGGCTATGTTTCATGTAAATATATAGTAGATGTGCATAGTAAAATTTTTTCAAAATAAGAATTTATTATAAAAATTAAAAGTTTTCCAATTTTAGGACTAATATTTATAAAAAAATAATTATAAACTTTAGCATAAAAAAGCTATCTAATACACATCTAAATAGAAGAGCCAATCATTGTTAAGCAGTAACTGGATTTTCAGTTTCAAGTGGTATCTTTGGAATAAAGAGATCTATTGAAATTCTTGATAATTGTCGAAAACAATGATCAAAATACTACAAATACACTGCTCAAAACAATGAAAGGATATTGAGGTTTGGGGTTGATCTTGCACCTGGAGAATTGTTTTGAATGATTGATACATTATCGACAGACAGTAGGCTATACAATATAAAAATGACATTTGTTTGGCAGGAAAAAAATGCATTTTATTGAGCATTTCGGTACAAAAGGAAAGAAACAAAATTTGGGGTTATGAGAAAAACAAATGAAAAAAGATGTTTCCTTAAAAGAAAATCCTTTTTAGTAAGGGGTATGGTTTCCTCGGGCGGCTAGCAATGAACACCTTTTAGGCATCGAGTCAATGAGGTTATTAATGAGGGACTGGGGTATTCTGTCTCACTCCTCCCGAAGAGTTCTTTCCAGTTCTTGGAGAGTTTGTGGGGGTGTCTAGAATGTCTCATTGCGTTCATGTCCGGATAACACGTTGACCAATCCATTTGTATCATTCCTTCCTCCAAAAGGAAATCATTCACTAAGTTAGCACAATGTGGCCGCAGTTGTCGTCCATTAACATGAAGTCATCTGCAATTGCTACAGCGTAAGGGATTATAATAGGTTTCAGGATCTCATCCCTATATCGGCGATCGGTTAGAGCTCCGTTTCAAATAATATGGATATCGGTGCACCCATCAATGGTCATGCCAGCATAGACCATCACTCCCCTACCCTCAAATCTTACACTTTCGTGCATAAACGCAGGTTTGTTTCTAGTGCCACGTTCCCTCCAAATGAAAATACGCCTATTGTCAGGATGAGCAGAAAAATGAGACTCGTCAGAAAAAGAATACTGCGCCATTTATTTCTCCTCCAGTTCACATGCTCTGTTATACTTCCTGCAGGTGCAATGATGTTTTGCTGTTAACATGATACACACCATTGGTCGGCGAGCATACAGACCTACAGCGAAAAGTGGTTTTGGACAGTTTGTGTCAAAACTGTGGTGCCAGTAGCTGAGCGAAGGTGTTGTTGAAGAAGAGTGGCATTCACATTTTGGTGTCTCAGAGCCATTAGCGTTAAATAACGGTCTTCATTGGGCGTTGTTGCACATCTTCGGCCTGCATTTCCAGTCTCCCCAAAACGGTTTCAGATCCTGGAAATCACACTTTGTGAAACTCCAATGGCTTCTGCTACTTTGACTTGTGTTATGCCCCCCCTCTAACTAGCCAACAACTCTCCTTGTTTCTGATTTGGTTAAATGACTTGCATTGAGACAGCACACTCATCGAACATTTCGATTACTGAATGTCGATCATTCTTTTCCGCTTTGTCTTACATTAAGTTGAAAGCCAAATCAAATTCGCTGCAGCTAAAGCATTGTCTTCAAGATCAAACTCAAAATTTGCATACTGCAAGTTTGAAAATACGAAAAATTTGCATTTATGACTATCTTCTTCCATTTTTTTGCAAAATATATAAAAAAAAAAACATTTGCTTATACATACCTTTATTTTATACAAGGCTTACAATATCCTGTTGTTTTGAGCATTGTATTTTTGATGTAATTGGCACAAGTTGTGAGCACCACTTTCATTCATGGATAGTTCTGTTTTAAATTATTGATATTTTTTCCCATTATAATTTTTAATTATATTATAGTTTTACACCGAGTCACATAAGTTAAATTGTAAAAATTAAATTTTAATCACCTTAAACTAAACTGCAACAGGTAAATTAGTACCAGTACAAAAAAAATAAAATATTTCTTTAATATTTATTTCACCAGTTATAAATAAATTAATTAAAAAAGTTCAAAGAGGCATGTAAGAATGCTTCTCCAACTTTTAAAAACATATAATATACTTACATAGTATATGAAGACAATTTTTTATTATTATTCTTGGTAGTATACTTGTTGAAAACTAGCAAAATTTTTCTTTAAATTATCTAGTTCAAAATCTTGTAACCGTATTAGATTTTGAGTTATAGAACTATAAATATGCAAATATTTATAATTGTTTGAACTTAATTACTCAATTAGGTTTCTGATGGGGACATAACTGGAGTGAGGTTGATAGTCTTTCGTTACTATGGCCAGTTGGATGTAAGTGGAAATGTTATCACAAATCAAGAATATTTAAGTACTTTAAAAGTAAGTATTTTATATTTTGTGGTACACAATTTCAAAACTTGCAAGTAAATTGATATTTTTTTCTCTTGTCAATATATAAATCAATACATAAGCTCTTTATATTATCTCCTTTGTTTACATTTTCTTTCTTAATTCATTATTCAGAACGAAACTTTATCATAAATATTTTTTTCTTAAGGAAATAAGAAATCCCGTTGGGAAACAAGCAGATACAATCTGCTATATATAGTTAAATACTCCCTTGTATCATGCAAACAAGAAGACTAGTAAGATTTTCTTTTAAAAAATCTCTAACATAAATAGGGAAGCGCAGTGATTTGATTATGATCTTTCTCAAAATCAATATGACAAAATATTTTCCTACCTATACTTGTATTTATGCTTAGCATATATGTACATATATATTTATATGCCGGTAGATAAATGTGTGTGTTTGTATATATATATTTTCTGTTTCCCATGAGTTAATTAGAATTCCAACAAAACATACCATGTGATTGATTTTATGATATAGTAATTATGCAGTTTTTATTTGAATCATGTTTATTATTATTACATCAGTTAAGCTTCAAATTTTAAGTGAGTTATTAACTAATATAGGGAGATACGTTTTTGCTTCCTGAGCAAATGAAGTTGAATAAATCTGTCAGATACTGAATTATTCTGAGATATTTTCAGTAATAGGCTTTGCTTTGAATAAGTATATTAATTTAAATAAGCATCATAATCCAAACTTATTAAAAAATTTTTAATGGCATTAAAAATTAGTAACAATAATTGTATTGTGAATAAAAAATCTCAAACCAGTACTACTTTTTGCATATAATACATTGAACTATTTACTCTTAGACCATTTTCTAACTGTCAAGCATTGCATGTTCTTTTGTTAAAATTGTAAAAAATAGTCTAACTTAACAGGTTAAAAATTCTCATAAATGCTTAGTTTTATAATATATATCAGTTATGTTTTTTTTCTGATTATTAATTTGTCAGATTCACTTAGCCAATACACTTTAAAATATAATAAATCTAAACTGTGGTGGCAAACCTAGCACTTTTAAGAGACTTGTTTTCGAGTTTTTGCCTTTTAGGTTATGAAAACACTTGTTTTAGATTATATATATGAATGATTTTAAACGTAATTTAGTAATGTTGGGTCTTCACTTTCAGACTTTTAAATATTTTTATACAGGTGTCTAAAATAAAATACTAGATTTTTAATTAAAGATGGGCCAATCTTACATTTATTATGGATTTAGTTTTATTTTATTAACGTATCATTGTCATAAACAGATTGTGTATCAGTAGCTTAGTTTCAATAATATATAAATCAGCATTATAAAATGCCAATATTTTTGTAACTTGTACATTTATGTATAGTTTTTTCAAAATTTTGTTTCTTGGTTTAGCAAAATTAATTTGGCAACAAGTAAATGTCTTACATATTATAAGTAAAAATCAGAAAATAACAAGGTTATGTTTATTGAGAATTAAAAACTTTTATAGCGAGTTTCAGTTCAATCAGGGCGCTTAGCTAGTTTTTCAATAAAAAAATAAACACCTTTTGAGTACTTTTCAAGCACTTAAAAAATATTTTTAATCACCTTCCAAAAAAAATCATAATTAGGATCTGTGCAACAATAAAAATTATTTTTTCTATCATTTAAAGTATTTAATTGTATATACATAAAATCAATAACATTTTCAAAAACTTGACATAATCATGATGATATAACTAGTTTCTGATAAATATTGCAGTGAAAATAATGCTTTATTTTTTTGTAATTTAGAGCAACAAGCGATACGGAAAATAAAAAAAAATATTTTTAAAAAATAGAAAATTAAGCACGTTTTACAAACACCGAATAAAAAAAGCACCTTTAAGGGCTTTTAAAAAACGTAAATCAAAAATAAGTACCTTTAAGAACTTAACACTGCCGCTAAGAAAAGTCTTCAAGAGAGTTAAGTAGGAAACTATTTAGTTTGCTTTCAAAAATACATGTTTAAAACAAGTATCTTTTTGATCACTAAATGATTATAAATAGATCTCTATTTTTTTGAATTGTAAATATACTTTTCTCTTTTCAAGGTTCGCTTATATAGAGAAGATATTCCTGATCAAGTAGTGCATTCGTTGACATTAGGACAAAGTAACTTCTTTTATTTGCCTGCAATGCCAATAGATAACAAAGTGTATACCTTACAGTTGGAATCATCATTACCAAGCAATTCTTATTTCTTAGAGCAACCATCTGTTACATTTTGTGCCAATACAACATTTTATCATTTTACTATGACATTCCAACCAAGAGTTAAATCAGTTGAACAAGAAGTAACTCAAGGCTCATTTTTAGCGCTACCTTTTACAATTATATGTCTCATATTAGCATACAACTATACGAAGCTCATACCACTTTTCACAAACCTTTTTCTTTTACTTTCATCTTTTTCCAATCCAGGGAAAGCTCAATCTTCTACAGAAACTTCATCAGATAGTTTAAATTTAAGAAAGAAGACTAGACCAAAGAGGATTCAATAGATTAGAAAAAAGACATTAAAATTTTGTTAAATTTATATCATATGCACCATGAATCAGTAAATTGCATTGTGATTTGCAATGCATTGCAATTTTTTAAAAAAAATGTCTTTATGTCTTGAATAAAATAAACAAGTAAATTTTAAAATGTTGAAAAATGATTTATTATCTATTCTAAGCATTTAACATGAAAAAAGGAACCCATACTTTATTTATATTAAAACATATATCACATAGTCAATAACATAACAGATGACATAAATAAAGATTACAATTTGTTGATGAAGTTAATAGTTAGATAAGGATGACTACAAGTGAACACAATTTGCAATGCTTTGGATGGACAAATATTGAACATACAGTACAGTCTTTTCCACACCATGCTTCTATGTCTTAAAATCAAAATTTTTTTGTCATACAAAATAACACGACAAATATTTTTTTTAGCATACAAGACCAAACATATTGGGAAAGTTTCTATAATTATTTTTGCTTTAATTTGTGAATAAAAAAAAAAGTTAAAAGTCAAAAAGTAAACAGCAGTTATGAGTTTTTTTTTATATGTCTTTCATCGAGGTACATGAAAATTTTCCTTTTAAGGTTAGAAGTAATGGAGACTTAAATTTTTGATTGTTTTTTACAATAACTATTTTCAGTTTATCTGAATTTAAACTTAATGCATTCGAACAGTTTCCCTTCCTTTTAAGTTCCTGGTTTTTTGAAAAAATGGTTATCAGTTGAATAAAATAATTTTTTTAGAACTAAGGCTATCAATAAATAAACACAAAGCTATGAGTTAAGATCAGTTAACCATTCTAATGTATTTTTGCATTTAGGTATAATCTCTTAACTAGAGAATAAGTTTCACTAGTAAACAATAAACTTAATGAACTGTAAGAAACACACTGGATGTTTTAAAATATATCCTTGAGACAGGATAACGTAAAATTTAAGGAAAGAGGGCAAAATAGCTTTACTTTATTAATGACGTTAAGATGATTGATTTTGTATCATTCTAAGAATGCCAGACATTTTGGCTATAAAAAGCTGTGCTACATTAGAAAAATGTATCCCATGCTTGTATATCATGCAATTAGGAGATATTAAATTATATATTTTGGATATTATTACTATGAAATGTAATAAATTATGTGGATATTCTGTTAAAACATACTGATGTTGATCATTGCACTTATATATATAGCGATACACCAATAGCATGCTTTTAATAACCGTTTCAACTAAAAAGTTATCTTCTTTTAGTACAAACTTTTTAAGTATTTTTTCACATAGGATTTATTAGTTTTTTTAAAATCATTTATCTTGTACTAAATAAATAAAGCATTTTTTAAAGTTATTTTTATGCACTGAGAAAACGCATGAATACAGAGTACAGATATTTCTTTTTCAGACACAAAGTAAACAAACAATTTTATAATAGCTGGAAAAAAAAATGATAGCATCATTGACAATATTTTTTAATCTAAATATGAAAATTAAATTACACAAAATAATATACTTACTAATAGAATAGGTGCTACTATATTAAGGTATTTAATGGAAATGATTCACACACATTTAAGTTATTTACATGAGCTTTAATTTTTATAGGAATTATTTCATAAACAAACAAAATTACATTTAAATGAATACTTAAATGTAATTTAAATTAATATTTAAGAAAATTATGAGACATCTGATAATTCAATTATTAACTAGCCTTATTTTTTTTTAAAATCTGTACCCTATTAAATTCATACAAAATATAATACTGCTTGATTCATAAAGACAAGAAAGTTGACAGAATATTTTAAACATTAGTCCCATTTTGTTGCAACACCAAGCACACATTTACAATCTAATGAACCTTGGACTTGCAAGTGAGTACTGACTTCTAAAAATTTTTTTCATCAAATTACATTTTCCTTCTGAGCTTATAGCTACATTTCAGGTTGATGCACTGAAATGCTACCTGAAAAGTAAGAATAATAATACATTTTAATTCAAACGAGTTATTTAAATAAAACTAAACTTTTTTTCTTTCATATCAAAACTCAGACCCAGATGCATACACTGTCAAATTAAACAACTGGCAAAGTTTATAACTATAAAACTTAGTGGCCTATTGTAATGCTATTACTGTGTAACACATTATAATAAATAAAAAAAGCTTTTTTCAATTTTAGGAAGGTTTTAAATAAATAAGTTTTATTGAAAAGGGTAAACTTATACATTTTTGGCAAAATATTAAAGTCCTATTAATAAACCATTATGAAAAGATTGCGTAACCTTTAAGGCTTAACTTTTTTTACTTGTCTAGCTTGAGTTTCACTTTTTAAACAGCAATACAATCAGAAAGTTCTAATTTAGCAGTTTAGGAATTTACTTTTGTAGGTAAAAAGATTATTAATGAATGCTGTTTGAAAAATTGAAATCCATTAAGATAAATTTTTTATCTTTTATTCCCTTAAAATAATGTGTTTACGGTCTGACGGTTTTCTATTACAATTATAGTTACCTAAGTTACAATGATATTTGAAAATAAATCTTATCATGGGAGCAACTATATCGCTTATGGGCTGCAATAGCAGCACAACTGAAAAAATCATGTTTTGAGACAAGTGGGTTTAAAGTTTTCATTGCTATGGAAAATGCATAAGAAATGCTTTAGTTTGCTTAAACGAAGATTACCTTCAAGTTGAATTATGAGTTGTGCTAGTATTGCTGCTGAAAAGAATGTGCATTTTCATATTTACATCTGTTCTTAGTTCAAAACGCATGTTTTTTTAAGTGTTGCCACTGAGTGATATATTAAACATAAGAAATAAATACTCACAAAATTTTTCTATAACCTTTCTTCATAATTTTTATAAATCGAAAATGGGGAAAAATTTTTAGAAAAAATTTGGAAAGCTAATGATGAAATAAAGTTTAATTAGAAAATTTGAAAGAGAGTCTCATAATTCTGATGTAATTTAGAGAGAAAATCAAGGCTAATATATTTTTAATGGAAGACTTGATGTGGTGACATTTTCTCCGATTTAGCAACAAAATGACAGTTCCGGAAAATTTGAGGTGATTTACGAAGTTAAGCGGGAATCGTCTAAAAAGTTCCGGGGTTAAAAAATTATTGCTATTTTATGTCAACACATTTACTTAGGTTTTTTAATTCCCACTTTTATTTATGATCTAAATAATGGCAAATATGTATTTCATACTTGTAGTACCGGATTTTTGCAACTGATACTTAGTTGTATCTGATTTATAAAAATAAAAATCAGTACATACCCATCTTTAAAAATTTTATTAATTAAAACCATAACTACTTTTTTAAGGGTGTTACAAACTTACCTTTTCTGATAGAAGAAAATATATTCATTAACACACTCTTCTGTATTTGGAGCTTCTTTTTTAACATTCTCATCATTATAATAGTACCATTCATTACTTGTAGCATGTTTTGAGTAAGAAGTGTAATGACCAGCACTAACACCTTTTAAAGTATAAGGCGGAAAAAAATTTAATTAGTTTTAGGATAAGTTTTATTATTATAAAATATGGAATATTTATAAAAAGAAAAAAAGAAATAAAATAAAAATAAAAACTGATAGAACAGAATAAGCATTGTAGAACCCAATTTTTCGACACAATTAGATAAGTTTATCATCAATTAATCAGAAAACAACAGAATTCATACAATAAAAATAAAACTAGTTGCTTGTAACATATTATATATAGGGGTATAATGTAAAAAGTACACATTTTTAATTAAATCAGGATGCCCACTGTGAATTTTCAAATTCCTTCCCTGTAAGTTCAAGAGTTACCCCGCATCATACACGATATTTAAAATTCAATTTTTATAAATTAAAAAATATGTTATTTAAAATACGTAATCAAATAGAGAAAAATCAAATAATATGGGCAGATTAATATTGTAATATAAACATGCATTCGAAAATAAGGTACACCAACAGTCACTACTGCAAATGTGTATTAAATATATTACGTATATTATAATAAAATTGCCAATATGAAATGTTACTTTCCTGTATAAATATAAATAAATAAACAAAAATAAGAAACCCGTGTTCAAAATTCTAACGAATATTTATTAATTTAAAACGTATTTATTTAGAGAAACAATCTGTTCCATGTCCATATTTATATCTTTGGTGGTATCTTCCTTAATCTTTGAAATGTTTGTTTCTAACTATTTCATAATTGATGCTGTTTCTCTCTCTCTCTCTTATTTTAATTTTGTATGTTTTAATTGTCAGATTTTCCTATTCTGCGTGCACAAAATTTTTTCTTCTTCTGAACTTTTATTAATCAGAAAATTAATATTTCGAAAAGAATTGGACAGTGGAAATAATTGTATTTCATACCATTCTTCGATAATCTCATCTTTGAAATTTCCAAGAAACGTGTGTTAACAGAGAAACCTCTCTCAACATTTGCATTACCATGAGACTCATGACAAACTTTATAACTTTGGATATGTTATCTGAATCCTTAATGTGTTTCAACACACCAAAACAGCTCTCATTCCTACTAAATTTTTTTCAGTTTTAAAATATGAGCTTGATAGCATGCATTTTTATACTCACATTAGGCTTTATGTCCTGTCAGACCATTGACTGATTCATTTCCTAGTAAAATCGTTAGTAGACATTTTATTCGTGATGCAGCTAAATCAGTCATAGTTGCAACATCAGGATCAAAATATGTGACTACTTTAGTGAGAGGTAAACGACTATACTAAAAGTGGCTTTCCCTTTTACAACCTCATGGAAAAAGAAAAATTTAAACCCATTCTAAGCATAATATATGTGCACCCTATAGGGGAGAAATAAAAACAAAATAAAATAACTTCTCGATTTTACTATTATTTTGTTCGTTTATAATTTTTTAGTAGTGAAAAAAAAAAAAACTTTTTGTTCAGGGAAAAAAGATATCGCTCAAATATTTAAAAGAGTAACATAAATAAAAAAGTAAAAAACAAACAATTGAAAAATGTTTCTATTTCAAGGTGGATATGAGCCCTCATCCCTTGGCTTTGCCTTCTCATTAAGCAGCTTGGAAAAGTCCCACACAATGGTGTTAAATAGGAAATGATGCCAGCAACTCTAGGACCATAGCTATAACTGGGGGAAAAAAAGGGAGAAAACTAGTTTGCATCATACTTTGTAAAACACTGCTAGCAGATTAAAGCAGTAGGTGATCGCTTCTTGTTTTAAAACTTTTCTCTGTTTTACTAAGAGTTTAGAGACATTCCCTGCAATATCCCGAATCAATAAATTCCCTGATAATTCCCAGTTCTGGCTTGCACCGACCACAGTGCTGAAGTAAAATATCCTCGGTGGTAGAGGGATCATGGGTTAGAGTCCCCTTGCCGACAGGCTAACCGTGGGAGGTTCTTGTGGTCTTCCTCCCCATGTAACGTAAATGCGGGTTAGCACCCTCAAAAAGTCCTCCATGAAGGCAAATTTCTCCCAATACTTGATCCAGGAGTTCCCTTGTCTTCTGGATTGGGATCAAAATTACAAGGAGACGGAGTTGAACATTAGTAGTCGTAAACCCATAAAATTGGGCGACGGTTATAAAATAAAATAAGATAATTCCCAGTTTTCTCTATCCCTGTAAATATTTTTAATTCACGAAAATAAACCTGAAATACTGCAAACCAGGCATTAGTTTGATAAGACTGCTAACTTAAAGAAACATGAACGGGATTGTTGCTGTCGGTCTTTAAGACAGAGGGGGTGCGATTGTTCTTGCTTTCTAGTGGCTCCAGCTATGGCCAAGAATTCGACTTTTGCCTCACCCATTTCTAGGGCAGACCCATTCATACATCCACAGATCGTAATTTTGACCTGAAACAGAGGACCTATCTCCAATTCAATACCTCCAGATGTATAATTTGTAATGGAAACATGGAGGACTTAGTGATCCGTCTGATTTAACGTGAACCAGTCATCATTTATGACAAGGGGAGTCTTCGGCTGGCTGGATAGGAAATTCCGTTCTCACAAACGTGCCAACCATGCTTTCCCGGTCCCACATGCACAGGATTAAAAATAGTTAATGGAAAGTAAATACTAATATTTAGTACATAAAAGAAGAGTTCTTAAAACAGAATATTAAAAACTGAAGTTTTGATTATTTCCATTTCAAGTGGGAATGACAAAGAAATAAAATTGTCTTCATATTAGAAAATTTTACTGATGTCATGATGTTTGATAACTTATTGCACTATTTGGAAATAATGTTAATAAACTAGAATATTTTGAATGTAATATAAATTTTTTTAAATAACTTACCACCAAAGTGGCACACACAAGATTGCAAATCATACATGAGATCTTCAGAAAATGGTCCAGATGAGAACGAGGATAAATCTAAACCTTCTAATGGATATGAGACCTTATCTTCAACTTTGATGCTCATAAAATCATGAAAGACAAAACTGAAAAGATAAGAAAACCTTGTCACAAATTTAATAAAAACAAACACCAGGCACACATATAAATAAAAATACAAATGCAAAGTTAAACCAGGCAGAATTGCATCAAAAATAAAACTATATGACTTTTCAGAAAGGATGCCTTTTTGTATTATATTCATGGATATACTTTCTGTTGCAATATTAAAATGCAAATTGAGCATTTAAATCATATAAATAATATAATATGTTTTAATGTATTTATTTAGTTGCGTGAGCAATGACAATCCAATCTTATAAAAAATTATGCAATTAATATACAGTGGGTGATCGGTTAACGAGCATAATCTGTTCCAAGACTATNTCATGGATATACTTTCTGTTGCAATATTAAAATGCAAATTGAGCATTTAAATGATATAAATAATATAATATGTTTTAATGTATTTATTTAGTTGCGTGAGCAATGACAATCCAATCTTATAAAAAATTATGCAATTAATATACAGTGGGTGATCGGTTAACGAGCATAATCTGTTCCAAGACTATGTTCGCTATCCAAATTGTTCATTAACCGATTATCGATTCACCATAGACTTCTATGCGAAATCGATTAATTCGTTCAGGAGACCCTAAAAATTAAATTTTAAAAAATGTATAATTTCTTAGTAAGTTTCTTAAAAAATAATATATACATATAGCCTTGCATATTAGCCAGTCCTTTTCATTTTTTGCTTATGGGGCGTTGAAGAACATGTTCAATGTTGATTGCTTTTCTCTCTTTTTCAGGATTTTCCGGAAGTAATTAATAGCATTGTCGTTGTAAAGATCCCCAATCTTACTGACATCAGCAAGGTTTGGGTGCCATTCTAAGACCATTGCTCTGACATCCTCCCACTTTTTCGAAAGATATTTAATGGCAGATGTCGGCATTGGTCCACTTTCGTCTTCCTTTTGTTCAGAAGGAGACACATTTCGCTGTGTTTCTTGGTGTTCTTCATTCAAAATTTCTTGGAGTTCTTCTGTCGTCAGTTCATCTTCATGTCCCATTATGAGCTCTTCTATGTCATCCTTGTTCACCTCCAATTCCATATCTCTAGCAGTTGTCAAAATTTCATCCATAATTTCAGAGGTGCCTCCCTGATCACCTCAGTTTCCTTGAACGAAGGGTGGACACAGCTTCCGCCAAGCAGAAATGAACTGTCGCTGTGTGACTTCTGACCACGCCTTTTGAATGATATGAATAGCTTCAAGAATGTCAAATTTTTCTTTCCAAAACTTTTTTAAAGTCATTGTTGAGGAGAATTGGCTTGCTTCAAAACACCGACGAAACAGCGTGCAAGTGTACAATTTCCTGAAAGCCGCAATAACCTCCTGATACATCGGCTGTATCAGCGAAGTCGTATTCGGAGGTAAAAACTGAACTGTCAACCAGGGAAAGTCTGTCAACAAATTATCTTCAAGATCCTTTGGGTGTCCTGGTGCATTGTAAGCAACATAATTCAGGAGAGATGAAAAACGATTTTTAGTCCGTTTCTCATATTTCACATATTTTTACGGCGGTAGCGCGTCATCGGCACCTTTGTATTTTATAGTCTTCACTGTTTGAAAAAATTAAGAATTCGCTTAATTTATTCGCCATGTTAGCAAATCCACTCGCCCATAACTTATCAGCTGTCAGAAAATATTGATATTCAAATTGAAACTGAAGTATTTAAGTGTGTATTGATTTTAGTCATAATAATAATTATTGAATGATCTTTAAATTCATCGTTAATTCAAGTTTCATTCGGTAATTATCAATACTGAGCATGCTTTAAACATTTCTCCTTTCAGTGATCTTATTTTGTATGCAATGATAACAAATGATAAATAAATTTTTTTTTTTCAGGTCGAGAAGTGTTCATTAGAATTCGCGTTGTTCATTATTTGAATATGTGTTCGTTGTTGGAACACAAAAAATCTTTCTTGAAAGTGTTTGTTAACCGATCACCCACTGTATATGCCAAAGAGAAAATACAATTTTCAGAAAACAAAATAAGAAAACTAAATGTGATCAATCGTGTTTATTCTGAGAAAGGACAATTTCCATTGAACATTGTAATTGAAAATATTGTTTCTATTAATTAATGAACACATTTAAGATCTAACCTTTGACCTATTAATATTGCATTATTAGTATCTGAAAATCCTGTCATTCAATCAAAAGTTATTTTGAGTAATAGAAAACACTATGTGAGCAACAAAATTTTTTTACAAAAAATAAATTTGGTTTTATCAAATTTTTTTGAAATTCTATCAATATCATATCTATAAATTCTATCTATCAATATCATATCTATTCAATTCTATCATATTCTATAAATATGATTAGTGTTCATATTATTAGAAATAAAAAGAAAATAGCTGCCAAGCTCCTTTTTATAAAATTGATAGTGAAGTATTTAGATTTTTTTTTTTAATTGTGTGTAGAAGATTCAGGAAGATTTTAAAACCTTAAGTATTTAGTACATTAAAATATATATATATATATTTTTTGTTCTAATGGCAAACATTTTTTTCCAGTGATAATCAGATGTGATTAGAGATTGATTGTTTCCCGGCAAATTGTATTGATTTTGTCTCAATGAAAAAAAGATTATTGGTAGAACATTTTAATATTTATTTTACCTTGGCTGTGAATTATATAAAAATTGGCCATACTTGGCCAAGTTAGTATAGAATTTTCATTTTCTTAATTTTATTATAATTTTTCTAGAATAACACACAAAAGAAATAATCCTGATGTAATATAATTTCGTTTGGAGCGAAATTATCAATATTACTTAATACGATAATTACTTTATATGAATGTAGTTCTATGCACAACTATTAATATTAATCTTTCTCTAATGTTCTTATTGTTAATGTGCATGTATATACATATATTTTTAGTCAAGAATAAATAAAAAAATTAAATAGTTAACAGTTATAATATATTTAATAAAATTATTCTAGTATCAAAAATATTATGAGCTTGCAGATACTTTAAGTTTTTATCTGGTACTACGGTCACTGACTAATGAAAATAATAAATAAAAAATGCCCTGTTCTTATATTCTTATAAAAAAATTATTAATCATAAATGATAAAAAGATTATTTTCTTAAGTAAAATAAATAATGATCAGATAAAAATTTTCAAAAATGTACTCTAACTTCAAAAGTTAAACATCTATAAGATAAAGTGAAAGATATGAAATGAAAACAAAAATTGTTGTACCATTAGAAGGAAAAACAGTTTTTGTTCCAACCATTAGATGCTTGCTTAAAAACTCATTAAAAGTTTTATTTATAGTATTTGTTACACTTATTAACTGAGTAGCTGGTCTACATGTAAAATATTATTAATGAATGGCTTATAGACTGAAATAAACATTAAATAATAAAGAGAAAATTTGATTACCGTTTAAGATAAATAATTAGCACCTGAGGAAACTTCCATACAGATAAGGATTTGGTGGCTTGTTGATTTCGACGGCAAACGGGACAGAACCATGGACTATCTGCATCTAGACTCTCCCTAAAAAGTTGTTAAAACTAATTTATATTATCTTTAGATGAAAATAATCAGTACTTTAATCAAATGTGAGAGGATTGTAATTTGATATTAGAGTAAAAGAAAGCCGAGAAAAAATCTAAAACTAAGTATTAAAAAAAAAAGAAGTGACAGGTACTAAAATTAAAATTTGCCAAAAAAGGGGTAATTTATCATTTTTAGCAATGAAACGTTTCCCACCATAGATAAATTACATTTCAATTATTTAGAAATGTTATTTCTCAAATATTATTCTGAAAACACTAGTATTCATTAAATTTCAATTATAAGAAATGCCAAGTAAAGAACAAATAAAATAAACTTATTTAATAGGTATCTAAAACTAGTAATTTTCACATTAAATCTATGCTTATTTAAAGAAGAAAATATACTCTTTAAAGGAACTGTTCTTTGCTTCTTCACTGCCATTTTTACCAATTGAATGCTTAGTTGAAGGAGAAGGAACATTGCTCTTTAATGAAATCATTTTCTTTAAGTGAACAGTTCTTTGCAATTTTGTAGGTCTCGCAGACACTTTATTTGCTGTTTGAAACCAACTTTTCATTAGAGATGTTTAGTTGTCTAACACACTATTTTTTCTTCTTAAAACCATGTTATTCTGGTAATTTAAGTATGCTGATCTCTTAACAATACACAGGCTTTTATTAATTGACCCATGCAAGAAGTTGTGGTAAAACTCAACTGAAGTTTTCTTTTCAGCTGTAAATTCATACTTAAGTGTTTGAATAGCATCAAATAATTCCAAATTTAGCTTGCTTGACCCTAACATTATAATAGAGTCCATAATACTGCAACTGGATTCGCCTGGGGGTAGTAGTGAGCAAAGTGTGTGAATTTTTGATGGTAGTGGAAACTTTGTAGAATTTTCTATTTTTACCCACTAGTTTTTTATATTCTGTTCAGGTTAACGTAGCTTGGCAGCAGGGTAGTATTGGATTTCCAGAACACATGCCTCCTTTTTTGACTGTTTGCCAGGTGAGGAAGATCTTACACAAGTTTTGAAGAAAGTGGACAAGGATTAATTGCTGAAACTATATTTAATAGCCAGTTATCAAGAATGGCATCTTTCGCTGTAATGTTTTTGAACACACCAGACATGCTTTAGCTACCTTCATTCCTTTTGAATTTCTCTACAGTAACCACCTGAGACAGAAATGTCTAGTTTTTTTTTAATTTTTACATTGCCTCCCACAAATATAGATTTTGTAGGTAAGTGATCACTCTCTCTACCACATCAAGGAGTTAATTTTTGAGCTTTTATAAAGCCGAAAGTCTTCAATTTAAGAGAACAGTTTGTTAAGTAAAATATGTATAAGTGGAGCACCACTTTGAAACACCTTTACATATTCTTTAGAGAGTGACAGACAAAACAAATTTGAAATTGAGTTCTTAAATAGTATTTAAATAATTTGTTAACTATTCTGTTTTTACGATCATGGCCTGCTTGTGTACACGGTAATGTCTGATGTGCTCTCCAGTAGCATTATCAATATAATTAGCTTGGTAGATGCTAACAAGAATGTGACGAAATTAACACTTTTTTTATGTAGTGCACAAACACAAAAAGTAAAAGATAGTCATGGCACCAAGCAGCTTTAATGAATCTTGAGTTTTATTGAATATAGAAAGCCACTTAAATGAAAAGAATGTTTAAGGCATGCATTTTACTTTCAAAGCACTTCTTTTTTCTAAATAAACATCTTAACTCTTACTTAAGAATAAACATTTTTTTTTTTAAAAAAAAAGAACAAAACATAGTATGAGAGAGGCACTACAAAGAATGGACATTTAATTATTTTAAATTATTATCATTATTTTTTTTATTATTTTATTTTTGCATCAGTAGAAATTTAAAATTACCTTTCACTGAAATATTCTAGGCAGTCATAAATATCAAGTTCGGATTTATGTCGAGTCTGTTGCATTGACTTGTGCTCTACAGCATATGATGCAGAAGCTATATTTTCAGCAGTGAGATCGACATACCTAACAGCAATATTATCACCAGGATGCAGTTTGATATCACCGATTCGAGTAATTTCACAACCAGAACAATGCTTATTATACAAGCAGCGTGAGCAATTTTTACCCTATGATAGAAAAAAATTTGTAAGTTAATGCTTCACAAACAATAACATACAAAAATAGTTACATTTGTAATTAAGTTCTAGGTGAAAGATGCCTGGATGACTAACGCCTTGGTTTTAGTACTAAATGAGATCTTTTTATTATTATTATTTTTTCCTGTTATTTATTTTATTTCAAGACTAGCATTATTTTTAAGCAGACCAGTTTTTTCTAAATAAAAAATATGCATATACAAGACTCTAAAGATGGTTGTAGAAAAAGGAATGACTAGTGTTTCAGTAAAAATAAGAACATCTTTAATATGCATATGAAGTTCAAATTAATTGAGAATGGAATTTTCCTATTATTGCTGATAAAAATGTTATTAACGCTATTTATTTTTTTCTAGACATTCTCTTTTCATTATAGCATAATACTTTTATACCTGAATAGAAGTTAACGTTAAATAATGAAACATAACATAAAAAAGAAAACACTAAATTAAATGGCTTTGTTTTTCCTATGCTTTTAATTAGCAATCTGTAACATACACAAATTTTGACAAGGAATTTAAAAATTATGGGCGAGTATTACAGAACACCATTAATATAAGTGAAATTAAATCAATCTAAATACAAAACCATAAATTTTTCATTTAAAATTAAGTTAATTGATTCTTTTATATTTTATTTACAGCACATTGTTATAATTCAATTTTATAATAAAACATTACAAATTATATTTCTAATATGGCTGTTTTTAATTACATTAAAAAATCTAAGATACGAAAACAATAGTTAAAAATTTTAAAAAGCTTTTCCAAAGGAAAATATTAATCTCATATAGTACTTATTTAAGCAAATTATTATCAGAGTACTCCAATAAAAAGTTTTTTTTAAGTGCGTTGAGTATCATTACCTGCCCATCAACTAATAATAGTGAATAGGTTGACAAAAAAGGAATAGCTCTATCTACATGCTCATACAATTTAGAGGCTGGTAAAGATGAAGGTAATTTGAGCAGACACGGGTGGCCAATCAGTACTTTTTGTTTCAAAACACCTTCTTCAAAAATATCATGTCGCATGACAATTGGTATAGGAATTGTACTATAAGGAAAATTTTAAAAATTAAATACATCATTTTACTTATACACATACAATGAAAGTAGTGACATCTATATTTACCTTATTTTGTACTGAGTTTCACCTATTTTAGTTAGTGGCATAAAGTCTTCAGCAGGAGCAACAGGTGAACTACAAACCTGTTTACAAATTCATTTAATTAATAAAGTATAGAATATAATAAATCATTACTTGAATATTTAAAAATAAATATCAAATGGAAAACAGGAAATTTCTACAACATTTATTTTCTTTTTTAAATGTCCTAGAAATTAATGAGCCTTTTATTATTTCAGAGGTAAAAAGTTTTTCTAGATAAGAAACAAGTTACGACAAATTCCCAAGGAAACTTCTTTCATTTTAGGGGAATGCCTCATTATCAGAGAAACATATATATAATTTGATGATAAATTGCAAATTTTATTTAGCAAGTAGCCTAACTATTAGTTTAATCTGCTTATAAGAAACTTACGCCACAATCAAAATAATGATTCAATTAAATATTTAATAAAAAATTTTTAAATTATCAGGTATTTTAAAAAAACGAACCTCAAAATAAATGTTTGAGATTGTTATTATTAACTCATGATAAAATTAAAATGTGTTATGTATTTATACTTTGAGCCATGATATAGGGGTACCAAAAGAATGTGTTGTAATTTATTGCAGTTTCAAATCATATGTCCAAAAAAATTTTACTAAAATTTACAAATAAGAGTATTGAATAAGTTAAATAACTATTAATAAACTTGCATAAAAAAAAAAGCTTCAACTCAATACCTTACTAGTTTTTCTAAATTTTTCCTGGATGATTTTTATGAACCTAAATCATATGAATTTTTCTTCAGTTATTTAGAATCAAATCATATTTAAGAAGTAAAAAATGATTAATTTATGTTTTCAATTTAAAATTCTAAAGAACTTGGAAGTGAAGTAGAATTTCTGTGGGTAATAAAAACCTGATAAGTGACATAAAATTAAACATTGTTAAACAAAACAATTTCATATTTTCCAAACATAAATAATCTGGTTTCGTAAAATTAAAATTATTTTATACATAATATTATTCGATTTCCTCAGTATTTAATTTAAAATTATAAAGTAATTTATAAAACATGTTTTAAAATTAAAACATTTATATGATTAGAGTTGGTATTGAAACAGTTTATTTCTTTCACTCATATTTTAATAATTTCTAATATATAATTGGTAAATAAAATAATTTATTAATTTAATTTTTAATTAATTAATTTAAATGACAGAGTATTGAAAATACCACTGAGGCAAAAATATCAATATAAAAAACATAAAAACAGCAACAGCTAACTGCATTTTCTTTCTTTACATTATTAAATTTAAGCACAAAATAATTTTTTTCAAGATTATTTATGGTGCTGTAATTAAACACTCTAAAATAAGACCTAGAATTCTAATAATAATTTCTTTTTTTTGTAATAGTTTCTCTGAAATAATAGGAATGGAAATTATTTTACATCCAGGAAATTGATACTTATGTTGAAATGCTTATGCACAGAGAAAAGAATAGAAGCAAACACAAAAAAAAAATTAAAAATCATAATATATGTTTTAAAATTTTAGTCGCAGGAAATTTACATGATAAAATTGCATATAAAAATTTAAAAGAGCTTCTTTTATTACACATTTAAGAAAAAAAAAAATACTTACTGGACAGATAAAAGTAGCACCACCATAATGTTTACAAGATACCTACAAAGATTATAAAATAACTTTTTTAATTGCTGGCATGATTTGTATACATTTTAGAATTGTAAATACATTTGTATAACAGATTCAATATTATTTAAGAGAATTGATTGCATTTAGACTTTTATCAAAAAGTTCATAACAAAATATAAATAACAATGTTTTAAAAAGTAATAAAACTACCAATGACATATCATATGTGTGTTTATTAATATAGAATATACAATACAGGTATTGTTTTAACTAAATCTGTCAGCACCAACTGCAGTTCTATTTATTAGTCAAAATATGATCAAATTTGTATGGACCAATGCTAACATGGGAAAACTAATTAGATTAGCAATGACTCGTTGAAAAGAAAATGCATTACTATGTTGCAAGAGGGGAAAACAATACATTTACAAAAACAATAGAAGTATGTGACACACATGCATGTGGTCATCAATGCAACTTTACTTTTCAGTTTTAAATCATACTAACAAAATATTACAAAAAAAAAAAAAATACAGAAAACTAAATTTTAATATAATATTTTTCATTTCAAATGAACATGCTTTTCACATTGAAACGGATAGATAGCATCAATTGAAAGTAATTTACTCTATAGATACAGAGCAAAATTAAACAACTTTTTCTAGTAGCCACTTATGGCATTGATACCATGGCATTAACCCCTTAACTGCCGAGTAAAATTAACATGATTCACTCCCCAGTGCCACCGTTTTTCGCTCAAGTGCTCTTTCTTACACGGTGTTTCGGTGGGGGAAATGATGCACGCTTTGCAATTTAAAAACAGTTTAATTTTACAAGACAAGAAAAAGGAAAGAAAGAAAATACAAAATTTAAATTAAATAATAAAAATACAATATAAAAGATGTTAAAACTTAGCTGTTGTATGATAAATCCTGAAACATGGTTGGACAAATAAACCAACATCACATTCATCGCACTGATAGCGGGATTCACGCCGAATTTTTTTTCTTGAACAAACAGCACATTTTCGCGATGCATTTTTCTTTGAAGACGTTGATGGAAAGAATAAAAAGCACCAAATACATACAGGAAACAAAAGCGATAAAAGAATAAACCCGACCTTACTCAAATAAATTCACACAAGCGATTAAAACGATATCACTTTTCCCATTCCACCTCCTCCGAAATTAGTAATACATTCGCAAAGCAAACACTTTCAAGGCCATTTTACTGCATTCTGAAGTAGGGGGTGTAGTTCTATTTATAGCAACGCAAAGCATCGTACTTCGGGAAAGTGTATATATACGCCTGCGGCAGTTAACGCATTGTCTGGCCGAGACGCATATATACGCCCGCGGCAGTTAAGGGGGTTAATGACAAGATTTCTTCAATATATTAATTTTGGTCCGTGGTGGCTCAAGGGATAGATTGCTCCATTCTCAAAGAGGGTATGTAAGTGCTGATATAAAATATCCTCAGTGGTAGACGGATCATGGGTTAGAGTTCTTTTACCATCAGTCTAACTATAGGTGGTTTTCCTCTCCATGTAATGCAAATGCAGGTTTCATTAAAAAGTCCCCCAAGAAGGCATATTTTGCCCAATATTTTGATACAGCAGTTCACTTGTCTTCTGGATTGGGTTCAAAATTACAAGGCTACGGAGTTGAATATTAATAGTCGTAAACTCAAAATTTAGGTATGCTAGCTGTTGAATGGCGGTTATAAAATAAAATACACATTGATTTTAAAATTAAAATTTTTCATAAATGCCTTTTCTCATCAAACAAGAATCTAATCCTTTTTCTCATCAACTACAATCAAAGTAAAGAATTTTTAACTAACAGAATGAATCACAGCTGGGTAGAAGCAATAAAGGTTCTCCATTTTAAGCTGAATATTATAAAAGGTAAACATTAAAGAGAAAATAAATGATAAAATTGAAAGAAGTTATTATATCTAATGACGCCCGATGGCTAAGTGGTAAAGCTTCATGCTCCGGTGCCACAGGGTTCGATCCTCGGGCCGGGCAAGGTTGACTCAGCCCTTCAGTGGGTCGACAAATGAGTACCAAGCATGCTTGGGAACTAAACACTGGGGGTTTTGCGTTCGGCTTACCACTTAACCGGAACATCTACTCCTGCACCCCGGAGCCCAAGAAAACTGAGACGGGCACAGTAGGCCTTGGCCCTTTATGGGCTGTCGCGCTACTGAGTTTCGTTTATTATATTTAATTTCTAAGAGACCTTATAGATTAAAATATATAATGCAAAATTATTAACAATTATTTTTATAAACTTACTTCTATACAACTGTTACACAGAATACACTCACAGCTTGGGTGAAAAGACAGTTTATAATTTGGAAGCTCTTCTAGGCAAATGGCACAAGTATGAAATTGAATGGGACCTAAAGGACAGTTTTCATTTTGAGTGCTACCATGCGTAAATTCAGACGAACTATTTTCTAGGAACTCTGTTGTTAAAAGAATATTATCTCTTTTTTCATTTGGACTGGTACTTCTAATTTGTGAAGGATCAAAAGTTTCAAATATGTCCTCATCAATTGAATTTTTCAATAAACTATCGTCAGATAATTTAGTAGTCATATTTGACTTGTTGAAATGCTTATCTTCAGCACATAAGCTACCTATATCTTCTGCGTTAGTAGATTTCATAGGGTCAGAATTTTCTTCACATATTTTTCCAACTTCAAAGGCATACACAGATCTAGTGGAATCGTTTACTCGACGTATAGACTGATTCTCATCCTGAAAAATTCATATGAACATATTACTCTTTTGTTTTGAATAAAATAATAACAAGGGAAATAGAATAAAAACAGAAAAAAATCTATCTTATAAAACTTGCAAGGTTATTACTAAATTAGGCATAAGTCATCATTTCTAGAACCGTCTCTCAACATTTTACAAATTTTTAAATTTCTTTTTGTAAAAAATGGCATTGTTTATTTTCTCCGAAACAAATTGCAACAGTTTTGTTTTTTTCAACAGAATAAATATTTTGCCATTCAACTTAATTTTTAGAAAGAAAAAAGGAAAATCTGAATTGGTCAGGTGAATGTAGTGGATTTAGTCTAGCTTTTGTTGGGTCTGTGCCAAGTAATATGAGGCTAAAAAAGATGACTTCTTGATTAAAATAAAGTTAATGTTTTGCAGATTTCAACTTTAACTAACTTGTCTACAATCATTTATTAAAAACACTCTATTGCAATCTTACCTGGCAAAACAATTTTTAAATGAACACAATATTAAAAAATATATATAAAAGCTTTAAAAAAACTATTTTAACTGATTTTACTTAACAGTGTAAAGAATAATTAAAAGAAATTTTTATGTTCAAGCAGATAAAAAATTTAAATGGTTGATGTCAATAAAGAAATATATCTAACTCATAATAACTGCCAATAAAATTACTTACAAGAAACCTGGATATATGGTTCTCAAAACATTCAGCCAGTATTATCTCTTCAGCTGGAACATCCAGAAGTATCTGGAGAGCCTCTCTAATCTTGTGTATTCGGTCAAACTTGTTGACATTAACAAGATAACAAACAGGAGGAGCACCATTATTTTGAACAAAAGTAATAACTGAAATTCAAGCAAGTAAACATTGATACATTGAAAATCCATAAATAAATAATCATAGATACACACACAAAACTAAAACAATGAAGTTCAAGAAATTAGGGATGTACTGAGCAACTAGCCAAATTTCCATCATCCAGACCCGGCAAAAGAATTTCTCGACTTAGTACTAAGCCCTGACACTCTTAGTCTTAAGTCCCGACCCATTTTACCAGGCAACATTCATTTATGTTCGACACAACAGTATTTTGACTTTTAGTAACCTTAAAACTATTCATAAAAATAATTGCAGTTTTGGAAATTTATGTGTTTTTATTAGTTTTTTAATAATCAACATGAAATAATTGGTTTGAGCACAACATATTTTGCTCTTGTGCAGAATTACAGGAACACCTTTTTTGTGTACAGGAACATCTTTTGTAAAAGAGAGGGGGGTCCACTTACGAGAGTGATAAAAAAATGCAGAACTCTAATGTTGAATACTATTTTAACTAAATAACAAAAAATGTAGAAATACAGAGAATGACTAAAAATGCAGGAATATAATGCTGAAAACTATTTTAACTAAATTAATATGATTGTTAAATAAATACAAAATTAAAAAAAGGAAGTTACATTGATTAAAGTTGACAAAACTGTAATGAATGGAATTTAAAAATAATTATAAAAAAATTTATATATAAATTCCTAAGCTAGTAAATTTGTTTCCAGAAAATGAGTAGATGCAATATGTTTTTATTATGTAAGTTCGTAGACTTGCATTTTATTGAAGTATAATGACCATTAGTTGCAAAGAAAGCAAATATTTTCATACAAATAAGACATTAATTATTTAAAAGCTATTATTAATTTAGATATCATTGGAGATAAATTTCACAGTAAAAAAGTATGTGTTAAAACACAGCTACTTGTTTAAAAAACAATTGATAAGTACATTTTTAAGGTAGTTTCCTTTTTAACAAATCTTTTTATTTTAACAAATCTTTAGTAAAATTTTTTTTAATTAAATTTTCAGTATAAGTTCATTTACTTTACATTCAAAGAATTAAATATGAATGAAACTGGTTATCAGTAAGAACTGAAGTTTTACTAGAAAGCGTTTCACTTGTTAGCTCAATAAATTCAATTTCATCTTGTCGAGCTAACTATGTAAGGTGTTTGTGGCACAATTAGTAACACAAATAAGTGTTAGTTTAACAAGAAATTTTTTTAATGAAAGCATATTTGTCCATTATTTGTTGTTTGATTTTTAAGTTGTTCTATATTTTGGAGGTTCAAAATTACTAGAATACAGAGATGGAATCGTAACATTGAAGACAGAAAAATCACTAGATGAATCTTCTGTTCAATATTGTTTATAAGATAAAACTTCTCTCCTTGTATTGGAATTTTAAGAAATCATACTAAGGTAGGTCTAATTGCATGTAAATTATGTTATAATTATCAAATGATTAAAAATTAAACCCTAAAAGATAAATTTTTTTTCATTTAAACTGTCAATTTATTATAATTTTTTAAAATACTCAGATTAATAAAGGTTATGGAAAATTTAAGTAAATTAAATAAAAAAAATTCTTGATTATAAAGTTTAATAGTAGTAGACTTTACTACATAGCAAAGATTTAGATTAATCATTCTACATTTGAATGGTCCTTTCAAAGTTCATGAAAAGAGAAATTTTTTTAAACTTTAACTTAAAAAGATCTGAAAATAAAAATATTTTTTCATTTTTGTAGGTGCACAATATATTTCCTTAGAACTATGTTTTGTAAAATTACATGATTTTTAAACTGTTTTGCATAAATGTGATAATACCAGGCCAGTAATAAATCTAAATTATACTAGGTACCAAGAACAACTGGGTAGAAGATTCAATTTTCACCGGGTATTAGGTATCCCAACAATAGTTTTATAATCAGAAATGTGGTCTTCAATTTAAAAGGAAAGATAAAAGTGAAAAAACTGTAGTAAGTAGCTNCAAATGATGCTATTAACTAAATATAAAACAAAAAGAAAGATTATTCAGACATCTAGAGGCCAGCAACATAAAATATTGAGATGAAAATTGCAATATTTTAACTAATATTTGCCACAATATGTTAGTTGTCTACATCCTCAGTTTATGACATTAATATTAGACATTTGTGGAATAGATTAAGCACTCAAAGGGATGATACATTTTTAATTTTGAAATAGTTCATTAAGAAAGCAGAAAGATTCTTTGTTTACCTATTTGTCTCTCTAAAGTGTGAGGAAGAAATACTGGAAGATACATAAAAGGTTCATATGTTATTGAATTATGAGAGCACTGGGAACAGACAACCTAAAAATTAAAAATATGAGATATCAAAAGAAATACATACAGTTTTATGAATCAAACAAGAATCTTATGACTTCATTTAAACTTAAAGTTAATATTAAGTTAAGTATGCCAAAGTAAGATTACACATGATTCAGCTTGTTAATTTGAAACACTCAGAAGAGTATAAATATAATTTAATAAATCATGAAGATTACTAAGATAGAATCATTAAGAAATTATGGTAAACTATTTGAATCAGTGGAGGTCAGATGGTTCAATTGCTATTAGATTGAAGAAAAAAAAGTTACTTGAAAGCTAAAATTTAAAATTGCAATTTCTATGCTCTAATAGTAATACTAAATTAAATGAATATGACACAAAACAAATTTTATTACAAAATGGCAAATTGTAACTACTTAAAATAGAAGTCCTAAAATATTCAAATCCAATAACACTTAGCTATCTCAAGAAAGTTTACAATTTTTTTATGAACAAAAATTAGAAAAAATGGGAGAGCACAAGTTTCAAATTTATTTTTGTGATTTAATCAAGGTTTCCATTCAATTAAAATAAAAATAAATAAGAACTTTTCAATGGCTTTCAAGGAACTAATAAAATCAAATTTTTAAATGATCTACTTAGTGATAGTAAGCATGTTAAGATACACGTCAAACAGATTTTATTACATTGAAGCATATATTAAGTTTATAAACTTAACATTGTTCAATACTTGTAGTGATTTTTTAATATATGTAGCCCATAGATAGCAATGTTTTGACAGTTACATTGTGATTTAAATCAGTTTGAAGATTAACAAAAAATTTCTAATTGACATTAGCATACCTGCAAAGTTTATAGAAAAATTTCCAATTTATATAGGCATAGTTGACAACTTGTAAAGACTAGCGTCAGTGAAACTTTTGAAAATTTTTTTAATGAAGCATATTAGAATTAAATAAAACATTTAGCTTATCTGTTTCAATTTTAAAAACACGATGTCATAATTTTGACCTAAACCAGAGCACAATCAATCTCCAATTCAGTACCCCCAGAAGTACAATTTGTTATGGGAACATGGAGGTCATTATGACACGACAGATTTAACGTGCAACAGTCACTTTACCACATGGGGAGATTTCGCCCGGCAAGAATCCAACTCCTGACCTCTTGGGCATGGGCCAAATGTCCTACCTACCAGGCTATCCTGGCTACTGAGTGATACCTAAACCACTTTAATGTGAATTGCGCTAAGCGATTCTTTGACTACTTTAAAGCAAAACACAACGTGTGATTTGCTAATCAATTTTATGAAAAAATCTATACTTAATCTGGTAATCATTGCAATGCAAAATGCAATTTTTGATTCAATAAGTAACCTAAATTCGAATCGCTTTATGTGATTCATAAAACACTTTGATTAGAATCACAAACAGAAATCCTTAAATCTTTTTAACATTAATCCCAACATGTGGTTTGTTCACTTGAATAAGAATTGCGATGCATGATCTGGAAAACACTTAAATGCGTAGTACTTTATATGATTTAGAAAGCATTTTAGTGCAGACTCCGATGGGTAACTCACTAATCACTATAATGAGATCTTCAATATGTGATTCGTAAATCACTTTTGTGCAAATCATGATATTTGATCTACAATTTACAGAATCTGAAGAACTCAATTTTATCTAATAGCGGTAAAAATCGGAAACATAAACGATAAAAAAATTATATGAAGTTAACACAGTGATTATATTTAAAATTCTAAGGAGCACCACATAATGATCAAAAAAGTAAAATTATGCACAAAAATGACAATTATTCAGAGATTTCGGCTTTCTAAACATAAAGTTGAACTATAATCTGGCAGGAGGAAAATTGTGTATTCCCCTTTCAGAACTTACGTATTGGAGTTTCTCAAAAATTGCGTTAGTGCAAATTTTTTTACCATTTCATATTTGATACAATTATAAATTGCATATATCAGAAATGACCAGATTTTCACTACTGGAAAAGATATCAGAATTTCATCAAGCACTTTCTATTATCTACAATTTGGAATGAAACTAATTTTTTCATGTTTGCAAAAAAAATGAAGAGTTTAAAAACCGCACGTTTCGAAATAAGTGCATGGTATGTTACACTAGGTTAAAACAATGCTAATACTACACATGGTTTTTCTTTTCACTATTTGGTTTCCTTACAACCTACTTGTATTTTGTAATCCAATTGCAGGAAAGGGGTAAATAAGGATAAGGGAGATTTTTGAAACTTAGATCAGACATCAAGACTCCCACTTAGCTGACCTTGAACTATCGTTCAGTAAAAAAAATGGGTAGAAGAGGGAAGTGAAAAAAATTTCTACTCTTTCGCTAGAAGTTCCCTTTTTTTTCTTTTTGTAGGAAAGATTAATACTATTTTGAAAATTACTCCAAGAAAATCAAAAACTTTAAGGACTATCACTATTCAAGGACTTTTTTGGGCCTTTATTTTTTCAACAAAATTTGAGGATTTTCAAGTACCGTGGGAAACCTGATAATGTATGTTAGAAAATAAGATATTTAATTTTAAAACCATTTCAGTGTGCATTACGTAAGATACAAAAAAAATAAAAAATGTCTCTCAATCAAGTTTGTTGTTAATAAGAAGATCTGCCATTTTTTCAGTGTTCCTGTCATATACCGAAGAGCTAGTTTCAGTTTCCATTTTTACATTTTTATTTAAATAAATACTTTCGCATCCTCCTATAAGCACGAAGATTTATCTTAGAAAATATTTCACAGATTGAAACTATTCTTCTATTTTGAAGGTTAAAAATTTGAATTTTTCAATAAATATACGCTTACACAGAGAAAAAAATATTTTTGTGTTCAATTTAAAATATCTGCACTAGTTAAGTAGCATAAATAAGGTCTTCATATTGAATCCTTAAGATCAGACGTTAGTAGACAAAAATCTGTATAGTAAATAAGTTATCCAGCTTGTTCCTTGGCTTATTTTGCACACAGTAACTCAGCATGTTAAGCCTTGGTTTAAACAATATTGGAAACTTATAAAATAACAACAAATATAAAATATTTGTTATAAAAGATGAATACTCACGGAACTACGAAACTGCCCATGAAAAGTATCAACAACAATGGATTGATTCAAAGATTTGTACTGATCCCAATCACTATAAGCTCTACGTACTTCTTCAGCTACCAACAGTTCTTGGCATTCAGAATTCAGAGGGTATAATTCACTAGATTGGCTTGAACTCTCAGAATATTCATCACAGGGTAACTGTTCTATATCTACAGTCTCATCTTGTTCTGGTATTGGTGAATCTAGGTTGGCATCTATGTTCTCTATTTTCTGCCGCTTGTGAAGAGTAGAGCAAGAAGAAAATTGATCAGAGCTTTGTTCAAGTATACCATGCTTCTCATGGATAATGTTTGTAATCTTCACTCGTTTGATACCACCTTGTTTTGTGCCTAAATCTACCATTTGTCCAAGATTATCAACAGTTTCTTGTAAGCGATTAGAGTCATGCTTTGGAAACTTCTCACTGTCAAATTTGAACAAATTGTTTGTCTCATCTGAAACCAGAACATTGGTATTCAGAGTTTTAGTATCTTTAACAAAATCTTCAATACTAGGAATTTTATGGACAGAATTCAGTTTTGAAGCTAATTCATTTTTTTCTAAATTATTCTCATTAACATCATTTACATTTTTTATAGAATTCTTCTTAATAGAGTTTCTTTTAGAGTCACAGTTACTTTGATGCTCATTGCTGCTTGAAATATCAAGTTCATTTTTATTCAGGATGGTGTCAAGTTTGTTGTTAATAAGAAGATCTGCCATTTTTTCAGTGTTCCTGTCATATACCGAAGAGCTAGTTTCAGTTTCTATTTTTACTTTTACAGAACTGGTTACATTAGTAGCAGGTATAGTATTATTTGCTGCAGAATCTACATCCATGGCAACTTCACACATTTCAACGGGATTAGGAGAATAAACTTCACATTTAATGGCTGCATCTGGCTCATTATCTTTACCTTTACATTCTTCTTCTTCCTTAGTGTCGCAGACTTCCATATCTTTTTCACAATCTAACTTAAGCTCAAGCTTCACAGAGGTGGTAGGGTCTAAACTACTATTAGGTATTGTGTTATTTGTAGGTGCAATATCTATTTTTTTCTTTACTTTGCATTTGGTAGCTGTGTTTAATTCTTCATGCATGGTGTCAAGTAATAATGCTAAAAATTCTTGACAATCGTGCTGAAATAAAATAAAAATAACTAATTACTTTACATATAAGTTATAAAAAAAGTAGTGTTAAAGAATATATAAAATAAACATATAATCTTGAAGAATAAGTGTTACACACATCAATCTTTGAACTTGTATATATTAATGAATAACACATAAGATAAAAGGTTGTAAAAAAGAAAAACAATCAAGAAATAAACTTGGCAATATTTCTCCTTGATAATCACTGACACATTGTTGGTGTCCAAAAAGTTAATGCGAATTTTTAAATGTCAAAAAGTTAAAAGAAACTAATGAACAAATTATTGTTCAATAAAAAAATTAAATCACTATCAAATTTCATGTTTTTCTGGTTTGTTTTAATGCATTTTTTAGAATAATTCATACAAAATCATGTGTAAAAAATTAAATTTTTGAACTGCAAGAATGCAAACAATAAAAATATTAAACATACATAATAGAAAAATAGGTTTGTGAAAGAATCGATTTTGAAGTATAGAAATTTCGGTAATTTAGAATTTTAAGAAGGATCATTAAATACTCATTTTTTTTTTTTAGATGAACCCCTAAAAAGGAGAATAAAACATTGCTACAAATACACACAATATCGCTGGTTCAAAACTAAAACGACACTTCTGCACTCACTTCTCATTCAAATAACATGAGAAGTGAGTGCAGAAGTGTCGTTTTAGTTTTGAACCAGCGATATATTCATATTAATTTAGAAAGTCTCAAAATTACCTGGCGAAAATTTCTAAACTGGTTATACATAGATCCAAAACAATCTTTGAATTCACCTAGATGTATAGATGAGTAATTTCCACTCCAAGCTTTTTTCATTGTTTCAGCAAATTTTAAGGATAAAGTGCCTTCAGAAAAATTATCAATATTTGCTTCACCAAAATACGTTTTGAAGGTCTTGTTGTTAAGAAGACATTGTAAGCCCGCATTCATAAAACAAGTATTTCCAAGATTTCGAAGGCCACATACTCCGGGCACAGCATTTGGATCTAAAAAAATATAAGCAACTAATTAAATAATAAATAACATAATTTCAAATTGTAAAATATTTCTTAATTCAATATTTCAAAAAAATCTTCTAAGTCAGATTGTAATTAAAAAAATTCTTGTATTAGAATTTAGCTACTTAAGAGTTAATTTTCACTGAAATTAAAATCTTTCCTTTTCTTGGAAAAAATGATAATAAAATTAAAAGAGAAAAATAAGTTTTTTTTCTTTCTAATGTGTGTGCGCAATAGATTCTATTTTTTAAATAAATTCTAATAACTTTCTGCAAATATGTTATTAAGTTTACGGATAAAAAAAAAAGTAGTGCTAAGAGCACGAATGCTTAGATAAAAATTATCATATTCACCGCAAACACGACTAAATATGTGTGCTGCCCTTCGTTAATCTACCTGCTGTGGAAGTGGCCCTTCACTCAAAAAGGTTGTACACCTCTACATTACTACAAATTTATTTAATATCCATCATTTGATTAAAAATTGTATTTAAATAAATGGTTTTAGAAACAGAATTGCCTGTAATTAGTTTATATATGTTAATTTTAAAATTATTTTCTTATCCTATAAATCAATAATTTAGATATTTTCTTTGTTTTTAATTCCTAAATCCAAAAAAATTAATATTAATATTATCCTCATGATTACAAAGCAAGATTAATTCCTCAAGGTAAATATTATTTAAAAATTTTTATAATTTTGAGCATTAAAAATAATTAAATCATTAATAAATCTAAAAACAAATTTTATAAGAAGAGTGTAATTTTTTTCATAATAGTGTAAAAATAAGTTAGCTAACTTATGATGAAAAACTAGGGCCTGGTGGTATTCCATTAATTTGAACAAAAATATGTTTTCCATTCTAAAGATAATTATTAAAAAGACAAATATTAATTAAAATTTCCTAATAACCAAATTTGCAATTAAGGATATCATTATAATAGTATTAAATCAGAAGAACATCTTTTAGTTTAGAAAGGGGAATGATATTGGAAGGGTCTTGGAAATTAAAAGTCATATTAGAATGAATTTTATTTTGTTTAATAAATACTAAAATAAGTTGATTGTTAGCAATAATCAAACAAAAACCTTCTTTAATAATATTGATAATAATTATAATTTCATAAGTAGTTAGAGAAAATGGTGTCAGGTTTAGTTAGGTAAGTATATGTTTCCTAAATGATTGTTCTAAATTTAATAGGAATTTTATGAAATTTTGGACTGATAATTAAGCATGAAAATTGTTAAGTATTAATTTAAAATTTTAATCTATCATATAAAGATAAAAATTTTTAATGATAGTTTTTAAATTACTAGGTTTAAAATTTTTACTATTTTTTTAACTCCTTATTCAACATTGAATTTTTTCACAGATGATAGCATAATTATTATTAGCTTTGTCCATGGGAATAATTAAATTTTTTTTTGTAGTTGGTTAATCAATCAATCAATTAAAAAAATATTTTTGAATTGTTACTGTTATTTAAAAATTTTTATTATTAAAAACAAAATTTTGAAGTAATAATAAACAACCTATTTCCATTCTGTTAACATACCTAAAGGTAAAGAGAATCTATTTGATATCTTTAAACAAAGATTAATGAGTTTATTAAGAAAGTATTTTAGAATTTTATAAATTTTCTTTGTTATTCTCTCTTTTTATGCTTTTTGTCTTTACTGTGTATATATAGATTTGAAAGTTTTAAACACATCCTTCATGACTTCAATTTGAGAAAAAAAAAATCTGAAAAAGGTAAAAAAAAATCCTATTAAATGTTTTAAGAAGATTTTAAGGAGAAAATATTATCAGCTATAATTTTTTTTTAAAAGGTTCAGTCGTAAGATAAGATCAAGACTTAAAAAAAATTTGATATACCTAGTTTATTTTTGTTTCTGAATAAATTATGAATGAAATAATTATTCATACATTAAATTTATAAAAATTATTTATTAATTGATTATTTTTAAATGAAATTCTACTGTAAAATATATTATTAGAAAAAAAGANATTTGTAATTAATAAGCATTAATTAAATAATCCGACAATATTTTGGAAGTCCAAAACCGAAACTTACGGTAAGTCGAACTTCCGATATGTCGAAGTTTTTCGTCAGTCCCATCAGATTCGAGTTATCGCGAATTCACTGTACTAAAATAAGTTGATTGTTAGCAATAATCAAACAAAAACCTTCTTGAATAATATTGATAATAATTATAATTACATAAGTAGTTAGAGAAAATGGTGTCAGGTTTAGTTAGGTAAGTATATGTTTCCTAAATAATTGTTCTAAATTTAATAGGAATTTTATGAAATTTTAGACTGATAATTAAGCATGAAAATTGTAAAGTATTAATTTTAAATTTTAACCTCTCATATAAAGATAAAAATTTTTAATGATATTTTTTAAATTACTAGGTTTAAAATTTTTACTATTTTTTTAACTCCTTATTCAGCATTGAATTTTTTCTCAGATGATTGCATAATTATTATTAGCTTTGTCCATGGGAGTAATTATAATTTTTTTTTGTAGTTGGTTAATCAATCAATCAATTAAAAATTATTATTTTTTGAATTGCTACTGTTATTTAAAATTTTTTATTACTAAAAACAAAATTTTGAAGTAATAATAAACAACCTATTTCCATTCTGTTAACGTACCTAAAGGTAAAGAGAATCTATTTGATATCTTTAAACAAAGATTAATGAGTTTATTAAGAAAGTATTTTAGAATTTTATTAATTTTCTTTGTTATTCTCTCTTTTTATGCTTTTTGTCTTTACTGTGTATACATAGATTTGAAATTTTTAAACACATCCTTCATGAGTTCAATTTGAGAAAAAAAATCTGACAAAGGTAAAAAAAAAAAATCCTATTAAATGTTTTAAGAAGATTTTAATGAAAAAATATTATCAGCTATTATATTTTTTAAAAGGTTCAGTCGTAAGATAAGATCAGGACTTAAAATTTGATGTGTCTAGTCTACTTTCTTTTTTTTTTTTTTAATAAATTATGAATGAAATAATTATTCATACATTAAATGAAATTCTACTGCAAAATATATTATGAGAAAAAAAGCAATTTTTTGACGCCCATTATTAAAAAAAAGCTTTTGTTTTAAAATAAATTTTTACAGAATTCTATGTATTATAATTAAGTTACTATAGACAGTTACCTAAGACATCTGCTTGATAATTAGTTGAAGACTCAAATTCAGTGTATGGTCCAAATACTGGAAGAACTACAGAAAAAAAAAGGAAAAGGAAAAACCATCAACAAATAAATTAGGAATTTTAAAAAGTTGAAATTTGACAAAGTAATCAAAAGCCTAGCCCCTTTAATTAAAAATAAAATAAAACCAACAAAATTTTATTTTGTTCATGTTAGAATAAAAATATAATATGTCTTAATATTTCAGTTCCTTTTCACATTTCTTGATGTTAACATAATTATGTAAATTATTGTAATAATTATGTTAATGTTCATACATAATTTTTACATTAACATTTTAATACAAGATTGCTTATGTATTTAATTTTTACTTACGTAACAATAAAATGTTAGGATGTTGCATAGACAAAAAAATATCATTACTTATGTTATAATTATATCAAAAAATATTACTACTAGAATGAAAATTTCTCTTGCATTTAAAGAGCTTTGAAAAGAAAAAAAAATCTGAATTAAGGTGTTAGTTCCCCCCCCCCCTGAGACCTGGTAGCAAAACAACTTACATCAACTTTGTATCAATACCTTGATACTGTATAAAAATTAAACATTATAAAATATGAAAGTAGGATATAAGATTAACAAAATGAAAAAATTATATTTGATTTAGATTTATACTAAAATCATTAATCACATTTCATAATTGGAATGCATTAAAATTTCACACTTTAATGAAGAGCATTTGGAATAGATATAGGCTAATTTTATTAAATGGAAGAGAACAACAAGTGAAATGTTACAACTGATCATATGAATAACAGGTATATAAATATTATATAATAAAATATTAAACTTTTTTTTCTTCATATAAATATATATGTTGATAATGGCATTTCATATAATTTTTCTACTAAAAAATTCACTTGTGTGTAATGAGTGAGAATATATAAAGTTTTTGGTCTAACTTTACATTTTTATCGATAGATTATGTGAAACTTGATTAAAAATGAGATGAGAGGAGAGAACTTGATTTTGTGAAATATTTTTAGTCAACAAATTTTTTTTTCTGTAAGAGTTAAAAATTCTTAATAATATGAAAATGCAACAATGAAACAGATAGATCACAAACAAATAAATAAACAAAAAAAAATACAGTAGGGAACCGATTATCCGGAACGGTCGGGAGCATCGCAAATAACTGATTAAAATACTGAAAAAAATATTTGGAAATAATCTTAAAAATAAGAAAAAACGATTAAGTAATACACTAATGATTATTTCCAAAATGATGGTAAGGTAAACATCTTTAAAAAAAGAAAGAAAAATCGTAAAATCTTACGAGGATTTTTTTATTTTTTTTATTTTTAAAAATGGCAAGAAAATTTATCGAATTTCGTTCCGGTTATTTGGTTTTCCAGTTTTCTGATTTCCGGATAACGGGTTCTGTACTGTACTATACAAAAGGTCAATTGAGCAAATTAAATTTTTAAATAAAGTCAACTGGGATGTAGCAAAACAGATTACTTGAAATAAATAAAATATGATTATTATATATGTTTAGTTTTATATCTTAAGAGTAGAAGAAGAAAATATTATTAATAACAACAATAAAAAAAGCTTGCACTTGTACTTTTATTTACATCGCAGTACTGTATAGTGGGTTATTAGCGATGGTCTAAAAAACATTCCAGAGGATGATACTCAGACATCATACGTACGTCACATCCCTTTTTATAGTGAGGACAAATTCCCACACCATCCATTAGGGTCCCAACTTGATTTTGGAAAAAAAATTCCCTGACTTTTCCAGGTAAATTTAAAGGAAAATCCATACTATTTCATCTATACCGTGCAAATTTTCATCATAAAACTTTGATTCTTTTTTATTTGCAATGTCAAATATTAGATTGTGTGAGTAAAAATATATAATAGCCTAAAAACTAGAATATTATGAAATAATTGTAATAGACGTTAAAATTATTAACTTGAATCTAAATAACTTACTGCCACAGACAATTCTAAATCTGTAATTTTCCAGGTATGATATAGGAATTTACCAGGTTTTTTTGTAAAAAATTGGGATTTTCTCTGACTATTCCCTTCTTCTTCGAGTTAAAATAAAATTCCCTGACAATTCCAGGTTTTCCCTGACCAGTGGGACCCCTGATCCATCCAGCCGCAGATGGTAATTTTGACCTGAACAAGAGCACGAAAAATCTCCGATCCAGTACCCCCAGGTGTATCGATTTGTTATGGGAGCATGGAGGACTTTGTGACCCCCATAGATTTATTGTGCATCAGTCACCATTTTCTTCATAGGCAGGGGTCTGTGAAGACATTTTGTAAAGGGTTCGTTTTTGTAAAATTGTGAAAAAATTACTCGTAATTTGTGAATATAAAAGAAACGTTAAGTCACATTCTTTCAACCAGGGTCCGCTTTTGTGAATTTGTGCAAATAGGGTCCGTTATTGCAAAAAAACTTTTTCAAGGAGTTTTTAAATTGTAAAGACATACAAGATTATGCTCAACACTGTAAAATTATAATTAAAAAAATTAAATTTTAAAAAATAAACAGCAATTGCAGCTACTAAATTAGCGATGCAACATATAAATATTTGGTATTTAGCCTATACTGCTGAACGCAGAATATTCATTTCGGACGAATAAAGGAAGAAGCGTCTGCCGAAGACAAAATTTAGTTCGTTTACATCTGTCTTTCTTCCCCCCTCCTTCTTGGGAGGGGTTTATTCGATTAACAAAACAATAATGAAGACAAACAAATTTGTGAAGGATCCGTTTTTAAGTTAAAATATTTTGTGAAGGGTCTGTTAACGGACCCGAATTTCTTTTAAACAGACCCCTGATAGGGAATCTTCGGCCAACGAAGATCGAACTTACGACCTCTTGGACAGGGGCCCAATGCCTTACACACCAGGCTATAATGGCCTTATCAAAAAATAAAAATTAATCAACAATACATAAATAAAAAGATATTAAGACTTGTTCAAAAACTTTAGAGTATAAGTAACTTTGTAATAAGCAACTTTCTAGCATTTTTTTCAATTTTACCCGATTCATCTGTGTCGATAGCTGGCAATTCAAAAGGCTCAGGAGATTGATTTAGGCAATCCATAATTGCATTTGCATTTGGAAACACATCAGTTCCATCATTAAGTATGTCTAAATTATCCAGATTAGTCAAATCAGAAGAAATATCTTTTTCATTTAATAGTTCAGTATCACAGCTGAAAAGATAAAAAATATTAATCGTGTTTTGAAATAAGCAATTCAAAGATAGGTAAAATAGTATAGAGCAAGTTGATATAAGGTTATAGAGATTAAAAGGCCAAATCCTTTTAACTTGGCTTCTGAACAATGTTAGACACTGATAAAATGTATGAAGAAAAAATCTCTGAATATATATATCTAAGGGTTGCAGTAGTGCCAGCAGGAATTATGCTTCAAAATTCTTAGTTTCGACCTTAAAAAAGCTAAAATGAATAAAATTTCTCCAAATAAAATGAAAAATTTAGATAATTTATATTTCGTTATTAACTTTAAAAACCCTATTTCCAATAAGATCAAATTTCATAATATTTTTGAAAATTTAAAAAATTTGTTTCCGTCAAAGGATTTTAACATAATTAAAAGCTTTAAATATAATAAATCTCTTGGTAGAACTATACTAATTATAATGTTTGCTAAAATAATGATATTAGCAAAAATTTAGGGAGGATTAGTATATCCGATTATGAATGCCACTGTGAATAAGAGAAATATTTGTTTAAAGATATCAAATGGATTATCTTTACCTTTAGGTATGTTAACAGAATGGAACTGGGCTGTTTATTATTACCTTAAAAACTTCGTTTTTAATAACAAGGAAAATTGAAATAACATTAACAATTCACCAAATTTTTCTAAAATTGTTCAATCAATTAAGCAGAGCTCATTCTAGGCAGGGTAAACAGGGCGCAGCACCCTGTTGCCCTTTTAATCAAAATAACCCACCCTGTTGCCCCTGAAGTAAATTAGTGCCCAGATGTAATAGACTCCATACCCTTTCTTTCCTCAACCATTCTTTATTTTTTCCCCAAACTCTATAGTGGATTTCTTAAACTTTTGTTATTTTTAACTCTTTTTATTTAGTTTGTTATTGCTGTCAATACATAGATTTATATGGGAAAGGAAAGATAGCCATGAAACCCCCTTGTTGCACTTGTCTTTGAAAGTTTGCAGTTACTTCCATTATCATTAAATCATAATTATTATTAATCATTTTAATTACTAAATNAATTTTTGTAATTACCCCCATAGACAAAACTAACAATAACTATGCAATCTTCTGTAAAAAATTCTATGTTGAACTTTTAAATATGGAGTTAAAAATAGTAAAAATTTTAAGCTTAGTAATTTAAATAATATTATAATTAAAAAGAAATTAGCTTTTTATAAGAGGTGAAAAATTAGCAATATACAATTTCCTTACTTAATTATCAGTCCTAAATTTCCTATAAAATTTAGAACAATCACATGTGGGTCTAATACTTACCTAACCTGGCACTATTTTCAAACTAAGTTAAATAAAATTATTAGCAATATTATTACAGAAGGTTTTTCTTGGATTAGCACTAATAATCAACCGATTTTAGAATAAATTAAACATAATAAAATTAATTCTATTGCGACTTTTGATTTCTAAGACCACTTGAAAAGCATTCTCCATTCTAAACTAAACATGTTCTTTTAGGTTAATATTATTATTATAATGATATCCTTAATTGCAATTTTGGTCATTGGGAAATTCTAATTAATATTTGTCATTTTAATAATTATCTTTACAATGGAAAACATATTTTTGTTCAAATTGATGAAATACTACCAGGTCCTAATTTTTCATTATTTTTAGCAAACTCATTATTACACTATTATGAAAAAAATTACACTCTTAATATTAAACTTGTTTTCAGATTTATTGATGATTTAATTATCTTTAATTTTCAATATTATAAAATTTTTTAAAAATAATATTGACACCGAGGAATTAATCTTGCTTCGTAATCATGATGAAAAGATTAATTTTAATTTTTTGGATTTGGGAATTATAAAAGTAGAAAATATCTGCTTTGTTGATTTAGACAATAAAAGAAATTATTTTAATATAAAAAAAAAACTTATTACTTGGAATTATAACTTTCTAAAAGCATATATTTAAATATCATTTTTAATCAAATGAATAGAATTAAAAGAATGTGTAGTAATGTTTATGTATTCAAAAAACAAATAGACAAACTTTTTCAAAAATTGATAAAAAAAACAATGGATACTCAACCAAATTAATTAAATTGTATATAAAATCATCGAGTTAATTCTATGTTATTAAAATAAATTTGTTAATTTATATAATTTTTACCGTGTGTAAATCCATTTTGGGCAAATCCGTGGCTAAAAATACGTGCAAAATGGGCAATTCATATTTCTCTCTCTCTTTTTCTTAGGAATAATTTCTTTTTTGTAACTTATAAATTTCCTTAGATTTATTTGCATTAAGTATTTTTATTTGTACTTCCAAGAAAAAATTTGTTATTCAAGTGCACGTCATTCGTATTATTCTTAAATAAAATATAAAAACTTCATATATTGTTACAATTGCAGTGTTACGTTAATGTTGCTTCTTAACAATTAATTCTTTTTATCCCTTATGGCCCACCATAAATAAAAATGAAAAAAATCAAATATTTACCATAGCATATCAGAATTCATTGATTCGGCTTTCATGTCATTCATTGATATTAAAATAGAATTGAGATCTGTTTGGTTGTCTGTTGCTGTGTTAGAGCAACCAAAATAGTCCATACCTTAAAAAAAAGAAAAAGCTTTTATACATAATTAAAAAATTACTAATAAATATTTTCCTTTTTACACTTTGCAATAATATTTACAGACAGTAATATGTACCTATATATAAGTAGTAGTTTAAAACTACAAGATAACCAAAAACCTTATGTAACAAGGACAGTGATCCTGAGACTGTAGCTGTAGCCCAAGCGGAAGCCTTCAATGCAATACTAAATTTTTTTACAAACCTTTTGAGAAAAAACAAAATCTAGAAAACATAGTTCGAAAAATGAAACCAAAAACGAGACAGATCTGCATAATAATTGATTATTTCAAATAATGTAAGATGTAATGTATGTATGTACACTTTGAGGAAATTTGTAAACAGCTTTATTTTAAATTAAAATTTAAAAAAAAAATCTAACTTTCTTTAATTCTTTACTAATTCTGTTAAAATTTATTAACATTTAATTTATGGCCGATCGTTTTCGTTTGTATTACCATTTTTAAAAAATCATAATATGTACTATTTACGTGCTTAGTTACAAACTGCTAATGAATCGGTTAAAGGGACACCCCGCTTATAAGGTCACTTTTGCGATGTCCCTTAGGGTGACCTTATATCGAAGTCTGACTGTATATATATATATGTGTGTGTGTGTGTAACATAAAAAGTTTCAACTAATCTTTTTATGTTATTCCTTTTATGTAAATCTTTTTCTTAATTTATTATTCAAAATGAAACGCTCTTTGTTACACTTTAATATTTATATCCTTATTTTTTGTTCAAGTATGCATTAATTAACATTTTAACGATTATCCTCTAACTAACTCATGGAAAAGACTTTTTCCCTGGACCTATTTAATAGGCCAATTATAATTACTAAGATTTCTCTTATTTCCTAAAATGAAACATTTTACAGATTTACTTTGCAAGATTTTCCCAAACTTTTATTGAGGAGCACAAAGATTTTGTATCACTTGATTGTTCTCTCTCAAATAATTATTAAATAAATATAGTGCCTTCTTTTCCTGCCTAAGACATGTTTTTATCTTTCCTCTCATCAACAACTTTAGATATGTATGTATTGTATATATATATACATACATATTTCATTCTGCCCCGTTAGGAAAAAAATTATTTTTTATCATAAAATGTCAGGTTGTAATAAAATCACAGAGACTAATGTATTAAAAAAATACTTTGAATGAAAATTTGCAATTCATAAATAACAAAGATCTAGAAAAGTACTTAGTTTTGTATGAGGAAAATTTAATGAAAATAATGGTATTTTTGTAAATGACAAGAGTACACACCACTTTGTAAATAACTCAAACAACCAGAATTCAGTTTTATAGCAGTTACACATTAGTTACAACATTTACAGAAGAAGGGTATTTACACAAAATTAAAAGGATACTTTTAAGAAAGAGTTTCAAGTCATAGAAGACAGTGACATATAACAAAATTTTTATATCCGTCCTTTCTCCATGGGACACTTTATTTTCATAATCAAATAATTTAAATTTTTTTTTCAACTATTAAAATATTTCTGATTAACTTTCAGTACTTAAAAGTTTCAAACAGTACATATTTAAAGCTTCTGCAGTAAAAGGAAATATAGCAATATTGCAGGTATAAGGTTCATTTACTAAGCATTCCCTACATAAGAAAGGAACTAAAAAATTGACTTAAAATATTTACNTTTACACAAAATTAAAAGGATACTTTTAAGAAAGAGTTTCAAGTCATAGAAAACTGTGACATATAACAAAATTTTTATAATTTTCATAATCAAATAATTTAAATTCTTTTTCAACTATTAAAATATTTCTGATTAACTTTCAGTACTTAAAACTTTCAAACAGTACATATTTAAAGCTTCTGCAGTAAAAGGAAATATAGCAATATTGCAGGTATAAGGTTCATTTACTAAGCATTCCCTACATAAGAAAGGAACTAAAAAATTGACTTAAAATATTTACAAATACTAAATGTAATAATATTTATGTATTTAATAAGCTGGGGATCCCAATAAGCTTCACCGCTCATAAGTTGATTTGTTATGCTTAGTTTTCGAATTAATATAACAGGAAAAAATGGGCTAACAATTTCGCGATATTAGTATTTAAGATCGCAGTTATCTTGACTGTTAAATTGAGAAGAGAAAATTACTTCAAATCATATAACCATAAACAAATATAATTATTATGACCCAGATAAGATTTTTTCCTACAACGTTTATTGATATTATTACTTTTTTCCTGAATTTTATTAACAAAACATTTACAATAATCTTAAAATATTTTGCTTGAAAAAATAAATTAATAATATATAGTGTAAAACAAGTCAGAATTATTCATTGTTTGCAAATTTGGAAAAAGGATCAGGTGCTTAATATAGGTTTGAAAATAGGAAAGTTCCAACTATTTACTCTAGTTTGCGCAAGTATAACTTTACCTTTTTTACTTTTATTAACTTTTTTTCTTTGAGAAATTATGCTAACTCTCATTTATGTTAGCCAATTTGCACTTTTCATAACAATGTCAAATTCTTAGTGCGAAAATAACAGTCCATTATCTTACCTGTCACTGCCACTTCCACTCATCTGATGTTAAACATAACATTTGTTGCCAAACATAAGATAACATATATAAAAGCATAAAATAAATGTAAAATTTTATGTAAAGATTTAGAGAAATTCAAAGCTTTAAAAGTGTTTTTGAAAATTATTTAAGTAATTTAAGAGGAGATTAAATGCTTTATGAAGTGTTGTATACTAAGCATTTTTATAAGAAAATATCAGAAAAAATCTGGCATTATCTGTCGTTACGACGGACGACGTTATCAATTTGTTATATTATTTATCTTTGGATTGTAGGCAATTTTATAATTAGCTTGTGAAATAAATTGAAGTTTCGCCATGTTAGTTTTATAACTAGGCCATTTCCGAATTACTCTATAACAAATGGCTGAGAATGGAAGGTACATTATGGGGGGATTATTCATTCTCTTCCTTGCTTTTTCTACCCGTGAAATGCTATCAGGCAATCCTTCTAATGAAGTATCTTCAACCAAAGAAATTCCAAAAACAAGTTTTAAACATGCCTTTACTGGCCCTACATTGAAGGTTTTGTATTGGTAAGATTACTAATAATCATAATTTTATTTAATTTATTTCTCATAGAACTTCAATTATCGATGCGAAACACCTAATTTGTCTCAACCTTGAAAAATTAACTCTTTATTTACTTTTTTAAAGCCTTGTTTTAATTTTGATCATTATTATAAATTTAGCATTACATTTATTCGTGCTAATTGTTAATGCATTGAAAATTCTTTCTAATTAGTCTATAAATGTTTAAAAATGTCTGAAATTTTTTTTTTCTGGGATGGTGTAAAATCCCTAAAAAATTGTTAAATAAAGGATAATAAGTTGAAGGTAATTTAATTTGTAAATGTCTGATGTTATTAGTTGTATAACTTAACTTTTTATAAAGCGTAAAAATTAAAATGGTGGGGATATTTCTTTATTGTGGTTATATAATTACAATCATCAAGGCTCCAAACTGATTTTAAATGGGAAAAATCGAAAAAACAGAGGTTTGCTACGAGTTATACCCTTTGGGTTGGTCCCTTTTTATAATTTTTTTCTTTCAGTTTTTCGCTGGCCAATGTCTTTTCGCTCAAACTTGGAGATTGAGACATGTACGAAATCTTTCTCATCAAACATTTTTGTAAAATATGACATTTTTATAAAAGATTTCCATATCTGGTAGCTATGCCTAATTTTGTTCACAGCAAAGCTAAAAGAAATATCCCAGAAAGGGACTAACTTGATGAGTATAAACTGTAGCCAGTCCCGGGCAAATTTTTTAAACAAAAATTTAAGTACCAAAACACTTAAAGATCTTGACTATGGTAGTTGGTGTTAAAAGATTTCTTCCATCCTTAAGAGTTCTTAGTTTCTAATAATATTTTTCAGCTTTTCCTGAGGTTACAAACGTGTCTTCGAGCAGTATGCTTCAATACTTCAAGAAAAGTATCCTGGAATTACCATTCTCGGAGACACGTATCCTCCTCCTCCATTCCGCATGTATTTAGCAGGCCTGATTGGAATCTTAAAGTGGTCCATCATGGGAATGGTCTTAGCAAATTTTAATATTTTTCCTCATTTAGGATTAAATACTCCAAGAATTTTTGAATGGATGACTCAAAACAAGGTAAAAACAACTCCTTAAATGTTTGGATTTTATCTATATTAATTTCTTTATCTACAAGAAGTTCTCTCTTTTATTTTTTACAGTTATATGCTTGCTTGATGACTTTCTTTATAAGTAACACGATAGAAGGCCAACTTATTTCAACTGGAGCATTTGAAATTATTTATAATGGTAAGCATTATTATTACTTTTATTAAACTAAAATTTCAAAACTGTTATAATAAAACTGAACATCATAATTTTTACCTAATTAAATTTTAAATCGTGACATAATTTCTAATTTTTATTTACTTTATTTTAAAGTTTTTATTTCTCTAATTTGCATTAAACATCCTTCATTGTGAAAACATTTTCTTCCTTAAAACATCCAATACTTATACTTATCAATTGAAAATGCTTATCAGTAGATGCAAATTTTAGTTTGCATGTTGTAATAATTATGTCTCTTATGCCATTAACAACTTAATAACTAAATGTTTGCTTGAATTTACTATTGTATTTTTTAAGATGTGCCTGTATGGTCCAAACTTGAAACTGGTAGATTACCTGCACCTCCTGAGCTTTTTTCTATTATTGATGAGAATTCATATTTTAGCAATTCAAATCCATCTTCATTACAGTTATAGCGCTCTTACTATAAACTTAGTTTTGTAGGTAAGTAAATGTTATCATAAATCTTTATATTAAGTTGGATAATTTTGATTGAGACAACATATTTGATTAGTATTTTCCTCTATTTTATACATTGATTCCTGAATTCTCCCTCTCTATAATTACAATAAAAATCTGATTAAATGAGCACTGAATATGAGAATCTCACCCTTATGAGTAATTTGCTAGGTGTTATGTGTAAACTAATGTTAGTTAAAGAATTGAATTTGTAGTTTATTGGCACATATTAAAAAAAATAGGGAGAGGGAAAATTTAATTATTATTATCATAATTAAATTTGCTCTATTAAAAATTGTTAATTTGTGTTATTGTTGTAACAAATTAATAGTATATAAAAAAATGCAAGTAATTTTTTTTTACTTTAAAAATTTTATTGAAAAGAATGAAGAAAAAAAAATCTTTAACCTACTACAGTAGCCTCTGCTTAATGTACTCGCAGTTAATCAATTGCTTTTTGTTATCAGAATCACTTGGTGATTAACATTATTTAATGTGATCAGTGTTTTTANAAAAGAATGAAGAAAAAAAAAATCTTTAACTACAGTAGCCTCTGCTTAATGTACTCGCAGTTAATCAATTGCTTTTTGTTATCAGAATCACTTGGTCCATATTTTCTCTTCTCATTTGTATGTTAAAATAATCTCTTTCTGTGATTAACATCGTTTAATGCGATCAGTGTTTTTATTTATTTTTTCAAAAATAATTTATTTTTAAAAAAATATTCAGAAGAAATATATACTTTTTTCCTGTGTGCTATTTTTAAATTTCCGAGAACTTTCTTTTTCTTTCACCTTCCTCGTCATTCAACTACAAGTAAACAGGAGTGTTGTGATTGGCTGTTAATGCCCTTTGAGTAATGAGGCTCCCGCAGAAAAGAAGTCTTATTTGAACTGAGAACGAGTGTGTGGATGTTTTATGCCCTACTCGTTGACATAGAAATTGATATGGATACAAAAAGTGAAAAACATTAATGAAACAAAAGATTTTTGAGATTGTTATGGGAAAAAACATGAAGGGTGAAATTGAGTCACACCTTCTATGAGTGCTGAAATGAGGAATGCAATGAATGTGTTAAAAGTGGAATACTGCACCAATGGCTTTAAAAAAACATGACTACCAAAAATTTATAAATAAGTTTCTTAGGAAAAAATTTAGACAATTCATGATTTATTTTTAATTATGTATTTTTAGTTCTATTTTAAAGGAGATATATGACATAAATTTAAGGTGAATTTTTTTATTTTATTTTCAAACTTAGTATGTGTGTTGCAATTGGTAAATTTATCTAATTTAGTGAATCGTTTATTGTTATTCAAATTATTGTCCCAAGTGACAATATTAAGTGGAGACCACTGTATTGGAATCCAGGCTTTTTTTTTAAAATTAAGTATCATATCACTTTCCCTCATCTGTATGAAACATTCTCTTCTATATAATTGATGAAATAAGTTGCACATATGTGTTTATAGTTTTCATTTTAATCTTGTTTAAGTTCTATTCTATTTTTTTATTTATTTTATCTTAGTCCTTATTTAACTTCTAAATGAATATTTCAAAATATTATTTTATAAATGAAAAATTTTTTACGAGGTAAAGATACATAATTATTTAATATTCTTTGACATTATTTAAAAATTAATGCACAGCCAACTAGGTGATTTTTATCAAAATTTTTACTATCGAATATTGCAAACTATAATTTTTTTGTTTTGTTTAACAGTATTAATATTTTCCACAACATTTTGATTCAAAATGGACTCATACTCTAATGTGTTAATTTTATGTAATCATTTAATCTATATTAACTTTACAATATTTAATGTAGGAAATGGTTTTATATTTCAAACATCAAATATGTATCCACATATAATTGGGTTGCTTTTCTCCATTTATAGTTTATGGAATTAATGTTTTTGGAATACTCTTTTTAGTGAACAATTATTATGACAAAATTATTTTATTTTTCATCTAAATGTAACTGTAACTTGTAGTATTTTTTGCACATATCTTGTGAAAATTACTTAAACTTTCAGACATATGCATTAGATTGTTTTTACTTAAAGCTTTCTTAAAATTTGTAGTATAAACTTTTTTCTCTATTGTTAATTAATGAAAAAATATTACGCATTACTGACTTTTGAGGAAAGACATGTGGAAAGGATATATTTTGTGCTTTATAAAGCTAAAACTTCGTGAATTGATGGAATGACGATTGTTTTTGTATTGTAACTTCCTGTTTTTTAGTGATGACACAGCAATGCAGAAGAAATTGCAAATTATTGCAAGGGAGAAGAACTATTATCCCGTTTTGTTGAAACTTTTTGGAAATCTACTTTCTTTTAATTTTTACATCTGGAGTTCTTACCCAACCAAATTAGACACAAATTTATACATGGTTTTGACTGAAAAGATAGATAGAAATTAATTTTGATTATTTTATGATTAGTGTCTTATCATTTTAGTTCTTAAATGTCAAAAGACATGGATAGTGAATTTTTGATTTTTTTAAAATAAAAATAAATACTGCAATGTTGCCACTTTCGTTCAATAGAAGAAAATATAACAAATTTAATAAAGAATTATTCATCTGTTAATTTTTTTAAACAAGTATTTAATGCTAGAAAGACAGTTGTGGCTTTTTTGATCCTCCCCGTTGCTCTGTAACTCAGAAAATAACTCACTGAAAGTATTGTGTGTTTCTGACATTAATCATAATTTGATACAATTTCACTCTTGTTCAATTAGAAGGATTCTTGCACTTAGCAACTCTAGTGCATTTTGCAAGAAATGCACCAGAATTTCAATATTTCCATCTCTCTTTTAATTCTTTAAATTTAATAAAGATAAGAATTGAGATTTTTAATCATAAGATTTTATACATGAGGGAACACTCACTGATTGCATAATTTTTTTTATTTTTCTTTATTGCTTCAGTGCTCTTAAGTTATTAATTAAAAAAAAAACAGACTANGTTGCCACTTTCGTTCAATAGAAGAAAATATAACAAATTTAATAAAGAATTATTCATCTGTTAATTTTTTTAAACAAGTATTTAATGCTAGAAAGACAGTTGTGGCTTTTTTGATCCTCCCCGTTGCTCTGTAACTCAGAAAATAACTCACTGAAAGTATTGTGTGTTTCTGACATTAATCATAATTTGATACAATTTCACTCTTGTTCAATTAGAAGGATTCTTGCACTTAGCAACTCTAGTGCATTTTGCAAGAAGTGCACCAGAACTTCAATATTTCCATCTCTCTTTTAATTCTTTAAATTTAATAAAGATAAGAATTGAGATTTTTAATCATAAGATTTTATATATGAGGGAACACCCACTGATTGCATAAATTTTTTTATTTTTCTTTATTGCTTCAGTGCTCTTAAGTTATTAATTAAAAAAAAGAAGTGTAAAGTTAGAAACTTTTAACATTTTTGTCATTGCTTAATGATTTGAGTTAGAACAATTGAAATAAAAAATTCAATAATCTCAGATGCGTTAAATATTATGATTGTGGGTGTCCTTTTTTTATTAGAAAAATTGTTTATTGAGAAAAAGTATAATTTGTTCGATTTTTGGTGATTATGAATATTTATTTCAAGAAATACATTATGTTATCTTATTTATATGTATTAAAACTATCATGTAATATAATGTAGATTTTTTTTTTATCAGGTCTTCCTGTGTATCCAATGCTTCATGGTCAGAACATTAATGACGTCTCTTGCACAAAGCATATTCTGTCCGCAAGAAACTGATGCCTAGGATTTTGGTTTTGAAGTAAAAAGAGAAGCAGGTGGCCTGCAAATTTAAGATTTTATTTTCAGGAGATGTCTAGAGTTGTTTATTATTTGTATTGAAATATATGTTTTTGTTTATATAATCAAGAAAATCTGTCTTGAGCATTATTTATTATAATAAAATATCATTTTAAAAATAAGATTTGTTTCTTAAAAATGCTTATTATTTTCTAATTTTTGGCAAAGAAGGGTGTTACATAAATTTGTATTACTTATCTTACAATACAAGAAAGTTTGAAGTTATGTACCACTAACAATTACAGTACAGAACCCGTTATCCGGAAATCAGAAAACCGGAAAACCAAAAAACCGGAACGAAATTCGATAAATTTTCCCACAATTTTTTTAAAAACATTTTTTTTTCCTCATAGGATTTTAGGATTTTTCTTTCTTTTTTGAAAGATGTTTACCTTAACATAATTTCAGAAATAATTATTAGTGTATTACCTCATCGTTTTTTCTTATTTTTAAGATTATTTCCAAATATTTATTTTTTTTAGTTGGGTTTAACACTAAAAAAACGGCTTTTTGTAGCGATTCAGAAAACCGGAAAAATCAGTTATCCGGAATAGCGATAGTCCCGATCGTTCCGGATAATCGGTTCTCTACTGTACTTATTAATGTAAAATTAACATAAATAATTAGTAATATATTATAATAGTTAACATAAAATTTTTAAGGGGACAAACATCTTTACTTATCTCGGTAACGTAATAGACAAATGTGAAATTTATGACCGCGTAGATAAACAGATACAAAGTGGAACGTTGTCACGAACTAGAAAGATTTATCAAAGCTAAATACAGTGGATAGGACGTGTCAAAAGCATGAAGGAAACAGGACACGCCTAAGGAAATCAAGAAAGGAAAATTATATAATTGGAAAAGACCAAAGCTAAAATTGCTGGAATAGGATGAGGAAGATCTGAAAAAAAAAAAAGTTTTTGGGAGAAATGGGCATGGAACTATGGAAAGCTAAAGCCCATCAAAGGCTGTAGAGCTGGAAAAGTTATTTATTGCTAAAATTATAACACATTTTTTCCTAATGCCATACTATTTCTTCTTAGACCATCAATAGTGATTCTTGTTTTACAGATTTTTTAAAAATTGCATCCTAATAACAATCCCCAAATGTTGGATATGGCTATAATCTCACATTTTTTTACATCCTTTAATAAAAATTTGTTAATGACTCTCTATGTTATGTTGATGATCATCCTTCTTATGTTAAAGATGACATTGAATGATCGCTTATCTGTAAGTGCCACACTCAATATCAAAGTGGATCTTGATGCCATAAGTTAGATTGAGAATTGAGAAAGCTGGATATTATGCTATAATATTTTTAAACAAATAATGCAATTTAATTCTATATCATGTATATTCTAGCATACTTCGTATTGTTATAAAATATTATCATGGGTTTCAGTTTTTTTTAAATAGATTCCGTTATCCAAAAAAATTAGCAAAATGTAACTATTTTTAAAGAAAAATTTTTGTATTATCCAATATAATTTCGTTTACAGAAATAATCTGGTCTGTTTATCATTCAAACATTAATTTAAAAAAAAGTCAAGATCTCTATCTTTTTTTTTCCATCTCAAATGCAATGTGTATATTATGTGTGTGAGTGTGTCTAAGAAAAATTATTTCGGGATGAATCCAAAATTGTATCCATGCTCTATAGGTTTAGCTCTAGTTTAAATTAAAAAAAAATCAGGATTATTGAGAAAGCCTTGAGTAACACAATTTATGAAACAGTTCAATATTTAGAAAGATGCACACAATAGAAACAAAACCAGTTTTTAGAGTACTCATTTTTTTTCCTTATAAAAATATTTAAATTTTCAACAAAATATACAGAATTTGAACTCAGTTACAGAATAATAAACATAATTGAAATCATATGATAAACATAATGGAAAATTTAAATGATCATTGTTCAATATCTTATATTTAACAATTAAAACTATATCATTTACCCTAAAAATAAATAGTACATTTAAAACAAAAGTTTCTAGGCAACATATTTCAGTCAGTTCGAACTTGAAATCTTCCAGCTTTAGTGACATATTTCACTCCTTTAAATGGCTTGTATTTCTGTAAATATAGACATTCATATTAAAAAAGTGATGTTACTCTCTATATCAAAAGCAAATGTTTCTTTGAAAAGTTTTTCTTTTCACACAAATGCTGTAAAAGTTTCAAGAAAAATTATCATTTATCTATCAAAATTATTGAATTTCTAATCCAACCAACATTTTGATTAATTAATAAATTACTAAATTTGTATGGTACTATTTACCCAAAATGCTAGTACACATCAATTTCAATTATAATAATTTTCTTAATAAAAATATTCAATTTTTATATTCTTCATACTTGAAAAAATTAAAAACCAAAATTTTGATAATGCATATTAGAGATGACTATTAATCACCATATACTTCTTGAAGAAAGGTGTCATGGTTGAAAAAGAATCCTTGCTTATTTAAATTGAAACAAATGTATAGAAAATACTAATCATCAATTTGTCTCAATCAGAAAAATAATTCTACTTTTATATAATATTCTACTTTTATAAATAATTAAAACTTTTTTTTTCTAAAATTCTGTAAAATATGAATTTAGTTATATTGCCTTCTTCAGTCTTTTTTTTTTTTTTTCTTTCTGAAAGGCACAGATGTGTGCAATAAAATAAGAGTGTAGAATGAAGAGTGTACCCATTCTGTGGTACAGTTTGATAGCTTTTCAGACACCTATATTTTAGAATAAAAAGGACATTGAGTTAAAATAATACTATTTTATCGGGAATTTTTCCATTTTACCCAGAAAATAAATCTATATAAAAAACTTTTGAATCTTAAAGTATATGTTAGGACAGGAATTCCAACCTAGCACTAATCCAATATTGAGCTTTGTGAGCAAACTGAATTTTATTTCAGCATAGATTAGTTAAACAACTTTGCACAAATATATACATATATCAGATAGTCAGATTTCTAAGGAAATAATTTGATTTGATTATAAATTGTTTAACTGTCATCAATTTATCATTTTCAAACAAATCTGTAGAGTGAGATTATGCTTCAGACTAGGGTACTATGGAAAAAAAATGATGTTTTAGGTTTGCTTAGTGTTAATATTATATGTTTTTAAAGTTATTCAAAATGGCAAACATAAAATAAAAAAGGCAAACAAATGGTATTCTGATGAACTAAATTAGTGTTGCTAGGAAATTTATAAAAAAAAAAAAACATTGATATATATCTAAAAGAATCACAATATTAATTAAGAGCGAAAAAAAAACTGAAATTAATATATCTTACTTCGCCATACATGTCCAAACGGTTTACTTTTAATCCAGAAATAGCCAGCTGATTGATTGTAAACTTTACCTGAAATAAAAAAAAAATAAAGATAAAATACGATTTCTAAATTAAAAAGGAGTTGAGCATGACTTGCAAATTAACTAAATTCTTGAATAGTATTGTTAAACACTTATTGTTATCACAAAAAACAGTAATGGTATTTTTTACAAGATCGACAAATGTATACATAATAAATTTCCTATTTTACTACACAAATCAGGTAATCAGTTACTAAAAGATAACGAATATAAAGTTCAAATCAAACAAGTTTGTTTAGAAATAAGACAAACGTTTGTAACATTTTCAAAAGAGAAAGTTGATATCAGATATATTATATTTTATCAACTCACAGGCAGTTGGACTTTTTTTTAATAGATCTGTGATTCAGACGACCCCCTCCCAATCAGAAATTGTGGTATGAAAAATCATTTCCTGCCTATCTAAGTATAGATAGGCATGTGCTATCGACCAAAAATAAAAAAAATATTCTTTCTATGCACAGGACCATTTGTAGATAAAAAATGGAGTGAAAGTTTTACATGTGCACGGCCATTTGGCAGGATAATAAAATTTAAATGGATTATTTTAAGCTGTCATATATTTGCAATTTTTTTTTCCAGCAATGAGAAATAGCTTTGGCATTTATAGTTTCAGAAAAATACTATGTTAAAATTAGCATTCAAATTATATGCAACTTACAAACTATTGCTGCTATACAAGCCAAGTTTATTAGCCTTCAATACTTGAATACTTATAAAAATTAACATGTTTTTGAATTAATAACTACTTTAAACAGTTTTAAAATTAAATTCAAATATGTGTATGTCTTTAATTTTGAAAAAAACAAACAAACACGAATATGTGTTAGATTAATGAATCTAAGAATACCAAATGAACATTTATCTAAAGAGCATGGATTTGAATATGTAATGCAATAAAGTATGGAAAGAAAAAAAAAATCATTTCACTTCAAGCTCTGAACTGGATTGTATAATAATACAAGTGTAAATGAACTAATTGAGTGACAACAATGATATGAAATTGTGAAACAAATTTTTACATACAAATTATCTTATCCTGTGTTAGTCAATAGTATATTACTTAAAATATTTGCTGAGAGATGATGTCACTGCCACAGTAGTTGCTTATATAAGCAATTACTGTGGCAGTGTTGATCAACAAGTGTTGATATCAACATAATTTAAAACAAATGTAATGTAGTTTCTGTCAGTAGTATAGAATTATGATTAATGTGAAATATATACTTACGGTTATGGTGGGATTACTTTCAGGACTAGACATTCCACTTTGAAGAGAAATCTAAAAAGGAATTAAAAAATTACAGTTACGTAGTCTATAACTTTTCAAAATTTAAATAAATATTAGCACAGGTTAAATATGATATATTTGTTTAAAATATTAATGGGAAAATTTCCATACAACAATAATTTTTGTCATTCACATAAGTCTACAATTTAAAATTCGGATTGTGATGAAATTATTTCAATGTTGTTTAAAACATGGAGAAAAATACTGTCATTAATAGAAAATCATACTCCATTGCATGGAATAAAAAAAAATTATGCTCTTTTAAAACAAAGTATTTTGTTATAAGTGTACTAAAAAGGTGAAATAATTTTTGAATAAAATATCCTGAGATGAAAACATAAATGCTTGTTTTATGTTGCCGAATATAAATTATTCATATATTTTTTTAAGCAAAAATGGTGGCACAAAGTCTTTTTTTTTTTTCTTGCAGAGTTTTTTTAATTAAATGCACATGAGCAAATATTACTTAAAACATTAAAAAATCGTAACATTGATTCTATATCATGAAAAATTGAACTTATGTTGTAACTTTTCTTTATGAGTAAAAATACCTGTAAAATTACTTAAAAGCTAAAACACACTAAATTATTTTTAAATCCTAATTTTTTTAATCGGTTACATTACCCTACAAGAACACGATTAAAATAGTTTATTTAAAAGCAATCTTTGAAATTATAACACAATTTCAAATTGTAAACTTCATGATGTTTCTAAAACACAATTAAAAAAGCTTCAGTCCTCAGAAAATCTTTCTTCTCTAAAGCTAAAACTTTATATATATATATTATATACTGCCAAACGGTTAATTAAAAAATCTAGAAGAGAGAACTTTTGGTATAACATAAGAGAGGCAAATAATATCAAGAAATGGATAAAGGAAATCACAAATATTCTTTAATGGCCAAGGGACAAATCTGTTGCGACTTTTTGCCTCGCTACTGACCACGATTGCTTCGCCAGGCAATTATATGGTATAAAAATTCCTTTCAGCAACATTTGTGAAGAAGTGGATGTGAACCATTTGAGTCATTGCCTTGCACTGAATTCGGGACACTTGTTGGGAGAAATACTGTAGAGCTCCCAAGATGAATGATTCGATAGACTTACTGTAGTTTGTTTTGTTACTTTTATATCTGTTTCTTGTTTGAATTTTATAGTTTATTTTTCTGTCTACAATTGTCTTTTAATCTTCCATTGGAAATAAAAATAATATATATACTATTTCCTAAAATATCAAATTTTGACTGAAGGAAATATATCAGGTACACATATGAAAATAATACAGTCTATACCCGTCAACCTTAGTTTAAAAATGTAAAATGAATTGTAATCACTTACAGATCCCTTGATGCTTGGTCTCCTTAAAGATTCTATTCTTCCAACTTCCCAAACCATAATTTTACTCACTGGATCAAAAGTATATTTTCCTTGAGAAGGTCTCAATGTCATGTTTAGAACAGATTTTGGCATAGGAATTTCCACAACAACATTTTCTAACTATAACAAAAGAATAATGCTCACTTTATGAAAATCAAAAATAAATATTAATGTTAAGTTAATGTTAAATTTGGAATTCTTCATTAATATACTGAAACTAGAACTGCCTTTTTTAAAAAGTCTAAGAACTTTATTTGTTATCGTTAATTCGATTAAACCATTTTAAGAAAAAATTATTTTTAACTACACATTTTTATACATTACCACATTCCTAGAATTCAAAGGTTTTGGCTGTGATAATTATCTTAATTATACACGAAAAAATTACTATATGGAAATCAAACCTGTTAATCCTAGAAATTTAAAAAGCCTGTCCACTGCTTAGCATAATAAAGAAATAACAAAAAAATTTAAAAAATAAATTCACACACTTTTAAAATTTCATTTATTTAAGTGTCTTTATTACCACTAGAAATTATAGAATAATAAATTAGGCTATTGTTTTAAAACTGACTGAAAGACTCATTCAGCAATTTTTGAAAAAAAATTTCTTCTAAAACTTCTCTTGGTTTGCTTTCATAGTCAAAGTAGTTTCCTCCCAAAGTTTGTTTTGGCAAAGAAGAACAGAATTAAGTCTGGATTTTTGTTATGCAGCTGAATATTCTTTATTAACGGGTTGAAAAGCTGTGAGGAATCGATGACAGCGCAAGCTGTAACTTGGTCAATACACTAGGCAATATTTTTCTTGCTATTGACTTATATGCGATTTTGTAATGATTCTATCAAAACAATCACTTTTAAGCTTAACAGTGTGATCCTATCTCTCTCGGTTAAGGATAAAACTGAGCTTCTAGAATATAAAGTAATGAGCTCTTGTTTTCTTTTCCTAAGTCTCTATAAACACAGAAAAAGGATCAACAAAAAAAAAGGAAAAAAAAAAGGAATTGGAATTTGCTATTTTAGCATGAATTATGATATCATTGTTAAGAGAGAAGTCATTCATTTATGACCTATTAAAAGCAGTGTTATATATGTTTTTTTTTTAAATTTNCATAATAAAGAAATAACAAAAAAATTTAAAAAATAAATTCACACATTTTTAAAATTTCATTTATTTAAGTGTCTTTATTACTACTAAAAATTATAGAATAATAAATTAAGCTATTGTTTTAAAACTGACTGAGGGACTCATTCAGCAATTTTTGAAAAAAATTATAATTTTTTTTTTCCTTCTAAAACTTCTCTTGGTTTGCTTTCATAGTCAAAGTATTTTTCTCCCAAAGTTTGTCTTGGCAAAGAACAGAACTAAGTCTGGATTTTTGCTATGCAGCTGAACATTCTTTATTAACGGGTTGAAAAGCTGTGAGGAATAGATGACAGCGCAAGCTGTAACTTAGTCATTACACTAGGCAATATTTTTCTTGCCATTGACTTATATACGATTTTGTAATGATTCTATCAAAACAATCATTTTTAAGCTTAACAGTGTGATCCTATCACTCTCGGTTAAGGATAAAACTGAGTTTTTAGAATATCAAGTAATGAACTCTAGTTTTCTTTTCCTAAGCCTTTATAAACACAGAAAAAGGATCAACCAAAAAAAAAAAAAAAAAAAGGAATTTGAAGATTACTGAAATTAGCTACTTTAACATGAATTACGATATCATTGTTAAGAGAGAAGTCATTCATTTATGACCTATTAAAAGCAGTGTTATATATGTTTTTTTTTTTTTAAATTTTTATCAGACATCTAAGGAAAAAAAAGGATTCCAAATAGTAATAATAATATAGAAAAGTATTACAAAAAGTACAAAACCAAATATACACTCAATTACAAAATTGCTGATCTAGAGAAAAGACTTGGGTGATATATTCAAAGTATGTAAGGATCTGCCAACTCATGCAGTTATTAGGAAAAAAGCATGAGAAAATACTTAGTTAGTCTAAGGACCTAAGATAGGACACAAAAGTCTGAGAGTTGGCAGGTTTTGGAAACATAAATCAAAGCGAAAAACTTCAAATTCAACACAAAATCCTTTAAATAAAAAGAACTTAACGGATAGAAGTCTAATTAAAAGAGAGAAGAATATAACTAAAAGTCTTGCCAGGAAAAAATTCAATTTTGGCAAGCAAAACTAAAATTATTTATATTTTCTACACAAATGAAAATTTTTTTAAAATAAAAAGTATAAATCGAACATTATTTTAAACTAAGTAAATTTATTCATAAAAATTTATAATATTTTTAGTGCTTTTAAATACACAATAACCAAAATTCCAGATTGAGTTAGAAATACATCACATAACACAATTAAATGGCTAAAGAGCTTTGTATTTTACACATAATCTCAACTTTATGTATGAAATTGCAACTGTAATTTCAGACAGTTTAAATTTTCTGTAATCAGAATAGAGAGAGCCACAGTGGTTCAAGGGACAGAGCACTCTCCTCCCAATTAGGTGACCCAGTTTCAAATCCCACTGAAAATTGCTCTATACGGATTCTGCTCCCAACCACAGTGCTGATGTAAAATATCCTCAATGGTAGACGGATCATGGATTACGCTTTGACTTGCTCACTCTGGTGCAACAGCTACGGTGGTTGCAACAGCTTTTTTCAGCTTTCTTCAGCATTAAAAGCTTTTTTCAGTTGTTTTTTACACAGATAATAAATATCTAAATAAATTCATATTATGAATTTAAATTAGTGAATGGTCTTTGTCAAATTTTCATTAATTATTGAATTCTTAATTGGATACAATCATAAAAATATAAAAATTACTAAGCAGGTAAATTTATTAAGAAAACTGATTAGAAAATGCTCCCTCAATTTGAAATAAAGATTCAATATTAGAAATTTTAATGTCTCTTTAATAAAATAATTTTAAAAAAAGTTTCATTAACCTGCGAGAAATTATATTGAGTCAAAATAACTGTCATAAGTAAACTAGCCCGGTTCCTCAATTTACCATTTTGACAATTCCGTGCTTATTGTTTATAACTTCAATTGTTTTTAAGTAAAATAATAAGGAGATTAATCTAACTTTGAAATCATGTACAATGTTGGCACAGGTGGGTTACGTCCACCTCGATAATTAGAAAGCTCTAAAAGACGCTCTAAAGAAAAAGATTTCAGACTAATTTTTATTAATTATCATAGATTTAAATTCTTCAAAGTTAAAAACAAAAAATAAATAAAAATAATTGATCTCTTTATAGGTATTTGAGTACATTTAAGATTTTTTTGACTCAGATCAATATTAAACAGATCAATACTGATTAGTTCAATATTGATCTGATCAACAGTTCAATAAAAATTTTCCAGAAAATGCAGAAACAACAAATAGGGTAAGATATATAAGATACTTCAATTACTTTTGTACACTTAGTTAATGAGCTCCCAAATTTGACAAATATTATGAATTACTAATGAAATCTTATGATGGAAATCAGGCGAAAAAAAGATAGAATTCTGCTGATCCACGACAGTCCCCGAAAAAATTTCAAATTTCACCTTATATTTATTAAACCAATGAAATAAATGGGACATGAAAATTTTGAATTCATAGAGCTCTGATGTCATTGACTTTCTCAAAACTTTCATGGAAAATCTTAATGATTCCCAGGTTCAAAGATTGCAGTACTGACCTATATATACAACAGAGCACTAACCTCAACATCACAGTGGCGTTCAAACGACATGATCGATAAAGTGAAAGATTGACACACAAAGTTAGCATGCATCGCAATTATAACTTAAAATTGAAACCTTTAAAATTATTTTCGCATCATTCAAAAGAGGGCGAAAACAAACTTTACTCTAAATAAGGGATTTTGGAGAAAAAATAGGACCATTTTGGAGCCTGCCCTTGGGTTAACCATGAGAGGTTATTCTTTCCATGTAATGCAAATGTGAGTTACTATCAAAAAGCCCTTCCCAAGGATTAGTAACTTAAATAATACTTTTTCCAACAAATTGTAACGAAGTTAAAATTTTTGAGGAAACCTATATTGTAAAGGAATATTTAAATTATTATTATTTATAACATGAAATTTTTTTTCAGATAACAAGTCACTTATTTTTTGAAGACTAGTGCTCCCCCCCAAAAAAAAAGAAGTATTTTTACTTAGTAAACAAATGAAACTGCTAATGTGTTTGTTGTCTGATATTTTTAATAAATTAGAAAGAAATACATAAATCATTTCTACAAAAAATAACTTACTGCTTTTCCCATTGTAACTTGAGGTCCAACAATTATTTCCAACTTTGAACCACTGATGTCATGACGGATATAAAATGGCATAGCTACCATGCTGTAATAGTTAATGCTTTTCAATAAGAAACATTATGAAATTTTCAGAAATGCATTAAAATAACATCATCATTAACATTACATTGCATTATTTAACACTGTATGCATTAAAACCATATTTAGTTTTAGTCTGGGAAACAGCACCCTCTCTAGACATGGGCAGAGCCCAGGGCCCATCAGAATGTTACTTTTCACAAATTTTGCAAACATGAGATTCTGTACCTGTAAAAACCATTAGGACTCTTACAAGCATTTTCTGTATTTTACGTGAAAGGGTAGGGCTGATGAAAAAGTAGGGTGGCCAAACTGCATAATCGGAAATCTAAAATAACATTAATAATACAAAATACAAGGTTCTTTAAAAAAATAGTACTAGCGTTAGTAAGATGAAAGAAAGCTTAACAAACAATGAGTCGAGTAAAATGAAATTTTTGACTATTCAATTAGTTGTTGACGTATGCCTGTTAAGGCTGAAGGGTGAGATTATTCTTGTACTCCAGTCGCACCATCTATATCCAAGAATTAGACTTCTGCCACACCCATACGTCACGCCCGTGTATAGGGCGGACCCATTCATTCATCCACAGATTGTAATTTTGACCTGAATCAGAAAATGATCAATCTCCAGTTCAGTACCCCCAGAGGTATTGATTTGTTATGCGAACACGGAGGACTTTGTGACTCGACAGATTTAACGTGCATCAGTCACCATTTTACTACACGGGGAGTCTTCAGCCGACGGGGTTCGAACCGGTGAACTCTCGGATATGGGTCCAGCCCCCTACCGACCAGGTTATTCCAGCCCGAACATTAAATTTAAAAACAATATTTAAAATATCTCAAATACTTGTTTGGGAAAAATACTTATTCAGTCAGAGTCCTGCTAAAACAAAAATGGTCAAAGGATTTTGAAGGTCGCTATCTATGCTTGTTAGTTCATCACCTATAAACGTCTTTTGGGAAATCATTTTGTATTTCTTTGAATAATACATGAATCCTATTTGCTTGATTTAAAAACTTCTTATTAAGTACTTAATTAATCATACATAATACTTTTTTTAATAAATAAAATAAGTGCTGCAAGCATCAAAATTCTGTTCAATATTTATATCTTATCTTTCCAATTTTAATTTTTCAATATAATATAATATTGACAACAAAATCAAATTCATTGTTAAAAGAGACACTGCAGCTATACTATGCCAAACATAGAATTTTTTTTACATTTTTTTAATGGGAACAAAAATTATTGGAATTATGGAACAAAAATTACAGAACTAATTCATAATTAAAATTAAGCTGTCTGTATAAGAATTTCATGAAAATATACAGAAGACAAATGGGATTGTTTTTAAGTAAAATAATAAG